TACCTAAACAATTTCTCTCTCTCTCTCTCTCTCTCTCTCTCTCTCTCTCATACATAGATAATTTCGGAGAAACCGCTTTATTCCTCGCGTCAGCATTAGGGAATGCAAAAATAGTAAAATTATTACTTAGAAATAACGCAAATCCAAATATATATAATAATGAAAATGTGACTCCATTAATAGTGTCATCATATAATGGACATAATGATACTGTAAAAGCATTATTAGAAAAAGGTGATGTAAACATAAATTATCAGGATAATTTATGTAAAACAGCATTATCGTTTGCTGCTCACGAAGGTCAACCATTGATTGTTGAATTATTGTTAAAAAATGGTGCTGACGTTAATATAGCAGATAAGGTATATAGAAAAAGTTTTGAATTTTTTTTTTTTTATTTTTTTTTTAAAAAAAAAGTTACTAATTACTAATTAAAAAAATTTTTTTTGTGTCACGTGATTAGCTTGGATGGACACCTTTGATGTTGGCAGCTTACGCAGGAAGAGCAAATATTTGCAAACAATTATTGATCGCAAATGCCAATAAAAACTTAAAGACAAGTGATAACAAGACAGCATCTATATTTGCAAAAGATGCAGGACATTTTCATATAGCCGAAATGATCGACAAGTTCGTTTATCATTCAAATATGGTAACATATAATTATGACGAAGAAATTATAAATGTTAGAAAAAGAGACACCCATTTTCTTGGAAATGGAAATCATGATAGTAGAAGAATCAGTACAGCTTCAAGGTTAAGAACTGAAATGTTACCAAGAGAAGGAAATACTTGGTGGGTTTATATATCATGGATAACAACTTTTTTTATTCTTGATCGATTCCTCATAAAATATGGTAATATGAATGATAAGAGAGTAAGACAAGCTTGGAGAGAAAAATTTACTTTATGCTTTATAGCATTACTGATTACAATATTTATGGCATTTATAACATTTGGTTTTGTTTCTTTATCATGTTCACCAACTGCTCCTCCAATTCCACTCCCTCTTGTTGATGAATTTTGGGGTGTAAATAAAAAAGTTATGATCGTACGTGGTAGAATATATAATGTTGGAGATTTTTTTAATTCTGGTGGTCATAGACCAATAATTCCATTTGATGATGCTTCTTTGGAACCAATTATTGATCAATATTATGGAAAAGATGTTGGAGAATTATTTCCTGTAAATGATCAAGCTATTGGATGTAATAAAAATTCAACTGTAAATGGATTATCATGTAGAATAGATTCAGATAATAGATATCACTGTCATACATCAACAAATTCATTTAGAACATTAGAATCATTATTCATAAATAGGTTAGTTTCAATTTCATGGGACGAAATAAAAAATACACAATTTAGAAAATTATTTGCTCATAAAGGAAGAGTATTTGATTTAACTAATTATTTATCAGAAACTAATACAAATAGATGGTTAGGTGATGATGAATTTACAAAGTCATTTTTAGAAAGTTTAATTGGTAAAGATGTAACTTCAGATTTATCAAATATTAAAGATAATAATCAAAAGGAAATTATGAAATGTTTTGAACATTTTCAAGTTGGAGCTGTTGAAGGAGTAACATATGGATGCGCTTCAGTTACAATGGCTGTTATTGTAGTATCAAGTATTTCAACAGGAGCTGTTATAATGAAATTAATTTCTGCTTTAGCATTTGATAATCTTATTGCAAAAAAATTAGTTAAAAAAGTTATTACTACTGATAATGTAAAGGATGTAATTATTATGGTTCCATGTTATTCTGAAGGTTATGAATCTATGAAAGCTTCATTTGATTCTTTGGTAGCCACTGATTATCCAGATCAAAATAAAATATTATTCATTATAGCTGATGGGAACATTACTGGTAGTGGGAATGATAAATCAACTCCAGACATTTTATTAGATTTCATAGTACCTTATAATGAAAATTTTGATAATGTAAGAGCAAAAAGTTATTTATCAATAGGAGAAGGAACGAAGAGGCATAATATGGCAAAAGTATATATAGGACATTATCAATATCAAAATAGAAATATTCCAACGTTATTAATCGTTAAAGTAGGGAATCAAGAAGAAAGAAATTATCCTAAAGCTGGTAATAGAGGAAAAAGAGATTCACAATTAGTTTTAATGCAGATGTTACATCATGCTTTTAATAATGGTAAAATGTCACCATTAGAATTTGATATTTTTGAAAAATATCGTAAATTAACTCAAAGGACCATCGATAAATGTGAATTTGTAATGATGGTTGATGCAGATACTATCGTTAAAGAAGATAGTGTAAGTAATATGGTTAATTATATGCTTAATGATCCTTCCGTCACTGGTCTTTGTGGTGAAACCAGAATATTAAACAAAACAGAAAATTGGGTAACTTTGATTCAGGTATGATTATTATTAATTTTTATTTTTAAATTGATTATTAAAAAAAATATGTTTTAATATTTGAATATTAATTTTTTTTTTTTTGTTTTAAAAAATTCAGGTCTTTGAATATTATCTATCTCATCATTTGGGAAAATCATTTGAAGCCGTATTCGCGAGCGTCACGTGTTTACCCGGATGTTTTTGTATGTACAGAGTATTCGCATATAATTATGATGGGAATCGCGTACCAATTCTAGTAGATGAGAATATAATGATGAATTATAGTACAAATGAGGTGACAACCCTTCATCAACAGAATTTATTATTATTAGGAGAGGATCGTTACCTTACCACATTAATGTTAAGAGCATTCCCAAAACGTAAAACGGCATATTGTCCATCGGCAATATGTGAAACAATAGCGCCAGCGGAATTTAAAGTATTAGTATCACAAAGACGTAGATGGATTAATGGAACGATACATAACATGTTTGAATTATTAGTAACATCCGAATTACCTGGTCGATTCTGTTTTTCAATGCAATTTTCAGTATTCTTAGATATAATTGGTACTTTTACGTCCCCATTTGCATTACTGTACGTTTTATATACATTTATAGGCTTAGTTGCCGGTTTTCCTTTTCAAACAGCAGTAATTTTTTCTGCTATATCATTCTCTTTACAATTAATATTAGCAATCTTTACTTCTTTTGATCCAATCATTGTAATGTGGTTTTTTATTTACCTATTTTCGGTTCCTATTTGGTATATAATTTTACCTTTATACTCTTTTTGGAATTTTGATGATTTTACTTGGGGTGCTACAAGAAAACTTAATGATGATGGTACTTCAAGTTATAGTGATACTATTTTTGATAAATTTGATCCTAAATCTGTACCATTTAAAAAATGGGAGCAATGGGTTAAAAGTACAAATAGTAAAGGTGTCAGTAAAAGTGTCTCTTATAAATATATATAGTAATAGATTTTAATTTTAGTACGAAATTTTTTATTTTTTTAAAAAAAAAATTAATAATTCCTTTTTTTTTTTAAATAAAACTGGGTTTATCATATTAAAAAAAAAAATATGTGTAATAAAAGATAAAAATATATGTAATAATATCAGAATATAATATGTGTAGAGTTTTTTTGTGTATTAATTAATATGTATGTACTGTAGTAAATAAAAGCATTGACGTTTACATAATTACATAATAACAGATAATTTATGAATAATCAATAAACTAATCAATATCTGCAAGTATAATGTTGATCAAATAATTAAAAAAATGACAAATTTTAATTATATTTTGATCTTCGATACGTTCATACGTTTGATACGAAATATTGTAATGAAAGAATATTTATTATATTCATTAACTGTATAAGAATATTTTTTTTTTTGGCAAGTCTGAAATTTTTTATCTTAAAAATATCATAAGGATATATTCATATTTTAAATTAATTATTTTTTTTCAATATTTTCGATAAATTAAAATAGACAGCTTATTAGTATCTATTGGTTTCACGCTAAAGACCATTTTTCAAAGCAATAGAGAGTAAACTATTTCGGAATCCTTCTAAATGTAATAATCTTTTATTTGAATTTTCTTATCCATCGGTCCATTACTTATTTACTTATCAAACAAATCATTATGACATTGCGGAGGGAAAATCCAGTAGTTAGATTTTGTTAGGTGGCCAAAGTGGTATACCACTATTTAATATAAATTATATTAGTGGTATAGCACTTGGGATAGGTTATGACATAATATGAATATTCCGAATATAATCTGATTATAACCAAATTACCATTTCATAATTCATAGATCAACTGATAATACAAGTAACAGATTAAAAAGAGAACTATTAATATTCACGAGAACAAATTAAATAAAAAACTGTTTCTACAATTGTGTAATGAACAGCGATACGAAAAATTAACAATTTGAACAATAAAATTTAAATTTTATTTTTTATTTAAAGACGGTGATTAAACCCTAGTTAACTATTTGAATGATAAAAAAAATTTAAATTTAATTTTACATTAAGTATGAAGTGTAATCTTCAACATCAGCTTCTGCTGTTGATTCTTGGATTTTGTTGATCCTTAACACACTTCTGCAGATGTTTGGAACGCCGGCTTGATTTTTAGCCCTTTAGCAAATATAAAATAAGGATGATGAACCAGGAAAAAAAAAGAACTCAAAAACATAAAAAATATGTACCATGCTAAAGTTCCTTTTAAGTTTTCAATCCAAGTGCCAATAGCCGCGCCATCTGAGAAATAGAACAATATATTATCATGGTTAACGGCGCCGCTCTCGGTTAAACTTGCAATAATTGCTTCTTTCGTTTGACCAGCAACCCCGTTACGACAGCCAGGAGAAGTTTCAACATCATTAAATCCATCATTATTCCAATCGAAAATTAGCAATGGCATCTCGTTATTGATTTTTATTTCACGAAGAATAATTTCAGCAATATTCGGATCTTGAAAAAAATGTCAAATATTAAAATATAAATAATCATAAAAATAATATATCCCACGCTTTTTTGTGAGTTTTTTTTTTTACTTTTCGTTGCTGAACTATTATTAATGAAATCAGTATACAAATATAAAATATGCACCAAACTTTTTGAAAAAAGAATAAATACTTTATTACGGACGATATCAAAAGGACTTAAAAGATTTGAGTTTGAAGTTTTGAACGAAAGAGAGAGAATGATTGAACAATCAGCGCACTATATATTATATATAATAATGGTATAGCAGATCGGCGTTTAATTGATGAAATGATAAATAATCTGATGAAAATAATTGAAACCTAAATATAGTTGTGAATCATAATTCGTTGTTCGATATTTGTTTAATCAAATAATTACTATATAATTCAGTTTCGCGCGTCATAATTTCATTTAAACTTTAAAGTGATATCATCAATGAGGCAACAACTCTCGATGATGATTTGGAATTACTATGTATAGATCGTAATACCAGACATATTTTAAACGATTCAATTCCCTTCGCAAAGTTCTTTTTTGAGCTGATCAACTCATTTTTGTGAAAATGTTTTATATGTTGCTCATGTTTTTACCTTGTACTTCTATAGCAATTCCATACTATGAGTAGTAGATGACAAGTTCTAGTCCTTGAGGATGTTTAGACGTTTTTAAGAAGTCTGGTTGGCGGATACTGGAAGATGGGCCAAGAATATTAGCTATGACTTCACTACATAGATTTTCATGTTTATTTTAATCAATATGGACACCAAGTTTTATATTTAGAATTGGCAACCCATTTATTGCCCTTATTACACATCAATTGCATCAGAACACAGTTCCATTCATGGCCTTCTTTACATTGCCATTCAAGAGGATCCCGTCCATTAACTTACTCAGTTGTAAGGTAAAGGCTCCTTTCTTTCTGCAAACTTCTTCACATCTTCAATTGTTCGAATACGACGATTCTCAACTGCAAACCACGGACACCATGTTTTTTCATTCTTTATACAAGTCTTGCGCACATTTCCAAAGCATTGGGCCTTACTTACTATAGTCATATTTTTTGGGAAGACATTCACCATCTCTATTTTACGCGCAATATTCTAAAGTTAATTTGTCATTAATACTTTGTCATTTTTTAAAAAGTTGACAGTCATATTTTATGCTTTATTTCTCCCTTTAAACATCTTCATTTTACATAGCAAACCGACTTCTTTATCATGTGTTATTAAAAATATAATAAACAATTTACTTTAAATCTTTAAAAGTGTGTGCTTGTTTTCGTGTATATGATCATTTTTTATTAATACAGATAAAAATAAATACAAATTTGCCATTATACAGGTAAGCGAAGTGCGAAGTAAATAAATACAATAGTTAGGGACTATACATGATAAAATTATTACGCTAAGAAATATCTACAGTATCTGATTTTTCCGTAAGATTACTCGATGACTTTACCCTTTTTATTTTCCTCCCCTTGTCCAAGTCGAGAAGAGCAGAGTCCACCTTTTGCGACTCCTCCAACAACCAGATTATATGACCAAGTATTTTTTCCGCCATGTCTTTCATACCCACAACTTCGTACGCAACAAATACAACTTAAACGTCAGTTACAATCCCCATGCCGTGGGGTTTTTGCTTTGTAGCACGTATTTTTCACATCAGGCCTTCTTCCTAGTATGTATCCACCGGTTAGACTATTTTAGCGATGGTAGTTTAGTAGTATTTGTTTCAATTTGTGATCTTATATGTAATATTCTGCTTAAATTCGCGTCATGTTAGGAACCCATTGATAAAAAATCAAATCTATGTTCATCCATTTCGTTTGCTTTGCGCTTACGACCACTCAATGATAATTCCAACTGTACGGTAGCTTGTGCGAAACCAGCTATTTTTGAATTTTAAAGAAATAATAGAGGTGTAATCCCCATCTTATTTACTAGTAAAATAACTAAAATAAGGGGATTAAGATATCTAATATTCGGACAATTTTGATAAATTACTTGAATTTTGTTTTACGTCCACATAGACTACCTTTCAGTTACTCTTGGCATATTATCTCAAACTAAAGAAAGTGTTATATTGGTAGTTTATCTTCATTTAAGAGTGTAAAGTATTGATCATCAACCGCTCTTGTTTGTATTTGTAAGTCTCCTCATAATAATAATATATTGTATAAATAATAATAAAACTATAGATTGTTTTTCACTGCTTAAAATCATCTTTTTTGACCCGATAATTATCCCGGACGTACGCGATTCGATTCCATAATCAAGATTTCCACGCCCATTTCTTCCTTCAATCTACTTGATCTTTAAACGGGTAAGTAGATAAGTATAAGAATAAATGCTCTTGGTGGCCTCATAGTATATGTCGATAAGAGTTGTTGCAGCGCGAGTCTCCAATTCGTCAAAAAGTTTACGTAGCGCTTCTTTTATATTTCTCATTCTTGTTGTCGACACATCCACACGAAAAAACGGGATAACTCTAGTCATCGCTAAGCACATAGGGTACACACACTTTTCGGAAAGGTCCATTCGTTAAATAGTTTTGATGGCGTCTCAATAAACACGGTGAACTTAAGGTTGTTTTTTGATATTAACAACTGCAATAACTCGGAATAAGATATCGTTCCTAGGTGAAAATCTCCCTCCGTCGTTCATGAAGCTGAGCACTACTCCATCATTTTCAAGTGCAGAAGGTTTATACATTTCACGCATGGGATCTTTGAGGCATTCGAGAGTCGTATTCACCACCCACTTCGGTTTGGGCCCACAACGACGTCAAACTCTGTAATGCAGCAATAGGACAGTAGTTTGACCTTCAGTGAGCTATTATCTTGCTTAATAACCTAAAAATTTTCAGCCGGTGCCCCTGCCGAAATTTTGTCAAGAATAATTCTTACCATGAACAGACTCGTTGAGTAATGCCTGCAATGAGACAATTGTTCCCTTATTTCCAATACCTCATTCGAAACTATGACATGAATACACTCTTCACCTGGTGAGACAAGAAGTACTTCGAAATTTTTCTTATGGCAAAGAGTTCATCGTTGTCTTGAGGTGAGAGATTCCTCGACTGATCGTTATGATCGCCAGCAATTTCCACCTTACACAGCTTTGAGCTTGTCTGCAAGAAAATTGTCGAACTCTGGTGCTTTTTTTGCCTTTATAGCTTCCTTGTGGTGGCTAACCAACTTTTCCTATCAATATCGACAGCGAAAGCATTTGCAGTCATGTTTCTTTGATGAGATAGAGTAACGTGATAGACATTTCGGCTTATATAGTATTTTTTTGCGAAATTTTATTGGTGCAAAGTGCAGTATATGAGGACGAGCACAAAAAAAAATACCAAGTGAGAGTATATGTGAAAAATTCGTCCGTCGCACAGATCTGCCGTGACTTTAGCAACAAATATTCCGAGCTGTTGATCGCTGCTCCGGAGTCCGGACTGACTCGAAAATCGGTGCAGTCACAGAGTAAATCAATGACGTGCTTACTGCGCTAATGTATCCAGCACTTCAGGCATCCTTTTAATAATCCCATGTTGATAAGAGTATTAATAAACACTATTGCTGGACTAATTGTCTAAGAGCTAGAATGTTTGTTACATCGGCAATATTCGACATTGACATAAAAAGGCGGAAAGGGGGAGACTCTCATGTCTTTGGATGATAATTTTTGGACTACACTTTTGATCCAACCTGCAATCAAAAGGATCCCATAATTTGTTGATAAATTAAAATATTGTTGGATTCAATCTCCAGCCATTCTGATTAGTTTTTAATCGAGAACTTAATCTGTGATCGCGTTTGAATTCCAGTATGTGTTCAGCTTGGACCTTAGAGGAATATCTACTTAGTTAGGTATAATTTCTATAATTCTTCCGCACTCTGACATGATTCATGCTACGTATATGGTATTATCTGTTCTGATTAGTACGTAATTCTTTAGATGATTGCTTTAAATTCCAAATTGTTGATGTGTAGAAAGTTATTTTCAAATTTCGAGACATTATTTTCCAACGTGCTCCTATTGAAGAAATCGAGGCAATGGTAAAGGATGTAAAACCAGGATCCTGTACACGCAGTTCTTTTTACTAAAATTCATGACCGTTATTAAAATTACCGCAGGTTTTGGATGGCAAATATTTGTAATATATAAAATAAATTACTAAATAAATTGCTGTATAATATACACTGTTTATATAGAACATAGACGAATAAATATAAATAAAAAATTTTTACTAATATTCATTTAATAAGTCAAAAATTGTCAAAACATCCGGAATTTGTGTTCAAACATTTTCAGGTCATTTTTGGTACATATTTGGGACATATTCGGGACGACTTTGAACGTTTTCTGGATTCTGGATATACATTTTTCATAATATTGCTCAATTTTTTTAAAAAAATAATAGATTTATTAACTTGGTTTTGTTTTATTAGTATACTGTTAGCACAGAAGCGAAATAAATAACGTACAATTGGACCAATCATATTTGTATGACCAGGAGAAATTTGATAGGGATAAAGTGGAGTTCCTCTATGATATAACGACATGTCACTGATGTCAGATATGAAAATCTAAAGGATATTGTTATATGTATTTGTGGGAAAATAAAATTTTATCATTATATCGAGTTTTTTTAATATATCGATATATCGAATATCGATTGCTAGTAAAAACATTTTTTTGCTATGAAAGAGTTTTACCCCACATTGGCTTTTATTTTTTAATCGATCCAAAATTAGACTTATATCAAATTTGAAAAAAACTTCCCAATCCCATAAAATTATTCACATGGTGAAATATGTAAGAGATTTATTAATATATACAGTAATTAAACAAACCTGTTATTTTATTTATAATAAAGATCATTCATAGAAAAAAAGACGCACGATGTATAAATAAATTAATCTCATATTTTAATATTGAATCAATCCAGAATTTGAGTCTGTTTGAATTTAAAGAAACAAAGGAGGCGAATCAACTAAGAAAATTATCTATAATTATTGGTATTAAAAGCCAAAAAACCTTTTCGATAAAAAAACGAATATCTTCCTTCCGCATCATGTATTTGTGACTTTTTTTTTTATCAATGTGTAACGATCAAAGGTTTTTTTTAATCGGTCTATGACAGATCTCTGATCTATAGTATATTGTCTTCTAAGAAACATTTGTTTTAAATAAATAATTAACAATTAGTTTAATTCAACTAATAGAAAAATATCCGTAATCCAAATTTCTAATTTATTTATTGTAGTATCAAATTGAATGCAAATGATGCAAATGTTCATAGAATATTATATAACCTTAATTAGATAACAACTAATATTAGAAATTATTTAGCTGACAAAGCAAGGCAACACAATGAGGTGTAAGTTGGTCGGTCAGTAATTTTGGGAATTAATAGTATTTTTTATTTAAAGAAAAAAAAATCATGTTCCTATCGATTTTTGTAATTAATTTTAAAAATTTAACTAATTATCTGTTATTATAAAATTTGTAAAAAATTTTTTTAAGAAGCAAATTGAAATTTCTTTTCTTGTTACGTATAAATTACGTATAAATTACGTATAAATTACATATGAATAAGTAATTTATTATTGTTTTACTTAACTAAAAGAGTTTAGATAGAAAATTTGGCGGTTGTTTAGTTGTTCAAGAATACAGTAATTCAATGAAAGATTAGCCAGCTAACAAACCTTTATTTCGCGGTAATTGCTCAGAAAAATAAAGTACAGGTTTAAAATTTCACCTACTTTTTCCACTATTTCCTTTTTAAACATATTTTAAAAGAGGGAAAAGCCTAACCCTAGCAGGATGATTTAGAGAGATTATGGGATAATATTTCGATTTCTTTTTTAACTCGGTAATAAAAAGTTTTTGTCCATTAAAAGAGAATACGAGAGTATGTTTATCCATATTTAATTGTAAAGTGATTCTATCACCTTTACCAAACTTGAAACCCATAATAATATTTCCAGTATGAGAATATAACATACCAGCTGAAGAGAGTAACCAAGTATTTTTTTGACATCCACCAAAGAGATCATAATTAAATTTTGAATTTGCGTGAACTCCAACACAAATTTCCAATTGACCAATTTCTTCAATAAAAACATCCCATTCATAAGTACCATTATTAGATATAACAAAATTTGCTTTAATATTCTCATAATATTGATGATTTGTTGTTGCAACTGATCCTCTACATATAACATAAATATGACCACCACATTCTCCTTCATCCCAATAAAGTTTTACCATTCCACGAGTTGCTGGAAGACTCTTTTTATTTGTCGAGTAATATCTATACGCGTCAATTATAATAGTATTCGGAATTATTCCTAATGGTTCAATAATTTTTGATAAAATTTTTCCGTCAATTCTACGAAAATCAATGTATTTGATAATAGGAAGTAAAAATTGATAAATTTTTGGACGTATTCTATTAAATTCACATTTACTATTAAATTCAAGTTCTCCTTCCACATATTCTTCAATATCATCTAAATCCGGTAATATAGCATCAAGCGTATTATACGTGTCAAGATCGATATTATGTGCAGCCAATAAAGCGGCAAATCGAAATACTAAATATTCTGGAGTGGAAAATGATTTATTAAAATTATAAGTATAAGCTAAAACATATTTTAAAGCTTGAATAGAAAATTTGGATAATGAAATATCATCAAAATGAATCCTTGCCACAGAATCAGCAAGAAAATTAAGTAATTGATCATTTACGCTCCTTTCTTCTATCAATTCAATTTCGTGAAATGGTATTTTTGAAATCATTACTGATAATAATTCTGGTGAATTATTAACGGTACTTTCATTTTCTATTTCTTGTTCTTCAAATGACTCTTTAAGATTTTCAATAATTAATTTTTGCAAATCAGGTAATTGAAAATAATCAGCCGCTAGATTTGTTTCAACCAAATTATCTTTATCAAATACAATTTCTTCAACAGATCCTGTATATAAAAATTCTAAAATGATTTTCATCGCGCATGATTTAATTTCAGGAAAAGAAATTTGTCTTTGAAAAGTTTCTTTCATTCCATTAAAAAGTAATCCATTAAAAACTTCTGATCTTGCCGCTAAAATTGCTCTACTTCCATAAAGTGTCGCGCCATCTTCGCAAAAAATTTCTATATCGCTATACTGCGGGTTGTCGATCATGTCTTTAAAATCTTGCGTTATTGAACTTCCACGCGTCATCATTATAATAATAGTATCCAAGTTTATTTTTTTTTTACTATGAGAGTAAGTTCTAAATATTAGAAGTTAAAAAAAAAAAAAAGAATAAAAGAATAAAAAATAGAAGAGAAGAAATGGAAGAAATGGGAATTTAAATTAAAAAACTAAATTTACTCTCATCTTTTATATTAAATTTAAATTCCTATTACGGTAATTTCGAGTCTGTGTTCAAATCAGAAAAGAGAAATCTCCGGCGTGTCACTTATTCACAAAGCAAATTTTCTCTTACAGCAAATATGAATTCATCTTAATTACCTGATTTATATTACAATCATAAGAACGACACCATCTATGACCTATGATCTATTGGGTAATTCCAAGCTATAATCACGTAATCACGTGAGAATTTTTTCATATGTTAACTGTGGGAGGGATTCTGCAACTATGCATGAACATCGTACAAGTCCAATTTATATTTATTTTAACGTAGCCCCTCTCACGCCCTATAAAACTTTAAAAATTATTGTTGAATCAGTTTTACATTTTATACTTTTTTAGTTTTAGCCCAAAAACTATATTTAAACGAATTATTACGAAATTTCTCAATATTTCTTTTCTCTCTTCATTTTTTGTTGGTTTTTTTTTTTTAAAAAAAAAAAAAAATTTTTTTGTCTGTATAACATAAACTTTGTTACACTGGTCATGTCAAATCCGTCACAGACCGTTAATTCTACTTTTGAATTTTCGATTCCTTACTCAATAACAAGATATGACAAAGTTATATACACTTCGATATTTTCTACGGGGGATAATATTTTTTGGCAGTTAGAATATCATCCGGTAAAATAAATGAAATTTTTTAAAAAGCAACCTTTTCCATTTTTTTTTTTGTGTACAAAATATAAATAAATTTTCCTTACCTTCATTTTCCTTTTTTTTAAAAAAAAATATCTAGACGGAAATGGAAAACATGGATTATTGTTTATTATATCTTATTGCTATACCGAATCCGGAAGAGACACAAACGATGAAATATTGGAACAGACGTGCAGATTTATCTGCTACTATATATGTTAAAAGCTACGACTATTATAATTCTTATTCTTTAAGAACAGATGATTATTCTGTGAGAAATAGGGCATGGGGTAAATAACTCTAAATTAATTAATTATTTTGTCAGGTTTTTTGTTTTTTTTTTTGTAAAAACTTACTTATTAATCACAATTTTTTTTTTTTAGGGAAAAATTTTGTTAAACCATTAGATTTAAATCATCCGATAACAATTGGAGTTACATTCAAGAATTCAAAGCTTGAACGTAATCAAATTGATTCACCAATGACAACATCACCAAAACAAAATAAATTTTCAAAACTTTGGGAGGAGGAATTTAATAATAGGGAATCAAATGATGTACAATTTAATGTAAAAGATGGAGTAATTTACGCTCGTAAATCAATATTATTAAGACGATCAGAATATTTTCGTAGGTTATTTCAAGGAAGTTGGAGTGAAACAAATAAATCATTACAAAAAAATAAGAATAATTCTCATTATGTTATTAATATACCTGATATTTCTTATGCGACATTTAGGGAAATGCTTAGATATCTTTATACTGATGAGATAAGTTATAATAATTTTAATTGTACTCCTTTAGAAATATTTAAAATTGCTGATAAATATTTAATATCAAATTTAAGGGAATTTGCTAGAATAGAGATTAATAAAACGCTTACACTAAATAATGTTATGTATGTTTTATTTAGTGAAGCTTGGAAATGGCCTGATCTTAAGGATGATGTTATTGAATTTATTATATTAAATTTTGATAAAGTTAGAGAAACTGCTGAATATAAAGATTTAGTTTCAGAATATAAAAGTCATCCTGCTGGGATTGAAATTATGTATGAAATTGTTGGAAAATTAATACCAAGAAAATATAATTACATTGTATCATTTTAAGATAGTTATAATAATTTTATAGACTTTTAAAAAAATATATATATATATCATATGTTTCTGGAAAACAAGGAAAAAAAAAATGATACCTTTATTAAAAAATATATAAATATGTATTAAATATAATAAAAATAGAAAGTAAAAAAAAAACATAAATAAAAACAAAATTTTTTTATTAATAAAATTAACCATTTAGATAAAAAATTAGGAATAAGATTTTTAGTTATTTTGTCTTTTTAATACTGAACAATTGAAGTTAATTAAAATGCCATCAGTAAGAGAATTTGATGCTTTAATTTCAACTTTAATGGTTCGCTTTCATTTCGAATCGATTCTTGATGCTACTTTTCTAATTTGCTCTTCCATTTTTTGGCATTTTCTTTGACGTCGTGTTTTTTTTTATTTCTTCTTTCTAGATCTGTTACAACAACAGCTGATAATAATCGTTTTTAGTTCTTTGGATGTGATCATATGCTCTATTTGTTCATGATACATAAGCCGTCGCCTGCACTTTTGCTTTTGCATTTCTTTGTATTCACTAATAAGTTCCATTTTTTTTTTTTTTTTTTTCAATNTTTTTTTTTTTTTTTTTTCACTTTCATTATATTGTTACTCAAATCGATGCAATTTGTATTAAAAAAAACATTCGAAATGGACGAAAACACATCAGATCGACAATTGCCTGAGCGCCTCGGTATTCGCCGCTCACCGCCTTGCAGAAAGTACGTCTTGTTTCACGACAGTAAATGAATTGCGTAAGCCGTAAGTGACTTGTCAAAATTTTATTGTCAGAGCATTACTAAAACTAAACAAGGCGATTTCAAGGGTTCTTATTCTAATCCTAAATACGTTAACAGTAATTTTAATACACATGAATTTTTTCATAGAATGAAACTTTTTCATTTACTGACCTCGGTTAAATCGATTATCGGAACAAAAGTTTACATCATCTGATCTTACAAATTGTGTTTGTAATTTCAGAATACAATTTATCTTTTTAGAGTTTTGAAAGTTTACTTTTGTTGATTGTAGTTTATTATTGTACTACACAAAGTTGCATCTTTCATCCTTTCATTTTTAGGCAGGTTTAATAAACGCCAATTAATACTTACCATTGGATCCATGATTTTTTTTGCATAAGTAATTAAGAATTATTTATAATTAACCGTAGATTGTTTATATGCATATGCGCATGAAAAATTAAAAAAAAACTTAAATCTAGTTAAGAAAGTTTTTATGAATGAATAACTTGCGGATGGCTAAACCGATGAAGTTTGATAACTAGATATTAATAATTATTTGTTTGAGAAACAAAAAATACATGTGAAATTCACTTGACCAATTTTTTTTTTTATCATCTAATCTTTTAGTTTCTTACTAGTCCACCAATAGGTTCAATATCATTTAAACCTTTTAAAAGTTTAAACATAATTAAAATCTGAAGATATTCAATGATGTTATGCTATTTATTATTCCTAAATTCGTGTACGTTACGGTCGTCACATGGTCACATTCACGTGATATATATTTACAAATTTATGATGTCATATACCGCAGATTAATTAATTCCCAATAACAAATAAAATAAAATTGCCGTTTCTCCCATATTTTATCGTGAATAGTTAGTATCCCCAAGATCTATAAAATTCCTGTGATCTGGAACATTCTTTTCAAAACTTAGGGGACCCAAAGCTATAATACACACGTCAGATAATCAAATTTTGGCCCTTTCGATGCTAAATACAAGATTATGTTATAATGACGGATCATATCTGATTGTAGCCAAGGGTTTTCTTATGAAAATTTATTGATTGGCATTAACCGGACGCTACTAACTAGAGCAATCTTACGCTTCAACACGAATTCGTTTTTGATTTTGAATCCCTACGCAATCCAAAAGAATTTAAAATTATTATAATATTATATATATAAAATATATAAATTTACTATATTTCGCTTACCATTGGTTTGAATTTCAATTTCTAATTCCTCAAAATTACGCTTTCTTGATATCTTGCTAACATAAATCAACGAGTTTTGAACAGTAGAATTTATCTTTGATGAAAATTTTATACTAATACACAAAAATTAATTTTTTTAAAAAAAAGAATGATTAGATTAATATATTATATTATTTAAATTTTTTTTTATATTAATACATACCTATTCATATCAAAATCACATTCTTTTGTAACATAATCTAAAATGAAAAATTTTTATAAACAATTTAATTAATTAATATATAATTAAATAATAAATTGTTTCAAAAAGATACGTACGTGGAATTGTAATCAAATTGTTTAATTCTCTACTATTATAAATAGCACCAGGATGATATTTAGGACAAAATTTAATTGATTTTATTAATTCCAATCTCATTTTTTCTGCTTGTTTAAATTGTTCAACAATTTCATCTTTATTTTGTTGATTATAATAATTTTCATAATCATGATAATAACATAAATCATCATGCCATCTTTGAATAATTTCACAAAATTTAGTTATAGAAGGTCTTTTTAAAGGATTAGGATTCCAACATTTTTTCATTAATTTAGCAAAACATTTAGGTGTATCATCTGTAATTTCTGGTCTTTTTCCATTAATAATTTCATAAATAAGATTCATATTATGTTCAACATTAGAGAAAGGTTTATAACCTGTCGTAAGTTCCCACATGATCATACCCATACTAAATATATCAGATTCTTTTGAATATTTAGCACCACAAAATATTTCCGGTGCAATATAAGGTATTATTCCATATATTACATTATCTAATAACATATTATTTACAGGTTGTGATAATACCAAATCTCCAATCTTCCAAGTTTCTGATAATAATATATTCCCACTATGAAAATCTCGATGTATAGAATTTGATTTATGAATACATTCAAGTCTAAAAATAAATAATTAATTAATATAAATGAATATTTAATATATATTTTAAAATATTTTAAAAATATTCAAATTACCCCTTTGAAATTCTCCATAAAATATTTAATTTTTTATTCCATGTAATCTTTGTAAAATTATTTTTCAAATAGTTATGTAAATCTCCTCCATTTGCATATTCCGTTATTAACATATAATCCTTCGTTTTAGGGTCTCGTGTAATACCGTAACATTTAATAATAAATGCATGGTTATAAAAATGATGAAGTGATTTTAACTAAAAAAAAAAAGATTACAAAATATATATTACTTTAAAATTATCAATATTTATTACTGTATTGTATAATAATAAATAAATTATCACCTCAATTAAAAAATTAATAAAATAATCAGTTATATTTTGTGAATTTGAAAATCTTTTTATAGCAACCGTTCCATATTCAGAAACATTTGCTTTATAAATAATACCAAATCCTCCTTTCGATAATTTTTCTAAATTTGTGATTTCAGAATATGATATCCACTTTATTATAGAATAATAATTATCTTTAATATGTTTATACACATTTAATGGATTAGAATCTTTCATACTAACATAATTGACAATCTTTTGATGATTAGTGTTAATTGTAGATATTAGAAATTCATCCATGTTATTGCTAATATCAACGTCAATAGATGATACTCTTTTGCATTTATTACATTGAGTTTGATCTATTATTCCAAAAATAACATTTGTCATTAAACAATATCTACATCCAGAATAAATTATAAAGCAATATGAACACCATTTCTGACAATCAGATACAAAATTTAGGTGTTTATTACAAGATACACAGTCATCAAAAGTATCCCACCATGGTAAATGAAGAATTGGGATAGGATTTTTAGTTATAGTTGATTCTTTCCATTCATAAGAAATTTGATAATAAGAATAATTTGAACGTAATAATTTAGATTCTCTACATATTTCACAACCTCCTCCTTTTTTAAGTAAAGTAGAAATTATAGATTTTATAATAATTGTGGATCCAAATTCTTCTTTATCAGCAAATTCATTAACTCCCTATAATTATATAATTAATGAATTTATAAGCTAAATTATTATTTTGTTAAAAAAGAATCGTATAATTAATTATAAATATTTTTACCTTAGAATAGATTGTCGCAAGATCTGAAGGATCTTCAATTTGTGACTGAAGAGAAGAAATATATGAAGATTTTGTGACCACTTGTTTAAAATATGAAATCTCTGAGCAATATTTACACCATTCATGAATATTTCTTGTACAACAATCCGTATTTCCATTTGCTTCATGTTTATTATGTTCAATACATTGAGTATAACCCCTTATATGTACATCCAAATATATTTCTTTACCTGTCATATGTTTAATATATTGTATTAAACATATTTTACAATATTTTTGTTTAAATAAATTTGTTTCAATATATTCATTTTTACAATAATTACATATATTATCATTATTATTAAAAGGAATAAATAAAATTGGAACGGGACTAGACTTTAATTTTGATGTAAAATCAAATGAATCAATATTATTAAATTCCATAATGCCGGTTTACAAGGATTACAAGGATTACAATAAAAAAAAATTAAAATTTTAAAAAAAAAAAAAAAATTAACGTATTTATGAAATGTTGAGCTATTTTATAGTTTCTAGGAAACTATTTTCAGGTAATGATGATGTCATACATCCCTTAACGGCTTGATCCCCCTTCTTTCCCCTATAAAACCCCAATAAAAAAATTATTGATATCATCATCCTTTATTTTGATGCCTTTTTGGTCGATAAAAGATTGATTTATATAGGTTAATAAATGTTTAATATACAGTATATGATTGATTGTAGGATTACTAAATAAATATCGATTATAATGTTTTTAAAAAGAATGTTTATTTAAAAGGGGTATTGATCAGCCCTGATTCTTATTATTATATACTTTATTAGTACAGACAATTTACATACTAGGGGGAGTTTATTATTCAATGCCAGAAATTTTTAATGAAATTTTGGTTAATTTTAGTAAAATCGATTTTTTAATAACGACTATATATAACTTTGATAGGGCTTCACATGTTTTTTGTTGATATAATATATCATTTCTAAAATATCTTTTTATTTATCATTCTAAAATATCATCATTCTAAAAGTTTATTTATCATTATTTATTTACCGCAGAATGGTTAGGATATCAAATTAAAATGTATTTATAATATTATGTTTACATATAGCACGTTATCAATCCGGTATAAACCTCAACGTGCCCATAAAAGCAAACAACGGAAATACTCTTCTTGGTATGGTCAGAATATAATAAAATTCCATATTTGAAAATAGTATAGGAATAGATTTCCCGACCCTCCTTTCACAAAAAACCCCGTGATTTTCAACACGCCCGTTTGGAAGGTTCCAATGAACATTTGTATTGAAATTGGTCATATTTCAATCCTTTCTAATTTTTTATTAATATTATTCCATACATATATGTATATGTAAAACTATGGTATTGGAAACTTCCAATGGAATTCCATTAAAGTTGGAATTGTAAGAATTGGAAGATTCTAATAGCTTCCAATCTTCCAATGCATATCACCCGTTATTATATTTATTTTTAAGGGATTAGAAAATTAGAACATATGATCTTTTTTTTCAAAAAAAAAAATAAAGTGTGAAAAAAGCGTAACCAAAGTTTATTCACTATGTCCAGCCTAATTTGACAATAAATGGTTTTATATTTTTTACCATTTTTGGTTTTAGATGCACAAAAAGTCATGTTACCAAAATTTTTTTAAAAACCTGATCGCGGATTTTCAGTTTATCGAATTTTTTTTTTTATCTTTTAGTTCACTAAGACATAAAGTAATAATAGTAACTTATTACTCTCCTGACATCCCAACTGGATGCTAAATTAAATTAATATGTATTTACAGTTCCTAAATCATAATGAAAGGCGTATCAAGATAATAGAATATTTAAAGGAAAGAAAATACAAGTGAAAGTTTACAAAAATTGGCTATACTAACTGCTGGTATGAGCTGTATTGAAGGATTATCACAGATAATTTTTAACATCTATTATCTTGTGATCTAGAATTTGAAGAAAACTCTTCAAATAAAGAAACTGAGTAGTGTTTCCTTTATGAATGTATAACAAACATCTACTATTTTCAAGCTAATGATATGAGCAGAACAGAGGATGATGTTTGGAAAATGATAGTTATTAGATATATTTTTAGATACTACTTCTCAAAAATCTGACTTTTGCACCAACTTTTACTAAATAAAATGTCTCAATTGTCAACTGTAACATCAAAAAGAAAAAGAAAGCATGAGTCTTACAATTTGAATGAAAGGATTCATGAACAATTTAATAGAATTTTAGGGTAAAGGATTTGTGATAAAAGTAAAAAACAAAGAGGTATTATCTCTTTACTCTTTCTACTAGTATACAATAAAACCACGATGCAATAAAATATTTAATTTAGGAAAGAAGGTAATAATAATTCAATAAATAATGTAAAGACAAAGTAATAAGTATTACTATATTATAGTTAGTGGACTTCTGAAAACAGATGGTAAAAATACACTGAGATTTATATTTTTGATATCTGCTGCTTACCAATGTAAATAGAATTTATCCAGAATTTTAATATTAGTAAAAATAAAAATAATAAAAAAAAGTGTTAATATTTTTAGAATTCAAAATAGATTTAGTGCAATAACTCACCATCTGTGATCATAAAAAGACAATTAATACCCTCTCATTAAGACAGTCCAAATAGTACCAAAATCATCATTAATAAATGGAAAGTTATTTTTACCAAAACAAAAGCAGATAATTTAGAGCCAGAAGAAAATAGAAGATATTTACAATTCTAAAGTTAATTTTTAATTTTTTTCATATTTTTTATTTTTTTATTTTTATATTAGATAATATATATTTAAAATTTACCAAATTTTAAGAAAAAGTTATTCTTATATAAAAAAAGCAAAAAAAATGTTAATATTTTTAATATTTTTTACAAAAAAATATTTTTCCTTTATTATATTTAACAAAATATATAAAATATTCAATAGCAACATTTTATTTTTCCTAAATAAAAAAAAAACAAAAATGGTAGGAATGTTTTTAATATCTTTTATAAAAAAAATCCTTTTTTATTTTATTTACAAAAATAGATTTTATTTTCAAAGATTTTATGTTATTTTTTCTAGATAAGAAAAATGAAAACATTAAAAATGTTTCTAATATTCTTTACAAAAAAAAAAAATATTTTCTTTTTATTTTTTAAAAATTATATTTTGTTTTTTCTTTTAAAGAACAAAAAAAAAAATTTATATAAATAAACTGATATAATAAATCAGTTAATTTTATATAATAAAAAAAATAATAATATATTATTATAGTAATAAATTACATTTTCCTTTCTTTTATTCATATGATTTACAATTCAAATTACAAATTAATATTTATTTAATATAAAAAATTTTGATATATATAAAATTATACTATAGTTATTAGATTAAATGATTTATTTAAAAAAAAAATTTCTTTAACTTTTTAATTATATAAAAATATTATATAGTTTAAATTCTCAATATATTTATTTTAATTATATAAAATTTATTTATAACAGTTATAATAAAGAAAAAACTTATTTAGCACTATGTGGTAACAATTGTTATTTGTTACATTATTTCAGGTTGTACAAGCTATTTTTATTTTGTGATTTACATATATTACGATCAGTAAATTTAATTTTCTTTTTCACACTTTCTTTTTGCATTTCTTATTCTTTTATTCTCTCCATTAACTCCCGTTAACTTTTACTTCCTTTTTTTTTATTTTTAAATTTTAATCTTCCTTTTTATTTCATTCTTTTTGATTTTTATTACATTACATTTCAAGACTTATAGTTGGATAGAATTAGGGTAAGGCCATATAATAGAATTGACATAGGATTAGGATTAGGATTAGGGTTAGGGTTAGGGTTAGTTAGAGTTAGAAGTTAACATGGAATTAGAGTTAGAATAAGAAAAATTGGCTAGATATATTACTCATTTATGCAATTATTTTTTTTTTTAGTCTTAAAAATAGATGCATAACATGAAAATATAAATTTACTTCAATTGGAATATGACTCAAATATTGATGCTTTTTTTGAAAATGAATAGGATGCATTTGATACATTTGACGAACCTAATGTTGAAAGAGATGCCCTGAAAATTTTTAATGTCACCCAAATTTGTAATTCTGGCCGGCGTTATGAATTCTGGCCAGAATTATTGCCGATCAGTTGTAAATCCAATCCGGATTCTGGTTTCTATCCGGATTATTTGACCCGGATTAGAATCCGGATTGATCCGGATAAATCTGGGTCCTTTTTTGTGTAACACAGATGACGGTTTTCATCCAGATCGAAGCACTACGGGTAACTTGCAAATTTTGGAAGTTTGGCCCTGTACCCCCAATTATGCGAATTTTTACTATTAATTGAAGGGGTTTAAACTTATAAAATAATTAGGTGTTGTTATATGTCACACCTACGATATTTGTTGGATTATTTAAATAATAAAATCAATGAAGAACGTGAATTCTTTTTTGAGGGATACATGGGGTATTATGGCCCGTTATGCAGTCTGTTCAACATATACCCCCTATTATACTTGCCGCCCATTTAAAATCCCTCCCATCCCCTCCCATCCCCTCCCCTCCCATCCCAAATCCCAATCCCATCCAAATCCCAAATACTTGTGTAACATTTCTCCATTGGACAATTATCACGTGACGTTACACAAACTTCCAAAAAAAGGAAATTTTGCCTCCCGCAAAAAATGGGCAGATTTGGTTTCACAAGTATTCCAAAAAAGGAAATTTCTATGCCGATCACATAATTCTGGCCGTAATATTTTAGTTTTCGAAGTCTAATGTTAATTCAGGTCAGAATTTAGTTTAAATCCTTATCCTACATACCCCAATTTTTAAGAGATTTACCGATCAGATTTTAATGAAATTTATATCATTGGATTTGTCTCGATGCAAGGAATTTAATGGCAGTGAAATTATATTCCCAACATTAATATTGACTAAGTTATTATAAAAAATGTATTTTATAATATATATTATTAAATAACATGTATAAAGCAAGCAATAATTGGTTACTTTTAATATAAAAAGTTTTTAAAATATATTTATTCAATTTATTATTTTATATTTTTTATTACAATTTAACTTTGAATTAACTTAAACCTATCTATTAATTCATCAAAAAAAGTTTGATTATTTATTTCTAATATATATAATTTGATAGATATTATTATTATTGCATAAATATTTAATAAAATAATATTTACAAACCAGGAATTAATTAACTGTTAATCTAAAAAAACAATATCAGCAGATATCATCAAAATTATTAATTCAAATAAAATAATCAATATATTACTGAATACTAACTGCTAACATGTTACTTTAAAATAATATATAGTATAAAAATACATTTTTTATAATAAATCAGTCAATATTAATTTTAGAAATATGATTTCACTACCATTTAATTCCTTGCATCAAGACGAATCCAAAGATATAAATTTCATTAAAATCTGATCAGTAAATCTCTTAAAAATTGGGTTTGTAGGATAAGGATTTAAACCTTTATAATTTGTAATTCCGGCCGGAGTTAAAATATAAACTTCGTAAATCTGTTCGGGATCTTAATTTTGCTCATATTCTGGTAATGGATGCAATGCTGGCCAGAATTATATGATCGGCGTACAAATTTCCTTTTTTAGAATACTTGTGAAACCAAAATCTCTCAATTTTTGCGGGAAGCAAAATTTCCTTTTTTGGAAATTTGTGTAACGTCACGTGATAATTGACCAATGAGATTATTTGGGATATGGGTGGGATTGGGATTTGGGATTGGTATGGGATTTGGGAGGGGATTTTGGCAAAAGGGATGGGATATGGGATGGGATGGGATAGGGGATTCTCCCATCCCATTTAATATGGGTGGCAAGTATACCCCCTATCGCCAACTTTTTCGCAAATAAAATTTTTTCACACTTATCCTCGTATACAGCTGTTTAGCCAATAACATTTCGCAAAAAACAGTATAAAACCCGAAAATTTCAGTCACGTTACTCTGTCTTGACACTCGCGAACGCTTTCCCTGCCCATATAGATGGAAATACTCTGGTTGGTGACCTCAAGAAGGTTATAAAGGCGGAAAAACAGAATGACTTTGCTGGTGTAGACGCAGACAGGCTCAAGCTATGGAAGGTGGAAATTAGTGTGATCACCTGGACGATCAGTTGAAGAATCTCAAACTCTGACAGTGACGAGCTGTCAGCAATAAACGAAATTGGAGACTACTGGACCGGGAAGCCACCCAAGAAGCATATTCACGTCTTAGTCGAACCACCTGCCTCGACCGCCACTTCGAGCCGCGAACAGGAATTACTTGACCGCATCTCAGTGTTAGAAAAATCGCTCAGCAAGTCTGTTTATGGTATGTATTTTTATCCTCCGGTTCTCCGGCCTGACCTGAGGTTGCTGAAATATTCAGGGCACGAGACTAACCTGTTGTTGCATTATAACGTTCGATATCGTCGTTAGCCCGAAACGAACTAACGAACTAGGAATTTCAAGTGGACAGTGGATATCGATGACGCGACTCTTGATGGCCTCAAAGAATACATACGTGAAATGAGGAAACCGCCGGCACTTGAAAATGATGGAGCAGTTCTAAACTTCATAAGTAGTGGTTAGAGATATTCACCTCGGAACGATCAAGACCTCTGCAAAATGCTCCTATCAAACAACAGCTTCTACTCATTGAGACGCCATCGAAGCCCTTCAACGAATGGACCTTCCCGAAAGTGTGCGAACTCTACGGTCTTAGCGATGATCCGAATCCTAGTACTGACGTGTTCCCTCTTTTTTCGTGTGGTTCTGCTAACCTGAGTAGTGACAAGTCCAAAGCCGTGGTTAAGCATCTAATAGCCGAATTAAAACTGCGACAAGATGTTACTCCTCTCGACAGGGCGTATGAGGCGACGAAGACCATTTATTCTTACTGTTACTTAGCAAGCGCGGTTTCCTTTTACAAAGATAATTTCAAGCTCATACCGGAGAAGCCTGTCGAGGGACGAAATGGGCAAGGAAATCTTGATTATGCAGTAGAATGTCGTTCGACTGGCGGGATCCTTGGTGTGATCTAAGTTAAGAAAGAAATTTTATGAAGGGGTTCGCTCAGGCGTCCGTACAGATGGAGTCAACCTTGACACGTAAACGCAAAGCCGATGAAATCAATAATGGGCAGGATGTGGATAGGGTGTTTGGGATCGTTACCGATGCGTCCGAATGGTACTTTATGGAATGTTTGCTAGATCACGAGGGGAAGCCAACGTTTAAGCTATCGGAACAAGTGACCGTTGTGTACAAAGACGAGAATTTGCAAGATAAGGTGGAAAAGGTCCTCGGTCATATTGTTTGGTTGTTGGAGGAGGCGCAAAAGCCGATGGAAAGTGGTGAGGGCCTCGAGAAATAAAAAGGTCAAAATCATTGAGTAAAATCACGAAGAAGTAAACGTGTGAGTTAGTGTAGATAAACATAGCGTAGCAGGCCAGTCGTTAGAATCATATATCACGGGCAAAGTCCCGAACCATTGTATTTATTTAGCATGTATCACGGGCGCTGACCCGACTTGTATTATTTTTTTTTTTCTTGTATTAATAAAAAAAGCGAGCGTGTTTTATAAAGCATAAATGTATGTCTGCCGGCCCTAGTGGCAGTGTTACGTAATGTTTGATTCGAGCAGGTTCGGAGGTGATTGTCCGATCTCCAACGCTGGAGATGAACACGCATGCCACAATATGTTAACAGTAACACCATTCACTTGCATACAGAATATAACGGTTAAACCATGGCCGTTCGGGCGAACTTTATTATCAAAAAACTGAGTTCCTGAACTCGGTTCACTTTACATTCACGTGACATGCTACGCTGTATTTTTTGAAACCTGGCTAACTACATAATCAATTTTATCCAGCTTAATTTCGCTAAGCTCGAAACAGAATATGATCTTACTCGTTGAATCTTGTCAGAACCTATACGACGAAACAGATCATAACAGATAAATTTTTCGCGCCTGCTCTGTTTTCTTCCAGAGCGTAGTTTTCGTTATCTCCTTCGGGAGCTGATCCCTAACTTCATCAAAATTTCGGAATCTTGCATTTCAGAATGTTGTAATGTATATAAATCATATTGACGGAATTCCTACCAACAATAACGCAACCAAACTCGAATGGTGTACACAGAAAGAAACACTCAACATGCCGTACGTCTTGGACTTGGATACCTGCTGTCAAACAGATTTTTGTTGATGGATCATTCCGAGAATTTCCATCCTTAGCAGAAGCACAACGTGTTACTGTTGTTTTTTTTTAAAAAAAAAAATAGTAACGCGTTTTATTAATTATTTCAATTTATAAAATTACATAATTAATTTTAAAAACACTGAGAGCTTAGAAAAAAATAAAAATTTTCTAATTTCTATAACTAAGTAATCAAAAAATTAATATGTTAATACATCTTAACTGTAAGATCCCGGTTGTTACTAATACTAGATCCGTCCGTTATTTTTCCTATTAATCTATTTAGCGTTACATTTCTAATATTATTTTAAAAATTATTTTTTTAGTTTTTTCTATTATATCATCTGTTTTTTGTATTTTTTTTCTTTTGTCTTTTTCTTCTTTATTTATAGCCAGATCATCATCTGATTTCTCTTTTCTTTTCCGTAAGTCTGTCTTTTGTATTCCTTCTTTACGCTCAATTTCGTTAATTTCATCGCATCTTGGTATCCAGATTCTTTGCTTGAATTCTTCGTAAACGAAATTCCATAAATTCTTTATTACCATTTCTTCTTCTTTTTTATTCGTTGATTTATTAAAGTTATCATTATATACACCTCTTAGAATTTCCCATATTCGGCTTTTCCCTCTTAACACTATTGAGGGTTGTTCTGCTATCCTTATAAAATCAAAGTTAAATTTCCTTAAGATTTTGATTTCATCGTATAACTTTCTTTCTTCTAGTTGAGTTTCGTATTTATATATCGATTCTTGCAGAATTTCGTCTATTGATACTGCGTTCACTTCACATCGTCAAATATGTTCCCAGTTTTCAATCTCATTTATATTACATCTTTTGCATATGTCACTTTCTATCTTGTTCGTGTTTCTTTTAAAAAGTGTATCGTAGGATGGTACAGTAACACCTCTCTAAGTGCACCCCCCTTGGGACCATAGTAAAAAAATAGTAGAATGTGCACTTAGAGAGGGTGTGCATTTATAGAGAGTAAANTACAGTAACACCTCTCTAAGTGCACCCCCCTTGGGACCATAGTAAAAAAATAGTAGAATGTGCACTTAGAGAGGGTGTGCATTTATAGAGAGTAAAACATTAAGAGCTCTTATAAGTTGGGATCAGATCCACCGTGCACTTAAAGAGAATTTATATAGTGCGAGGGTGCACTTATAGAGGTGTCACTGTAATTCCTTTAATAAATTTTTTATACGATACGATCTATCTCTTGTATCTTTCTGGCTACATTGTCTTTGTGTAAAATTTATATGATCACTGATAAATTCCAAAGTCGATTTCCAGTCGAACTCTTTTCTGAAATTGTACATAAATAGATCGTCTAATTTTTCGCTATTAAGAATTTCGTTTTTCCAAATCGCGTCGGTGACTTTTTTCCTCCATTTTCTGAATCCTCATGTTACTATATGTTTGTTCCTATTTAAATTATATTCGTTTACTAAAAGGGCTTCTTCTACTATCTTGATTCTATAATTTATTGCGATGTAACTTTTTTATCATTCAACATTCCTCTCGCTTTTTTCTTTATCTTTTCCATCGTTTTATATTCTTGATCGTTATAATCTATTATATCTATATTATTATTATTTAATAACATCTCTATAAATAATAATTCTATATAGTAAAGTCATATAAAAGATTGGCTACTTTATCATTTATTCCTAATATTACGTCGCTCTTTTCATTAATAATTAAGAGACCGATAATAATACTTCTTATCAAAATTTTGAATTCATTTTCATTCATACATTCATGTTGAGCTAATAGCATTATCTCATTTTCGAGATTATCTCCTATTTCTCTAATCATCCATATTATGTTATATCTATGTCCTTTTTCCTTCTTTATTTATCTCGCTTTTGGTTTTAACTGCGTCTATTATTAAATAAAATTTATTTCTTCCCCTTTCCATGTTATCTTTCTCGAAAATACTATTTTTTAATAACATAATGAATTCTTCACTTGATTGTATTAAATTATCAATTATCTCGATTTTTTCGTTATATACTTCGTTTCTTCTTTCTTCTTCATTATATTTTATCCATTCATTTTTCTTTATGATATTATTTAATGTTTCATAAGGTTTTGTTTCTCCTTCGTTTCTTTTTTCAATTTTTCTACTAAATTCGCCCTCCAAGTAAATCAAGCATTCATTCGTTCCTTTTTCTTGCTAATATTTTTGGCGCATCCTTCACACTTGATTAAGCACGGCGAATTGTTTAAATCTAAACGTGTTACCGGAATTAAAAGCTCGAATATCAAACACGCTAGAATATCGTTGGGAGCACGTGACACGGTAAAATTTTCAGACCGCAGAAATCACGTGCCATATAAAAAGTTCGCGATCTTGAAACGCTGTCATACTTGCTCGGCGTTTCTCTTGTTTCCTGCACAGCTGCACCTTGGAACAATTTTATCAGAAAATGAGTGTCACAACAGAAGGTTCAGAAGAAATGTTCGTTCAAGTGTAAAATTAACCAAGTATTTAAGTGATGCTTAAGACTGTTTTAAAATAGCAAAGAAGTATGGCTAACGACTACATACAATAGATCTGCACGAAAATTGATGAAATACTAATGCAAAATCAAAATCAAACCATTATAAAAATTACTCTTCCTGAGCTAGATGAAAGTAATGTATATGTACAACAGGCGATATTTGATAAATACGATGCTGAAAAGATTGAGAAGGACTTGTTCATCAAAGTAAGTTTTATTTCAAGATAAATATCATTGATTTGAATCTGACCACTTTTTATATTAGATTGACGGAGGGCATAAAACAGAAATCCAAGCCCATTTGACGTTTTCAGGCAAGGTGCATAATCGAACTTGGTACGTAGCACCAGGTACATCATGCATGATGATGGGAAATAAATATAAGCCAGATGTTGGCATCTGGCTTATTAGGCCAACTCATGCACAATTGCATAAACCATTCGTTAACGCATGTCCTCCGCCTGACGTGTATATTGAGGTAATTTATTAAGTTCTTGTAGAATTGCAAATGGTTTTGCTCATCAGATCCAAATACTTGACAGGTGTTTTATAATCGTGACCCTGATCGTGGATTCGCGCTTGAAAAACTTGCTGTGATTCAGCAAAATAATCTTGGGATAGAGTTTATTGGAATCGCATTGCTCGATGGTCAAGCTCCCTTCCCTCAAAATCCGAATCCCGGAGTAGCATCGGTCCCTTCTACTCCTGTAAATCCTCCAAATGTTAGACCCCCTCGTGCGCCCTATTTTGTTTACTGGAATGGTACCAATTTGGTTTACTATAAAATAGATTGGAACGAACATTTGGTGTTACTATGTGGATGGACAATGGAGCTAAATATTGTACTTGATACGATTTCTATGCCATGATCTCATGAATGAAGTTATTATGGTGTGCATGAATATGATTATGAAGATTTAAAATAATTATATTTTTTTCATAAATGAATAGACAATAGATTATTATACATTGCAAGTTATACAAAATAAAAATTCTATGCATATGCGTGCTTGTAAATTCTGCAGAACGAACGATCCCTATTATTATTATTACCATTTTATAACAGTTTCGACTATAATAAATTTATCATAGAAACTAGGGTGACGTCAGGAATCAAGTTGGCACGACTTTTAATATTTTTTCAGTTAATATGTATTTATTGTGAGTTGTGTATTTATGTTTTTGTTTGTAATAATATAGAATATATTAAAGAAAAAGAATCTGTTTATAGATTTTTTTCGCTTTATTATCAATTATCTCATCCGCTTTTAAGTATCTACATTTTATATTAAATTTGTCAGCAACATTTTCCTTTCCAACAAAATTCATTAGCTTTAAGTTTGATACTTTTAAATAAATCATCATCATCTTGTACTTGTCTTATAACGTAACCAATGAGAAAAACAAATTAAACTAATCATCAAATGATCATTGATTTTAATTTTTAGAAAAAGAATTAATAATTATTTTCTTTGAGTGTTATTTTTTTTACAAAAATAATAAATTAAAAATTACCTCCAAAAATATCATCATGAGGAGGTTCCTCATTGAGAGAAAATTTTTCTGTAAACCTAACTACATCACCAGATGTAAAATCGGAAATCTATTTTGGAACTGATGGATTTTTTGGAAAAAAGGAAATTATTTTTAAATTCATTGTTGTATTATCTTCTTTTCTCATAATACTAATAGTTTAGAGTTCCGAATGGGTCAGGTCAGGTCAGGTTAATTGATAAAACCTGACCTGAAATTTTTTTTCAGGTCAGGTTAGGTCAGGTTATATCAGATTATCTGTTTGACCTGAACTGAACTGAAACCTGAAAATTTTCAGGATTTTTTAAAATATCAAAAAAAAAAAAATGGTGCAAAACATTTTTTTTTTTTGAAATGTTGCGATTCACTTTTTTATATTAAAATCGTATAAAAAGGTGAATCGCAATACCGCAACTAACTTTTTAAATATAAAATCAATATAAAAAGTGAATTCTGATACCGCAATTCACTTTTTATGTATAAAATCAATATCAAAAAGTGAATTCTGATATCGCAACTCACTTTTATTATATAAAATCAATATAAAAAGTGAATTATAATACCATAACTCACTTATATTATATAGATCATAGTTTCAGGTCAACAGGTCATTCAGGTTATACAACCTGAACTGATGCTGAATAGAAATTGCTAAACCTGACCTGATAAATTCAGGTCAACCTGTCAGGTAACCTGAATTTGGTCAACCTGTTCAGAACTCTAGTTTTTTTTATAATAAAATTAATACTTTCTTGTTCAACAAGTGAATGAATTACACAAATTAAATTTATTTATTTTATTTATTTATTTAATTTAATATGAAATAATTTATTTTATTTATTTTTTTATGTTAAGGAATAGATATTTTACTAATAAATAATTATGCTTATCATTTTTACCATTTGTTACATACATGATCATCATTTTTTTTTGAAAGAATTACATTTTTTTTTAATTTTCTTAAAAAAATATATCAGATATATATATTAAATTGCTATCTATAGAGAAGCTAACTGCAGATCTAATACTTAAAGCTTGAAGCTTAAAGTTTATACTTAAGTATATACTTCAAATTTCAAGTTTAATATAAAAATGCTGAAAAAGTTTCATGGTTAGTATGATTAACAAATTTATTAAAATAATGCTATGATTAAAGCTAGACACATTACATAGGCTTTCAGTATTCTTATCTTCAAACTAATGAGAAAATCCATTAATTTACTATGTTCAACTAGCATGTGATTACACAAATCCATTAATATATATAATGCATTTGAAATTTTCCATTTTGTTATTACACTAATTCCCTTCTTATAAATCATATTGATTAACATATATACCTTATAATTCCAATGCAGATAAATATTCCAGATGATTAATCAAGTTATATCTGCATCAAGATTCCTTTTTTTAGTGTTAATTAGATAACAAGTTATCAAATATCTTAATCTTCTTATCAATATTAGTAGTCAACTAAATGCTTGCAGTGTATTTGCTAAAATCATGTAATTTGGGTAAACAATATTTGCTAAAATTTCTGGAAAATAATATTTCTGTCAGTAGGAAATTCAATCTTGATATTTTCTAAGTATATACTAAAATGATAATCAGACTTGTCATTAGTGAAATTTTTTTTTTATATCTTCCATTATAACAATAATACTCTTATCTTCATAATATCTGTTATTATTATACATACGTGCTATACTCTGCTTTCTTTAACTTAAAATCTATCTGCAGAATCAGAGACATAAGTTAATGAAATAGATGTGGTTGTGATATTTACTTTAGCTATAATTTTACTTTATATACAACTAATTTTATATTGTACTTAATATACTAATATTAATGTAAATTTTGATTTATATTAATTTTTATAGTTAATTATTAAATTTAAAAATAAATTATATGAATTTAAGAAATATTTTGGAAAATTTGGAAAAAAAAGTAAATATTATTTTATAAGTCTAAAAGCAAAGAATATTATTATTATGTTTAAATATAAGTTTAATAATATTAGTAATATTTATATTATTAATATTATTATTTTATTTTTTTAAAGTATACATTAGTTGGTATTTTTTGATGTAATTGAATAAATTATATTATATATTCATTAAAACAAAAAAAAATATTATTTCATTGCAATAAATATCACTTAATTTTATTGTAATAAATAATAATATGTAGAACCGAGATGATTGTTAAGAGTATTATATATTCAAAGAAAAAAGCAGGTAACTAGTTGGATAACTTTGACAAAAAACTACCAAGTAATAAGAATACTACACCTAAATTTTGCATTGAGTGATAATGCAAAATAAGTGAAATATATTAAAGTCAGCATATAAGAATACACAATGTTTATTGGATGGGAATCCAAATGAATGGGTCCTCATGCCTGTAAATTCAATAGAATTTAAAGAACCAAACCTAAAATCTTTTAGAGATGAATTGTATCAGCTGACAGCTGACGTGCATCAGGTGATAGTAATGCTGGCCAAACCACTTAAGGCGTTATAATATTGGGCAATATTTGGCAGGCCGGCATCATCTGACGCAATTGACATCTGACGCATAACATAGATACGTTTAGACAATGTTGAATAATAATCAGTCAGGAAAATGAAATACAATCATACTACTATAGTTAAAATTCGTTATCTATATATATTTTTATCAAGTTACAATAAAATTTAATAAATTTAATAAATAAATATTTAACAGTTAATATAATATTATAACTCAAAAACAATGTCCATTTCCATCCCTATTATGTGCAATTGAAATAATGTATATATATATATAATTATATTGTTTTGATTATTCGTAATCACTTCCTCTATAAATGCTATTAAATTCCACCACCTTGATACCTTTTTCTTCAATCATCTTCAATACATTTGATTTCTCATTTCTTAATGTCGCAATTCCCAAAAATTTTAAATTATTATTACTTCTTTCAATATAATTCAAAATTGGTTCAAAATTATTAAATTTAATATCTTGTAAATTAATTGTTGTCAATTTACAATGAACATTATCTAAAAATTGTTTAGTATTATTATAAGAATGAGGACAACGAATTGATACTACTTTAACATTTGTAGGTAAATTTTTGGCTAAATTTTTAAAAATACCATCTAACCTACAATCAGATGAACTAGTAATATTTAAATTTTTAATACTTAAATTACTTAATTTACTAAAATTTTGCAATACTTGTAATGTAACATTTGAACTAATTCTAATATCTAATGTTTCAAGATATGAACAATTTAATAACGCGTCAATAATTAGAATAGTAGGTTTATCAATCATTAATCTACGTAATGATCCACCCAAATATTTGATCATCATAATTTTAACTTCAGATTTTAATTTTGGGGATTGAATTGATAACTCCAAAAGTTCAAAAGATGACGATCTTAATTCTTCACAATTTTCTAATGTTATCTTTTTACAATTACGAAATTTTAAATATTTTAAATTTGATAAACCTTTAAGATTCTCAAAAGAGACTCCCTTGAAATTAATATAAACAAAATCTAATGAGACCAAAGAATCTTTTTTTGAATCTAAAGATAAGAATATATCATATAATAATTTATTTTGAGGAATTGCTGTTCGAAAGGTATGTGTACGAGATTCATCATTTGATATTTTAAATCTCTTAAGATTACGTTGATTTTTAATAATTGAACAAATTTCTTTAATTGGTGGAGAAACTGAATTATATTTATCTATATTAATTTGTAAATATTCAAGATTTAAACAAATATTTGAAAATTTTCTTAAAAATTCCAAGAAAATCTTATTATTTAATTCACCTCCACAAAAATCAAATTGAATCGATTTTAAATTTGATAAATTTTTAATATGATTCTCAATAAATTGTTTACTAAAAATATTTCTAATTAATGAAGTTGAAGAAGTATTCATTTGTTTAATATTCTCACATTGTCTTAATAGCATGTAATGAAATAATGAAACAATATTATCTTTAGTTTCATCATTTAATTCTATTTTTTTAATATCAAGTTTATCAAGCCTATCGAGCCAATTTAAAATTGCTTCTCTTATATCTTTTTGATTAAATACCTTTATATATTCCGGATAATTATAAAATGTTTTACGTACATTTCTAATTGTAATTCTATCGCGGGAAAGTTTTTGTAACCGATCTATTTCTCTTTGATTTAAGAAATTTTTTAATGTTGAAATTATTCTAAAATGATTTTTTTTATGTTTTGGATTTTCAAAAGGATTTGCATAAAGTAATCGAATTATCATTTCACCCCAGGATCGAGTTACAAATAAACAAGTAAATAATGTTGAACGATCATTGTAAAGATGTTTATTAAAAAGTATATAGAAACAATCGTATGTTAATTTTTGCAAACTCATTTTTTTTTTTAAAGAATGAATTTTAAGGTTAAGATTTCAATGAAAAAAAAAAAAGAAATGGTAACGGTCAGCATTTATAAATATACGGTTTCTTCATGACATGGTTATACAATATTCATGTAACTTATGTGTTCCATTATTCTTTTTTTTTTTACAAATTCTTAATAGAATTTTTTATTACACTTTTATACACTACTTTTAGTAATTGGCATTCTTTTTTTAGTCCTTATCTTTGTAAATCTGAAAAGTTTACACAAAAATTATTTGACTTTGTTAAAATTTCCAAATTAGACCTTTTTTTTAAAATATCATTAAGATTTTGTAGATTGATACCACACTTACACACTAGTGTAACGATATGTCTTTCAACATTGTCTTTTTTTATCGAATGAATAAGTCAGAAAACAGGATACATTTAGAAAAACAACAAAAAGCCACATTGTGTTATTGTCTTATTAAGATGGGATGAATGATGAGTGATTAATAATTGGTCGAACGAGTTTCACGAAAGATTAATCGAAACGCGACAGGGGTTATGTTATTTTCTAGAAAGTAAGTTTGGAATTCGAAATTGTGGCTGAAATTTATTAATATTCTATTTTTAGAAGATTTAATCTTTAAAAAAATTCTTTCCTTGGTAAAAAAAAAACAATAATGCAATTAATTTATGGTGCATATTAAAACTAACATACGATCAGTGCATATTATTACTATTCTACGGTGCATACGAACAACTAACGTTCGATCAAGGTATATTGGTCGAACCGAGTTTCACGAAAGATTAATCGAAACACGACAGGGGTTATATTATTTTCTAGAAAGCAGGCTTGGAATTCGAATTGTGGCTAAATTTATTAATATTCGAAAATAAAATCTCTATTTTTAGATTTAATCTTTAAAAAATTTCTTTCCTTGAGAAAGACGTGAAAAAAAACAATAATGCATGGTGCATATTAAAACTAACATACGATCAGTGTATATTATCACTATTCTACGGTGCTTGGCATTCGAATTGTGGCTAAAATTTATTACTTAATATTCGTAATAGAATCTCTATTTTTAGAAGATTCAATCTTTAGAGAATTTCTTCCTTAAGAAAGACGAAAAAAAAAATAATAATGTATTAATTTCCGGTGCATAACAACTTAACATACGATCAGTGTATATTACTATTCTACGAGGTATATTATTTAATTCTAAATAGCAAAATTCGCTCACTTTAAATAATTGCTAAACTTTTATTCAACTCTCGAGAAATTTTATAAAACATTAAGCCTTCTAAATAAATCCAAATTGAGCTTTGCCGCTTCAACAAGAATTTTAAAAGAAATAGCGTAACATAATATTTTTATGAAATTCGGTGAGTAATTATTTCGTTGGGTTACTTTTTTTATTACATTAAATAAACGTTATAAGTAACATTTACATTTTCTTTCAATTTTCTTAAAAGAACTTAATAATTTGATATATAGGAGGGGAGAAGTGAAGAGGGAACAGTAATATCAATAGAAACAGGTTTAGGAGCTTTACCTTATTACAATTACGGTTCCATTTTATGATTCTTATCCTCACTCTATAATGCCAGTGTGTAATTCAATTACGCGATTTATTAATTACTAACTAGTTTCATTTTTTATACCTATAAGTGATAATAGTAACGTTAAAAATGAATTTAATAAAGTTAGTTTTAACACAATCACGAAAAAAAAACCCCCCGCTTACCTTAATGTTACTTTTAATGATACTAATAACCCAAGGCCCCAAGCTAATAATATCACTTTCATTAAAATAATTTAATAAGAATTAGCAAGAATAAGGTAATTTTGTCACTTTTCCATTTGTAAAAAAAAAATTGTAAGCTTTTAAAAGGTTTAATACATAATAAATAAGAGTTTCGAACTTTGGAAAAAATTTTTACAAGGACTCAAAGAGTGATGCCTTGCACCACTAGATCTCTTCCTTTATCAGTTGTTTGCTTTGAATAATCATATTTGTCAAGGAACATTGACTTTGCTGAGTCATAATTCAAAGGCCTGAGCTCCAACATTTCTTGAGTATGCTCTGTGGGTAAAAAATGAACGTCTATAGCAGAAGTTCCCGTACAGATTGGGATGATAAAATATTTTCCATTATACTCATTTTTTATAAAATTACAACGCATGACACTACCAATCTCCCTTAACATTGCTTTAAAGAAATCGCGAGAATCTATCCATGATAGTTTTTGGTATTGCTGAACATCATTAATATAAAGTTGATATTCATCAAGATGGATGATGATAGCCTCAGCTGAACACTGTTGACGTTGAAGTACCTCACAATCACGTCAGAAAGTCGGAAGAGTTTTTTATTGTTTGTTATTAATAAGTCATGTAGATAAGAATACTCAGGCATAGTGTTGGTCTCCGTAAATAGTTGTAAGTCTAAATATAATGGTTGTAAATCAGAATTATCATCTTTTAAGTAACCACAATAGTGTAGTATTTACAGCCAATTTAAAGCTTACGTTTATAATATTACAACCGCTAAGGGTTGTAATTCGCGTTAATTCTCTATGGACATTACTCCTATAAGGTTCGGTGCGTGTAATTGGCGTTAATTTCTCTATGGACATTACTCCTATAAGATTCGGTGCGTATAATTCGCGTTAATTCTCTATGGACATTACTCCTATGAGGTTCGTCAATATATAATAATCGTTACTTACGGCAACCAACCTTACTCAGGCACCCAATCCCGAAGCCACTGCCACACGCGCTCCTATTCGCACACTTGGACTTTCCTTGTCATCAAAACCTCTAATATATTTGCTTCCATTATCTTAGTCAATAAAGACGTAACAGGGATCTTTTAGAGCCTCCACAAACTCAGTATCAGTGTCGCTACTTGTTAACTGAGAGGACAGATACTTTGATTCCCAGCCCATCCGTGTCTTTCCTATTCCTATCCTAATTCTTTAATTGCTTGAGTATGTCTTGAATTATTATAGTTAATATTATATTGGATTTGATTTTGATGCATATTTGTTTCCTCTGAAGATTCCCATACATCATTTAAGCGTTCTACTAAATAATGTAAAATTCCCTCCAGGAATTAAAATAAATCTATGATCTTTGTGGTCAGGACTGTCATGACCCTGGTAGTTACAGCGAGCGACTTTCAACATCGATTTTTTAGCCTGATTACGATCGTAAAACTTGTGAGAAGGAACCTTTACAGCAGGAGGTTGCAATATTGACGAAGCAAGGAGAGAAGTCAAGGTTTTCGCTAAAAAATGGAAAATGAATTTTAAATAAGAACACGATTACTAGTCAACATCACAACAGAATATATTACGTACGTCTTTTTTCTGGTTCCGCTTTCTTCATCTAAGTCCGAGTCTTCATGTCTTCATTTCCCTAATCGAAAAAAAAAAAAATGAGATAACGCGAATTTCTTGTTCGAGAGGTAAACCATTGGGAGACACTTACAAGTGGTGGCGGGCTTTGGCGGTTACACGACAATGTGGACACGCCCCTCCGGAGCGACAAATTTTGGAAATACACGATCAACAGGCGCAGTTGATTTCAACCTTTCTCCGATATCTCCTAATTTTTGTTCAACGCTAGTTTCGTCTTTGTCATTAGCTATTTCCACAATAATTTTCCAATTGCATCTTCGGCAAGCTCTTCAACTTTCCAATCCTGTACGCTTCGTCAACGGCAAATTTGACGCTTCCAATAACAAACACTTTGCTATAGAATTTTTTCTCCAATATTTCCATTCTGCTTTTTATAACCAGTTTTCAGAACTAGTCTGACAATATTTCAATTTTTTTTTTAAAAAAAACAACGGACTTTATATTTTTGAAAATTGATAATTTTAAAAATTTTTATGATTAATATTAAAATTGTCTGTACAAGTAAACTGCAAACGGGACTAGCGACTTCACCTCGCAAATGTTATTGTAAATAGTGGGGATCTCCTTACATAGCCCTTCATAATCCGATCTGCTAGATGCTTATCACTGTTGGCAATTTTTTGCTTGAATGTCTCCACAAATTCATTCCTTTCTCTCCAACTCTTCATCAAAATTTAAGTAAAAGATGTCATCTCCACAAAATGCATCATAATTCATAACCATAAGTATCATTTGCTTGAGATGCCCAAAGGTGAGTCTTTCTTTAGGGATCATTTCGGCATCAGATACGGTATTCTTGGAAAATGTTAATCGGAAAAGGTTCAGGAAGGGGATAAGTTAGAACGACACAATATAACGACATTTCGACGATATGCATGCAAATACGAAAATCGAGAGTTAAAAAACAAGGATCAAAAAAGTAAATTTTCAGTGTAACACAAGTAAAAGAACTTATGGGTACAACGTTAGACCTAGCAGGTAGGGAATTTTCCTCTTGTACCCGGAATGGCGAAAGTCGCGATAGCGAAGAATAGCTTGACATTTTGATTTATCAATCAAAATCAGCATGTCACAATGTCACATGAGAGTGCCGATCAGTTGTCGGCGATCCGGACAAAATAATTTCGGTAGTGACTCAGAGCTTGCAAAGCTAATATCTCAGAACTTTCGAGGACCTTATTAGGCAGGGAACATAAACTTTTGGTGAGTTTTAATATTGCTAATTTATTTCTGACTCCACGTATTCTATGCATAATTGACGACCATTTTATTCTATTCAGAATATTGACGTTGGGGTAAATGAAAACGGATTAGAGTTAATGTTGTGATATTATGTTAGTATAGATAGTAGGATTAGTATAAAAACATTTCATTTTGTAAAACGAAATTACAGCATGTACCTTTTTGCGTGTATTAATAAAACATTTTTTTCTCGGCAAAAGTGATCTGCATCCAAATTGGAACGGACACAATGACTTTTTTATTTTGAATACTTGTATAAAAAGTGTTATCAAAAATGGAATCCGAGATTGACTAACTTAGGCAAGAAAATGCTAGACTTGTGGCCAAGAATTACGAACTTGAGGCAGAGATCGCGAAGCTGAGGCAGATTATTGAGGAGAATGCCAGACGTGAGTAGAAGAACTAGAGCAAAAAAATAAAGAGCTTGAGGCTACCTACAGAACGATAAGGAAACGATTGCAGAGGTGTTACCAGAGATAGTGGTGTTAGATGTTGATCTATCTAATGCCGTAGTAGACCAGCGAAATAATATTGACATCAAGGCATCAAAGGAAAAGGAGATGGATGCTTTCTTGGTTGAAGTAAATAAGAAAGCATTAGTGATAAAATTAAAGAGAAGAGGCGGAAAAAGTAGATTCAGCAAGACGACTGTCAAAGACTCATTTCAGACTTGACTCACTGTGAGGAGGACCTCTCCATGACTAGCACTGAACCTGTAACCCTCCCAGAACAAACATCTGTTGGGATATCGCCTGTGAAATCATCTATGGCGGACAAACAGGTTCCAGCTTCTGAATCATATGAGGACGCAGATACGGAGTGTCAAAAAATTCTTTATAATCAAAAAGTGGATCAAAGATTTGAGACGGGAGCATCCTCTTGCACTAAAGGTAGTGATGGTAAGGTTAATAAGGCGGTTAATATTCAGATTCCTGAACTCTCTTTAGAAGCAATTCTGACAGGATCTAGTGAAGTTACGGCACAAATTATAGTTGATCTACTTAGAGTAACAATGAAGCTTAGATTTTATGCTGGTATTGTTACTATAAAGCATATGAAGAACGAGTCAGGGATGTTAAGTCTAAGAATGGTGTTGATGACAAATCAGCAAGAACATTGGTGTACAGCGAAATCAAACCCCTTCTTCCTGACATTACTGATGTAAACTTGCATAAAATAACTTTCAGAGCTAAAAAAAATCTATATATTGTTTGATGGGATAGAAATAAATAGAATCCAAATAATTAGCTCTAGCGCAAGTGTCATCTCGAATTTGTCTGACAATCAGATCCAGGACATTATAAATGATTTTTCCCAAAAGCTACTAATACGGATGATGTAGGTTATGAAGACTTCGTTCCAAATTGGAACAGACACGTGACTTTGAAAACCAATAAGACTGAGGTGCAAGTGAATCCCTTGGAAGTAACAAGTACATCCCAATCTAAGCCAACTCATGACCGATCCTATTTTCGCAAGTGAAAATTTGATTATTATGGAATTACCAATGAGAAATTATGCCCATTATGCAATTTAGATCATGATGATGAAGAAAGCATAGAAGGTAGATATAAAGCCGTATCTTATTTTATTAAATGTAAACAGCATGAAATTGAGATAGTTGCATAGTCTCATTACCGTTGGCCACTGCATACAGTATCCTCCAAAAATAGTCATCTTACTTTTACCTTTAAAGTATTATTGTGGATATACTATTTTCTAAATCAATTAATTAATTACTAACCATAAACTTTTTGTAAAATTCTTTACTTCTATATTAAGAAAAAATATATTACAAACATTCAAAAACAATGAATGAGTTGTCAAAAAAAAAAATATAAATGGGATCTATATATACTAGCAAAAATATAAACAAAAACTTTTAAAAAAACAAATATATACAGTACAAATATCTCAAATCTCACAAAGTCCATTAAATATTATACTTTTGAAGGAAATAATCGTCTTACAATGCCGGAACCTTCAGTTCTATATGATTAAATAAAATTAACATCTTATGTAAATAATAATCACAAAATTAAATTTATTCTCTAGCATACCTTTTCTTTATAATTTCTTTTTCTTGTTCCAATATCCAATCTCTTATATCATCTTGTTGATTTCTATGATAAGTTAAACTAGCATTATAATCTAATTTATATTCCTTACCATATTTTGATAAAGGTTTATATCTACCAATATCAAATTTTGGTGATATAGACAATGGCGTCTCTTTTTCTAATTTATGAGATATTTCAAGAACCTTAGAAATATTTACAATATTTGCTCGGGTAAAAAATTCCTAGATAAACAAAATACATTAAACATATAGTAAAATATTAATAAATTATTACAATTATCTAAACAAAATAATATTATGACTTACCGAAACTTGTCTCTTACTAGTCATACCCAATAAAACATCCCTCGCTATCAATATATAAGCGATTAGAAAAAAATACATAAATGATGGTTCATCATTTGATAATAAATGATCCCATAATTCTAACCAATCTTCTCTCGTTAGTATTCTTGCAAAGCTGCATTTAATCATTGTCCACGCATAGTCCTAGCATCAAAGTAATCTAACTTTAATAACAAATTAAAGTAACCAAACATATGCATGCAAAAATATTACCTGAATTTTTATATTATAAGACAATAAATGAGTATATAGTTCATTGTCCCAATATTCCAATAATACACTTATAACGTTCATAATTTTGGTTGAAGGATTTGGAAATTCGTCCCAATAATGTTGATACCAATTAACTGCATACAACGATAGCAATGCAAACGGTAAATAATTTTCCCAAGTTAAATAATCTCGAAGTTTTAACATAACTTACATAGTATACTTAGAATTATTTCAAACGACAAAGTTTCGTTTGTATCAAATAACAATTCTACGAATGGATATATCATATGGAATATCCATTCAATTGTTATTCGTCGATCATATCCTAATCTAATCAACGATGATAAAAACCTGCCACGAATTGAATCAAGTCAAAATTCCGTAAATAAAATTGTTAGGAAATTCGTCTAAAAATACTTAACATGGATAAACTTGGAAAGACTCTTAACTGTTCCAATAAATCTATAATCTTTCGTTGTTTAGAATCACTCGACTTAAGATTTTTTGACAATAAAGCCTTAATAGCGGGATCTACACCTTTGCTAGTTATTTCTTTGAAAGCTTGTTGATTTTGAGGAATACCTAGTAATATACGCCATATGCGTGTTCTATTATTATTTTATTTTTTTTAAAAAAATTAATTTATATTATTTATATAAAATAAAAAAAGAGGATAAAATACCGAGAGAGATATTTACCTATACTTATCAGGGTATCTTCCTAATTGATGTAATTTTTCAATCAATCTCTCTCTTCTCTCTTCCCTTGAAGCGGAGGATAATCCCTAAAAATAAAATTATTTATCCAATACTTCAAATATGTCTAGATGGGGAAACATTAACAAACCTGCAAATTTATAGATTCCATAGAGGATATCGAAGACCTCCTTGAAATAGTGGATATCGTTTCTAAAAAATAAAAAATAAAAATAAAAAAAATATTATTATTAATTGACATATACTGATAAGCCTCTTTAATTCTATCCACTTTACCTTGAGGAACTGGAATAGTCATTGGAATAGTCACTGGAGATACATTGGTTGGTTCAATTAGCTCTTTTCTCGCCTTTGGATCCTTTTTTACTGTAGGTTCCTGATCCAGAAACAATTCGGAGATTTCTTCCTCTTCAGAAGTGGCTCCGAGAGAAGGAAGATTAAAATTAGACGACGACGGTATTCGAAATTCGGTGTATTTTAATGGATGTATACTTTTCGAAATAGAAAAATCATAATATTGGTGTTGAAGCTTAAATAAAAAAAAGATATGTTTGTATAAAAGTAATCATATAAAGCAATAATATAGATATTAATAATCGATATATGTACATACAGTATCAGATATTAAAACTTCCAAATCCCAAATCTTTAAGATTGCTTTTTCTTCGATTGAATTTGTCACGATAAATTTCCCATCGGGAGAAATTTCAAAAAATTTAATCTGTTATAAAATATAATTCGTAAACATTTAGTAGATAGTTAATTACAATCACAACTCAATAAACATAAGATTCTTACAGGATGTTGCACATTAAGATGATAAATTTGAGAATCACTCTGAAAAATGTCAATAATCAGAAGTCGCCCATCTGAAGAAGAAACTAAAAGATCCTATATAAAATATTATAAAATAAGAATATGTGACAAAATTTTGTGAACCAATGCAAAGTTACATTATACTTACTGCATCATCATGAATCGGTTCGAGTTTCGTAATTTCACCTTCAATTATAGATTTAAGACTTATATTTCGAATTAAATTTTTTGTATCAAAATCCCAAACAAGTATAGTTTTTCTATTTGAATGAAACATTATTAACTAAACATTCGCCAAAAACCATTAACCGATTCCAGCCTCTAACGATAAAAACAGTGTAACTTACTTGCCAGCAACTAAGATTATTCTACCATCTTTCGACATTGTTGTTATTCTACATGCATGATCAAACGTATTACTAAAACTTAGTAACTGATCCGATATTCGTGTCGGGGTAAGTAACTTCCATAACAAATCAAAAGATCCGCTATCCCAAATACATATCGACTCATCAAAGAAACTTGAAATAATATATTCTCCTTGCGGAGAGAATGCAGCCTAAGCGATATGAGAACATTGAATCATTATGAATTAAGCTCGTTTTTATAATTTATTTTTTCTAGAATATACATACACGTCTTAAAGTGGCACCTTCTTTGTTATGATCCAATACTTTTTGCTTAGACCAGTATGCCATATCCCACAATATCGCTTCCGACTTTGTACTGGTAATAACCCAATGTTGTTTCGGATGCATTGATATCCAATTAACTGGATTTCGATGACTTCTGGCTTCAGCAATAAGTTGACGAGTTTCTATTTTAAAGTAATTATTGACATTAGAAACAATTTAAGATATGAAAACTCAAAAAACATCTTGTTACTTACCAATATTATAACATCTTATAGAATTATCAGTAAATGCCACAACCAATTCACTTCGAACCAAAGGAGTAAATGCAATAGTAGAAACCGCTATACCTAATCGAGCAACCTGCCAAAACCTGTGATCTTTAGTTGTTTTAATTTTAATTCGAATAATTTATAAAATGAAATCAAACTTGATTTAACTTACTTATTAGAACCAAAATCAAAAGACATGACACATCCACGTTGATCAGCTGCAGCCATTAATAATGTTCCATTAATCGCTTCTTCTAACATGCTTGGACCATCATGAAATCCTGATTGGAATCCATTTCCATTTTGATTTACCGGAGCAAAGCAAAAACATCCAAATGCAACAGGTCGATTAATGGTTCCTTTAACTTGATTTTTTCGAGGTCGATGAGCATTTATAATGTTTAATAATAATCTTTATTTTACAATAAAAGATATAATTAATTATGCTCTGATACATAAAATTAACCATCAACAATCAATAATAAAACACCTTACCCATATACATTTTCAACCTCCTCTTCGCCTTCGGGTTTTTCTTCAATTAATACTTCGATTTCATAATCATTATCCTTTTGAGTTTGTTTTTTCTTTTTCTCAGTCTTTTCCCAAATTTGACCTGACTTTACTCCAGCGATAAATATATCGGAAGTATTTACCATTTTTATTGTAATATTGTTAGACTCCGAATGAAAACGTTTTAGCTTTAACCAAACTGAATATAAAGAGAGTAGATCGATCGATCAAAAAAAAAAAGTGTTACAACAAATGTAGTTAGATCAACATGTGATTGACACGACGCGGTTTTTTCTCGGATTCTGATGTTTTTCACGTGTATTTTTTTTTTAATAACTAATCGAAAAATTGAAAAATAGTATATGTTCCATGACTTCATTGTCTTCATTGTTTACATCAATGATTAAGTAATATAAATATTTTCTTCACTGCCACCTCTACGTGGTGTTCAGGAGAAACAGTTTGTATGTTGTGTATGTTGTACATCTGGCCAAGAACAAGCAAATAGTTAATTTTCTGCGTAAAAATATATTTATATTAGCATCATGTTACGTATCACATACCGCGCAAGTTGCAAATCATTATGGAAAGAAATAAAAAATATTTCATAAGTATAAATTTGTAAATGTGATTTGTTAGAAGAAGTTCACAGAAATAAGCTAAAAAATAATACAAAAAAAGTATATATATTATTTTTAAATTTATAATAAAATAGTGCAACCGCTTAGAATATTATATAAGATTTCAAATGAAATGAACAATAGGACGATTGAAATCTAATTTTACTATATTGGGTTTAAATGTGTTGATTTGATATATTATTAACGATTATGACAATTATATATTGTATTATCATATAAAATCTCCATAATACTTGAACTAAAAAATTTTACAAAAAAAAAATGGCTGATAACAATTTTCAAATTCTTGCTGATGATATTTATGAAATATTATCTTATTTAAAAAATATTGTAAAGAAAGAAGGAAATCCTCCTGTTGATATAGATAAACCTGATTTTTCTACTGTAGGATATCCTGTACTTATTGGTTCTCGTGCTGCAAAATGGCATGTCCCTTCTTTTCGAGAACCAAATGATTGGGATTTAGTGGCAACTGCATCACAATCAATCTTATTTATTCATAGTGTTATAACTATTACATATATTCATAATATAAAATTGATTCATTATCCAGGTGTTGGATTAAAGATTATTGGCAAATGTAATGATGCTATCAACTTTGAAATTGAACTTGTTTCTGATAAAGTATATCTCAAGGAAATAAAGCCGAATAAGACTAAATATGAAAATCTAATTAAAGATAATGCTGTCATAAAAGAATTTAAAGAAACGGAGAAACAAGTTGCAAAATATACTATTGATAGTACTGAAAAAAATAAATTTTTAGATAATGTTAGAAACATTTCTTGCGGATTGGCTGATTATTCTTTTAAAATTGATTCACCCAATGAATTCGAATTTGTTAAGAGAGATCAAAGAAATCATTCAAAGATGAGCGCACAAATGATTTTGGAATACTGTCATGATGTAAAAGATATAAAATTTATTTCATTATTAAGCTTTCCATGTATTGTTGCTCCATTAAAAGTTCTTGAAGTTTTGAAGACATCTCACATTTATTGGCCGGCTAATTTTCATAAGAATATCGCAGATTTGCATTCACTAAGAATTATATTGGGTTATAGCAATGTGCCAATAACTCAACCATTATGTAGCCCAAAACGTGATGAACAAATTGAACTCATACTGAATACTCGTATTAAGGAAACTGAAATATTGAGAGGCGTACCAGCTGCACATATCAATTTGAATAAGACCAATCAAGAATTCTTGGATCGTGATAATGATCTTTTTGTACAAAGATATGTTCCTCATGATAAATTACATGAATATGTTAAGTATGGTGATGTTCCAATTCATGAAACTTTAAAGGAAGATAAGGTATAGACTTTTTTTAAATAATGATTATATTATTTTCAAAAAATTTTTTTTTTTATCAACACTTTATATTATTATTATATATAGTCTAAAGCATGGATTAAACAATCTCTTTTTAACCAAATTGATTATCAAACACAACTTAATTGTGTGAGAGAGGAAGCAATGGTTATTGCATTAGAGAGATACCTTATTCCAATGAGCTCTAAAAATCAAGATACCTCTTATCGTTCGGCACTTGTTAAAATTTGTACTTCATTAACTAAAGGATGGTTTCGCCAATTTGCAATTGATAATTATCCCCGGCTTTCAAATCTTGATAAAGATTTGATGTTGATCGCTCACAATGTAATCAATGATCATCCCTTACCACAAAAAAAACGAGAAGAACCATCAGCATTTCTTTGTAACTGGATACCTGATCTAGAGACTTTATCTATTTTTGAGCCAATTCATCTTCATACTGAAATAATCTCATCTTTTGATGATATTAATTATAAACCTGGTCGAAACAAGGATTTCATTGTCAACAGATCTGGAATTAAGATTACTTCTCCGTTAAATAATAATGTATCAATTACAGCTATTATTACAACAATGTGTTTAATTGATTTTGAAGATTGTAATCCAAAAGCTAATTGGTCAGCATCTGTTGTAATTTGTCCCAGCGAATGTTTAAAAAATTCAAGGTACATTATTAATAAATTTTGATATTTTTATCTCTTTATACTTTATGTTTGATATATTTTTAATTATTTTTAAGCAACGAGAATTACAAAGAGGGGAAATATTATGATCCATTACAAATCCATACTTTTAAATATGGAGAAGAAGACGAAAATGAAATAGAGTTTACTTCCAAGCATATATTTACACTTGAAATTTTTGCGCAGTCTAATGGAAGTTGGGGTGTAGGTAATGATGTTTGGATTGGACAATCACCGATTGTTAGAGCTAAATCAGCTGATCATATCGCCAGTATACTGGGATTTCCTGAATTTACAGGTGATTTATTATTTAAACATGTGTTAGCTTATCTACAACCAGTCCTACAAAATAATGGAAGTACCCCACTTAAGCATAGTATTGATGGTTTGAAAGCTAACGGAATTATTCCAATCAATCCATTACAACATCTTTGGTATGATGCTTGGAATTATACTATAAAAAACAGGAAAGGAACATGGGAATTGAATTTTCATGCAATATGATATAGTGTATATATAAAAATAGTGCTTTTTTCCTGTAGCTTCATAATCATAATACGGCCTTAAATATGTTTATCATAATAAAATTTAAATTGCTACTGTCGGATGTAATTGGTTTCCTTTAATATTATAATGTACCGACATTATTTTTTTTTTTTGTTATTAAAAAATTATAAATTATAAATTATGACAATTAGCTATATTATAATTTTTACTTTGCATGAGTTATATAAATAGAAATATTAATTGAAATTATGAAATTCTAATCTATTTACGGAAAATTTGGTGGGATTTATACTGGTGGAAATACATTTTGCTAAAAATCTGAGTATCTATTGAGTTAAAACCCCATTTTGTGGTTGCTCGAGTGATTATTTCTCATTGGAAACTCGCTAGTCGCTAGTCGCTACCTTATCATTTTATTGCATTATTATTCAACTAGCCTTAATATTGAAAAAAAAGTAGTTTTAATACGTACTAATGAATGAAAATCTTACACAATGAGATGTTGTCTTACTAAGAAATAATACGGATAGATCGAAATTCGAAAGCTTCTCGGAGTTGCCGAATATGGAAACAGATTTCAATAGTAATTCTTTCGGGACCTTTTCTACTAATCCTAAGAAATTTTAATTTTAATAAATAAAATCTGGTAAAGTTTGGTTTGTGAAAGCTATTATACTAGTTTACGATCAGCCTCTAGTCTGAATAAGACTAAAAGGTTTCTAGTAAAAAAGATAACTAATCAAGCAGCATCTATCTAAATTAAGATTTCGTTTATTTATACAAGAAATATAATATGAAAACTTACTAGTTTTTTCTTTTTTTTGCAGTAAAATATATTTATTATTTCGATTTCCAACATTTTATTAAAAAATAAAAAATGATATTTTTATCATTTTATATTATTTTTTTTAAATTTTTCATCTAATTTTTTTTACATGTACAGTATTTATCATGATTCTATCTATCTTTTGCACATATAACAGTATACTGTATATGTGTACATCAAGCTGAAGAAACTTACATCTCATGACAATGTCATAAATTTAATTTTGAAAAGGTTCTTTAATTTATGCCGTAAAATTTTTCCTTTCTTATCAGGTTTGGTGGTTTTTACATCTCTAGATTCGACGCGTCCAACCGACTTACTGTTTGATCTTTTATAAAAACTAAAAAAGCATAAATAATTATAAATATATTGATTTATCATATAATAGGAATAGTTTTTGTTTAATACTTACTTTTTTATTTTAGTTGAAAAAGAAACTTCTTTAGGGGACGGTCCGACTAAAGCCGCAATTATGGCCTCATCAAAAACTTTCTTCAACCCTTTTTGTGTGAATGCTGAACATTCAAGATATTTTGTCACTGCAAATTTTCGAGCAAACGCTTCACCTTGCTCTGTAGTTATAGGTTTTAATTGTAGCTTTTGAACCATTTGGGGATCATCTCTCAATTCTATATGAGTACCAACAATCAAACATGGAACTTCTGGACAATGTCTCTGAATCTCAGGATACCATTTTTCTCCTACATTTCTAAGAGAGTCCGGTGACATTACTGAAAAGCAAATCAAAAAAACATCTGTTTGAAGGTACGAAAGTGGCCGGAGACGATCGTAATTTTCTAGACCTATTATTAATACATTTTGTTATGAATTAACAGTAATCAAACATAATACATCAAATTGCAAATTAAATTATATCTTGTAATGAGTAAAAGGAAAACACACCAGCTGTATCAGATAAACCAAATAAAATTGGTTCATCGCCAATCATCACTGTGACGGCGTAATTATCAAAAACCTAAAACACCGAAAATTGAGATTTAATAAGGGAATTAATGACAGGATAGAATCATATTCAGCCCAATTATGAAAGTATACAATGCCTAAAAATTAAAAAAATAAAACTAACGTCAATTACTAGATAAATACTTACAATAGGGGTGTAATCACTTGGAAATTTATTGGTCAAGTAAGTCGTTATAAGTTCTGTCTAATAGGTAAAGAATTAAATTGAAAAAAAAATATTAAAATTTTTAGTTAAATGCTATATATATATATATATATACTATATGTATATACAGTATATGGCATTGTGGATGAAAACATTCTTTTTTTTTCTTTTACCTTGCCAACATTATTATCGCCGACGACAACACACTTTATTTTTTGCATAATTGGATATTATTTTATAAGAAGATGAATCGTTCATGAAAAAAGTTCAAACCTTTTTAAATTGTTATAACGCATTTCGGAGTAACATTACAACAATACCGATAGGAAGATCCGCAAAGAAACTTTGGGGACACAACTTCTTTTCCTGCATTATAATCCTAATACTAATTAACATTGAAAAATAAGGATATTATTAGAAATTATGGATAAAAAAGGTTATTCTACTCTATAAAAATTGCATTATTTCCAATCAATAACTTTAAAAATGTTAATATTAAAAAGATGAACTACATATTGGCCATATCAAGCCAGAATGATGTCAGTGGCGTTCTTAAATTATGTCTATGTTGGGTAAATATTATATTAATAATTTTTATCTAATTATAATTGCGTGAAAAGCAAAAGTAACATATTAACTATTTTATTTATAGAATGTCGACTACAAGATGACAGCCAAACTTACAAGATTATTATAAAAAAAAAAAAAATTATTATAGATGTTATGCACCATAAAAGATCATAATCCCCTTCTACGTTTTACATTGAATTAAATGCATTTTGATTTCTTAAACCTTTCCATTTATTTACATAATTATCTAGCAAAATCTACTTTTCACGTAACATTAGCACCGCATATTGTACCATAGATAATTTATAAATACTGTACCTGATTTAAAAATTGTATAGTACCACAAATACTTCATCAATACTCAAGGTGGATATTTACAAAAAGGGAGAAGATATTATAGGCATCGCTACGATATATGAAATATGGCGATCTTTAATGTGAGATGAGGTCAAGGGCCAATTATTGTAGATTAACTTAATGTATTTAAACTGACAGTATAACCAATTTATTTTATTTATTATTATACACTTATCATTTATTAATGCATTACGGTATTACTTTCCCATCTTATATGATATGAAATTTTGATAATGGTCATACAAAAATTCATATGATAATGACGATCCGAATTTGGAGTATGATTGCCTAATTGCTTTTATTGCAATCCGTTATCGTGTTACCCTTTCTTTATCAAAGATCGTAAATAATCTCAAATATTGTCTTTTTATCTCACCAATTTCGGTAATAATTATAAAAGTAATATAAAATTCTTAAACTATTCGGATTAATTATAAACCTTTTGTGAGAAGATTCTATTTACGCCAATTATGGTAACAAAACATTTATTCGAGTTTCAAATTCTTTGTTCTTAAAATTAAACTAATTTCCGTGAATTCCGTGAATTCCGTGAATTATTTTTTACAAATACCTCAATAACATTATTAACATTAACATATTATTGTTTATTATTGTTCAGATTTTTCCTTATTAAATATAATCGATTATGAGTCCTTTGTTCTAAAATCTAGATTACGTAAGCTCATTACGAAATAAAAGCATTTTTTTCACTACGGGTCTACGAATTACGGCATAGAAAATTAATTGAAATGACGAACCAAATTGGTAATATCGTATTTTTTGTTTATATAAAGAAAAGCTACGGTAGATGAGTGTGAATAGTGTGAATGACTTTTTTGATTCTTTGGCTAGTGTTTATCTATGAAATTAATGAAATTACTATATTTGTACATAATAACAAGCACGACAAATACATATATACGTGCTTTGATTTTGATTGGATAAACCTTATTTACGATTTAAGCCAAATTTGTTCTTTTTTTTATTTTTTTTTTTTTTAGCTTTTCTTCCCTTTTTTATTCAACATAAACACCATTTTTCGTTTATATTCCCCTCAATTTCCATTTCACCAACATGCTTTACATTCTTTACATTCTTTACGCTCTTTACTCTCTTCCCAAAACTTTTACATACATAATGATAAATACTATAACGTGAGTATATGTTATTTATAAAATGTATTTTGTTGATTCAGTCCTATAACGTACTGTAATATCTAATTTTATATTGGAAATAGTCCTAGACTGGCCTTATAAGCTTACGTACATATGTCAAATAAAATTTGTAAGAAATTCTTGTGAGGAATGCTTGTGAAAATTACTTGTGGTTTGTATATATTTATTAATTTTTTTTTTTTACTGTAAAGATTAATATATAAAGAGACATGATTAGAGATATATTATGAGATATAATTAAACCTTTACAATTTAACATTTATTATACATTTCTTGGAATCTTAATTAAAATTTTGATCTCTTTCTTTTTTTTCCTACAGATAATACTGATAAGCATAAAGTTCAAATCATTTAAACCTTCTATTTTGAACTGCTTTCATTTTGGGAAGCGTTCCGGAGACTACACTACTGGAACTTGTAGTCATCCATAAGGGATGAGCTTTTCTTGTGCTCTTGTGGTAGTTTGTTATAGTGTTTTATAAGAGTGAGTGCTTGAAAAGCCCAATATTTAGTTAATATTTTGATATGGTGTTTTTTAGATTAGATTGTTACCTAATTATAGAAGAAAACAAGAAAACATCTAGAAGAAGAAATATATTGTAATGTTACAGTAGTCGGTTTTTGAGATTAATCTGATTATTTTAGAATAATTGTCAATTATTCTGAAATAATCAGACTAATTAAATCTGACTATTGTTTAATGTTTAAATTTATAGTTTGATTACTTTAGATTTTTTTAGATCAAAAACTTTTGTATAAAAGTTTTTAACACCATAGAATCAAAAATAAAATTTTCATATATTACTTTTTTTTTTTTGATACCATAAATTTTTAATTTTAAAAAAGCTTTCTCTTTTATCATTGTAATAATTATAAGGAAATTTATATTTAATGCTATTAGCTATTAATTAATGCTAGTAAAAAATGGTAAATATTTATTTATTTTATCATTATTATAAGTTTGATAATTAAATGTGATGCAGTAATAATTATAATTTTTGGATCGTTTTTGATCTCAGATTTTCATTTTATGTGAAATATTAAAAAAAGTGCTAAAAAAGATTTACAGTATGTCAAAAAAGAATAAAAGATGCAAATATAAAAAATTAACAACTTTTTTCTTCATCATGCATAATTAAATATTAATAGTGTTTGTTATAAATAACATTCAACGCATTTGATTCATTCAGATCAATTCTATAAGTCTATATACGATGTATTTTTACTAATTATTGAATGATTGTGTCATCGTCTTCTTTTCTTTTCTTACCAATCCAAGGTAGATTGACCATTTTTATCATCAAACATTGATCCACGATGCAATTCTTTAATAATTTTTCCTTCAATTACTGTTTTATTAATTATCATTTGGATATGACAAGGAGTAACGCGACCATACCATATCCCTTGACCATTTCGATATACGATGACATTGCCAGCAAATTGATGTCCTAATTTAACAAATAAAGGTTGGTGAATTACATACTAAAAAAAAAAACATTAAAAAGTAAATAATTCATACCTCCGACATGGCTAGTGAGATAAACAGGTACTCCTTGATTTCCCATAGAATTTAAATCCATTCTTTTCTCCTTTAGAACCTTTTCAAATTCATTTTTCAAAATAGGACCAGCAACTCCACATCTCATATCACGTCTTTTATGTCCACAAATTAAAATTACAGCTTTATATGGAATTCTTTCAGTTGAAAAATTATATCCTTCATTTTTAACTATTTCCTTTTTATTTATTTCATTTGATAAAAATTGGTCATAAAATTCCTCAACTTTTCCCGTGGAAACGTTACGTACAATTAAATTATCAGGATAAATTAAAATATCATTTCCAAAAAAAGAAAAAAATGTCAAGAATGGTAAAGTAGAATTCTGTCTATTACTATTTGTAATTAATATTTTAGTATCTTTATTGTCTCTTTTTTTTTGTAGATATTCGTATAATACCGCTGAAAGATTTCCAGAATCTAATTCAATTACTTTATTCCAATCGGATTTTCCTGTTGAAATTATTATATGACGAGCATGTGGTTGTACAGTACCACCTAAATTTGCTTCATGATTAATTTTTAGATTAGAAGGATAGGAAGGATGAATTGAACATGGAGATTGACATGTGAGACATGGATTTTCCGACGTAATTTCTTCAATAGAAATTGTTGCTGTTGATTTTTTAGGTTCTTTCAAAGAAGTTGTTGATGATTTTGAAGAAAGACTAGCAAAAGAATTCGATGGAGAAGGATTTATAGAAGTATTGTTACTTGGTGATGTGTTTAAAGATGATATTGACATTTTTCTGTTATAAACATTTTCAGTAGTAGATTTTTCTGCAGAAAGTATTGGAGGTGATAAGGAAGATTGTACAGAGCTGCAACAATTATCTATCATTTTATTACGAAAAACGGTCGACATAAATCTTTTATGTTGAATTTTTGAAATGGTAAAAAAAAGAAAGTAAGTCCTAATAAACATGATAAAAAAAAAAGAAAAAAATTTTTTTTAACTCCTTAAAACCAATTTTTATAATTTATAGAATGTATTACGTCAGTTCGCATAAGCCTTCTTCCATTATAAATAACAATTCCGTTCCGTTCCGTATCTATTAAGGTAAAATTTTTTCTGCCGATCAATAATCTTCAATGAATCATATGATTTATTTGTCTAAAAAAGAATATTGAGCCGGCGTAATCCGATTACAATACAAGTTATGACAATCAAATAAGCGTAAAATAATTTTTTATTCTCCCTTCTAAATAAAAAGTTACCGAATGCATCATTCTATAAATGGTAGCTGATTTTTTTTTTTTTAGTAAACTAAATGCCCTTTGAATTTCCTTTATTTGCAATATATTTTATAAATATAGACTTAAGCATACATGACTTTTTTTTTATTTATGCTATTTATTTGTAAGAAACGTAAACTTCCGCATCCTTTTTCATTCTTATCCGCACTCGAAATTTCTTTCCATGTCCTGGTTCATTATATACAACCGATAAAAAATTGTTAGTCCTAAATCCTTGTTTATGCTCTTCATTATGGGAACTTACGGTTGAATCATCATCATCTTCCTCGCTATTTGATGAGTTATCATTGCTTGAATTATTATTGCTTGAACTATTATCACTCACTTCATCATTCTTAGAATCATAATAACCGCTATAGCTTTTTGTGCAAATATCATTACTAAGGGTATTGCCATCATCGCTAGTGTCATCATCTTCGCTACTGTCATCGTCCTTCTTAACGTGATCATCCTCACTACTGTCATCGTCTTTCTTAATGTAATCATCATCATCGCTACTAACATCGTATTTTCTAACATCATCTTCATCGATATTGTTATCATCTTTCTTAACATCATCATCATCATCACTAGATGGTTCAATATCATCTTTGCTACTGTCATTGTCTTTATTTGAATTCTCTTCTTCATCGCTGCTATTATTTTTAATAGTTAATTCGATTTCATCATCACTAGGTTCACTGCTAGATTTGCTATTGGATTTACTGTTGGATTCATTGCTGGATTCATTACTAGTCTCACCATCGGACTCGCTGCTGAACTCGCTGCTGGATTCACTGCCGGATTCACTACTGGATTCATTGTTGGATTCACTGCTGGATTCACCGCTGGATTCACTGCTGGATTCACTGCTGGATTCACTGCTGGATTCACTGCTAGATTCACTGCTAGTCTCACTGTCGGACTCGCTGCTGAACTCACTGCTAGATTCGCTGCTAGATTCACTGTTAGAATCGCTACTTATGTTTTTAGGATAATACTATTTAAATGAAAATAAACAACTTATTATTATTATTATTATCATGATCATTATCCTTAATAATAACTTACATAATTTTCTTCTTCGCTAGAGCTCGATGAATATGAATTACCCAAATTCATTTGTTGTATATCTTGATCAGAATCTGACGATGAATCTGAAACAAAATATTTTAAAATATTTAGATAAAATTTAAAATATTATTTCCAATAAAAAATAAAATAAAATAAAATAATTTACTAAATTTACTATAGATATATAAAGGAATCATTTTATTTTCGACGAAGAGAGAATTGGAAAAAAAAAATATTTTTAACTATAAAGTCATCCATAAAAGGAATGCATTACATCCTTTGATTTAACTTTTTATGGAGAAATAAGTGATGACGATTTACCTACAATAAATCAGTCGCGCGGGTAAATTCGCGGGTAAAAAAAAAATCATCGGAAACTTTACGAGTTATTCCGTTAATAACAGTTACACATATCTGAAATTTGTATCGTTTATCAACGTGACAGATTGAGACGCATTACCATATTTATTTTAAAGACTTACTATGCAAATTATTTATAATTTAAATAATTTTAAAATATAACTGTTTATAGCTTGGATTTTCAAGTAAAAATATGGAAACAATGATATAAAATAAAAAAAAAATTTTTAATTATCTAATTTTCCCCCCTGGCCCCCTTTCTCCCTCGTATAATCTCGTATAATGGACACGTTTTTATTAACACTTTCAAAAGACCTTAATAAAATTTTAAAAAATGAACTCTGTTATGATTTTTTAATAACTATAGGTGAGGAACCTGATATCAAAACTTTCAAAGTTCATTCTGCAATATTATGTGCTAGATGTCCTTATTTTCAAGTGGCTTTATCAAATAATTGGATAAAGAAAGAAAATGATAAATTTACATTCACTAAACCGAACATTTTTCCAAAAACTTTTAATGTTATATTAATGTAAGTAAAATTGTATTTTTTTAGAATTTTTTTTTATAAACGTTTTAATTTATAATAAATTTTAATTTTATTCATTTTTTTTTTTTTAAAAAAAAAAGACATTTATATGGTGGTATAATCGATTTAAATGAACAGGAATCTTCAGATTTAATTCTTCTTCTTGAAGCTTCGGATGAATTGTGTTTAAGTGAATTATGTGAACATATTCAAGATTTTATTATAACAAAAAGATTGGTTTGGTTACGCGAAAATTTTTTATCTCTTGCAAAAATTGTTTATCAACATCTAACTTTCGATAGATTACAAAAAATTTTTACAGAAATGATTTATGAAAATCCTAAAGATTTATTTAAATTAGAAACTTTATCTGAATTACCTGAAGATATTATTTTATTTTTGATAAGTCGGGATGATTTCTTTATTAGAGAAGTTCAAATATGGGAGCAAATTATAAAATGGGGAATATTAAAATATCCTCATTTGGATCCAGATATTACATATTGGACGATAAAAGATTTTGAAACGTTAAAAAATAGATTACGAAAATCTATTCCTTTAATTAGATTTTATCAAATGTCATCAAAAGAATTTAAAGAAAAAGTCGTACCTTTTAAAAAAATTTTACCAGGTAAACTGTAATCATTTCCAATTTGTAAAATTTGCTTACTTCATTTTGATTCTAATTTGATTTTATTATTAGAAATTCTTTATAATAACATATCAAAATTTCATTCAAGATGGTTTAAAATTTCTTTTCGTAGTTCTGCAAGAGTGAAACCAATTGATTCGTTGATCATAAATTATAAGGATGCTGCAGTTCTAGCAAGTTGGATTGATGGTAAAAACAAAGTTAATGATAGATCTGTAATGTATGAATTTTATAACAATCCTTATAATTTTAAACTCCTTTATCGTGGAAGTCGGGATGGATTTTCTTATGAAATGTTAAAGAAACATTGTTATTATAAAGGTCCAACAATCATAGTAGCAAAAATTGAAGGTAAACAAGAATTAATTGGAGGTTATAATCCAATATATTGGTCAGCATCAAAGTTAGCATATTTTTCACAGACAAAAAAAGGTTTTATATTTTCTACAGAAAAAGGTCAAGATAATTTCCAAGAAAAAGCAACTGTTGCTAGAATGAAATATAATTATTATTCTCAGCATACAACTTACACTTATAAAGGTTATCCTTATCTAAGTTTTGGATATAATAATTTATCATTTATTGAAAGAGAATGTCAAGTTAGATGGTCATATGGTTATTATTTCACTCCTAAAATTAAAGATCAGGGTAATTATCCTTTAGATGAACTTGAAGTTTTTGCATTAATTCCAAAATCGAGGTTCAAATATTGGAAAATTAATCTATTATTTTATAGTGTATATATTTATGATATGAAATTTTATGAGAGTTGTTTAATTTTACTTGGAAAATTAATTTTTTTAATTTTTATAATAATAATAATAGTAGGTTTTATAATTAATTTCTTAGAATCCTATAATTTATTATAATTAATAGAATATGTAAAAAAAACTTAATGAATATCTTATTAATTACTTATTAACTAGTAAGTTCGAGGCAGTAATTTTCGTGGATATTGCATTTTTACTACATAAATGATTAACAGTCTAAGTGAAATTGCTGCTTAATAAATTCGGAATAAATTATAAAATATAATATATAATTTATGTGATCTTGTTAATCTTGCTGCTTTTCACAATGAGGCAAAACATCTGATTATAATGATTATGCGAACGCAGTAAATACATTTGATCAAAATTTTTTTCTTGATAAAAAATTGATCAGTGTTCTGAAACTACACGTAATTTTTTATTTGAGTAGCCATGAAAAAATGAACTAAATCAAATTTTTGTCACATTTATAATCGGATAATTCCGGCCAAAATCACATATTTAACTTCGATATATATCATAAAATCACGTGATATAATCGAAACAGAAAGTAAAATATGTCTATATGTAAAAATAAATTATTTTATTTAAAATAAAAATTTTGTTAATAAATATAAAATTTATCTAAACCTAATTAATGCCAAATGAAAATAATTTAAAAAAATAATTATTGTGCGATTCCAGTTTCTTCTTCTTGGTAATCATCATCTTGTGAATCAACGGATTTTTCCTCATCACCATTTTCAATAATACCATTTCTCTCTAATTCATCATCAATTTCCTCTTCTTCATCATATACAACAGCCTTAGCTCTCGTTATAAATTCTCTAATTTTATCTAAATCTTTTTCACCATTAGTTTCAACACCACTAGAAACATCAACCATCCAAGGTTTAACTTTCCTTGCAGCTTCTTCAACATTTTCAGGTGTCAATCCACCTGCTAATATAATAGGAAAACTTCCTTTACCACTTAATTTATTTGAAACACTTTTTTTAATTTTCAATGCAATATCCCAATCAAATATTTGTCCTTTTCCTCCGGAATTACTACCATCAGTTGTTTTTGTGTCCAATAAACATATATGGTTATATCCAGGTTGTGTAACTAACGTTGGATTTGAAAAATTATTATCTATATGAAACGCTTTAATGACAGGGATAGGAATGAGTCTAGATAAATCTAATGGTTCATCTCCATGTAATTGAACCAAATCTAACTTAAGAGCATCAATGATTTTTGTTATATAATCTAACGATTGATTTTGAAATACACCTAAAATCAAAGGTTTCTTAGAACGATTGATTCTTGTAGCATGTAACTGAAACCAATCGTGATGTTTTTGTGACGTTAAAATACTATAAGGTGTTGGTTCATCATCTTCAATTCCAGTTAACTCAGTTTTCTTTTCTGATTGCATTTCTCTAATAATACTAACAATTTCCAACGCTGTTTCCAATGAAACCCGTCTTTTAGATTTTGCAAACATAAGACTGATAATATCGGTTCCCGCATCAGCAGCTGCTATAGCAGCTTCAATAGACGAAATTCCACATATTTTAACTAAAGGACTTCTTGGTGTATCAAGTTTCAACAATGAAGAACTTTCATCATTTACCACCTCCTCTTCATTTAATTCAAGTAACTCCTTAACAAAAGCTCGTTTGTTTTCTGATCTCATTAATGCTTCACCGATTAAAAAAGCTTTAACTCCTTGATCAAGATAACTAATTACATCAGCACGACCAGAAATTCCACTTAAAGCAGCTAATATAACATTTTCAGGAACCATTTCGGCTAATCTAGAAGTTGTATTCATATCAACATCAAAAGTATGAAGGTTACGATTATTAACTCCAATAACTTTTGCGCCTATTCTTAAAGCTTTTAACATTTCTTCTTCATTATTAACTTCCACCAAAGGTTCCATTCCAAGATCTTTAGAAAAATTGTATAACTCTGAAAGTTTTTCATCTGATAAAATAGAAACTATGAGAAGAATTGTATCAGCTCCATAAAGTCGTGATTCCATAATTTGATATGTATCCACAATAAAATCCTTTCTTAACACAGCAGGACGATTTGGAATTGTTGATAATGCATCACGAACTTGTCTCATATCATTTAAAGTACCTTTAAACCATTTATTTTCAGTTAATACAGAAATAACTGAAGCTCCAGCATTTGAATAAGTAAGGGCTTGTTTTACCGCATTGACTGATAAATCAATATTTCCTTTACTTGGTGAAGCTCTTTTAATTTCAGCGAAAATTGCGGGATATTTTGGTAAAGTTTGATTTATTCTTGAAACAAAATCGATAAGAGGAGGAGCTATGTGAAGAGATAATAAAACTTTTAAATCATGAGGTGAAGAACCTGGTTGTTTTTTTGCCAATTCAATATCAGCCAAACGTTGCTTATGGATTTTTTCAAGAATAGTCGGAACGGATTTTGATAAAACTGTAGTCTTTGCCAATGGTTGATTAACTCCAAATTCAGAATTATTTTTCCAACTGCCACCTTTAAGTTTTAAAAAATTTGATAAAATAATTTTTCCATGTTCAGAAAGAATACTTTCAGGATGATATTGAACGCCTTCAATTGTAAATTCACGATGTCTTATACCCATAATGACACCAGATTCTGTCCAGCTAGTAACTTCCAATTCTTCAGGAACCGTATTTGGTTGTCCAGATAATGAATGATATCTAGTAGCCATAATATTTTCTGGAACATCATGATAACATCCTTTACCATCATGCAATATTTTATTAACTTTACCATGTACAATTTCACCCGCATAACCAACTTTACCCCCATATACTTCAAAAATACATTGTTCCCCAAGACATACACCAAAAATTGGAATTTTTCCAGCAAAATGTAAGATAACATCTTTAGAAATTCCTGAATCTGTTGATGGTTTTCCTGGACCAGGTGAAATAACTATATTTTTTGGGTCAAGTGAAATTATATAATCAAGGGTAGTTTTATCGTTACGAAATACTTGAATTTCTGCTCCAAGTTCTGATAAATATTGATAAATATTCCAAGTAAATGAATCATAATTATCTATTAATACTGTAATATTTGATGTTTCTGGTATTGTGGACATATTGATAAAAAATGATAAAAAGGTATATATCAATAAAAAAAAAAAAAAAAGCCAACCCCAAAAAAAAAATAAAATAAAATAAAAATAAAAATAAATAAACCAAATAAAACAAATCGTTTAAATAAGCAAAAAAAAACGGATCGTTACATCTAAATGCAAGTGTGTGTTGTTGTTATTTGAGGTCGCACAACGATATTAAAATCGCATAGTCTGAAACCACTAAAACCGTCAATCCAGACATCCGATTATACTGATTACTGACGATCCGGATTTCATTCCCTATAAATGTTTAAATTTTTATTTTCAAACGACTAATTATAAATTTTATATGCAATAAAATTGCTGAAACTTTATTTAGTATAATGAACCAGTTACGGAAGGAAAAACTAACTACCCATTATATAAACTATAACCCATATTATAAATACGAAACCACTTTTAGAAGAATTAAAGAATTAGCCAAAGCAACTATAGGAAGATGCGATCACTATGTTAGTACGAAAATGTGGCTAATTAAATAAAAACTAGAAAAAGAATACGATTAAGAAATATCAAAATCTAAATGCGAAAGCCAAGAAAAAGAATTCGATTAAGACCATAATTGGCGAGTATGAGTACGTGTGCGATGCTGTGATTCATTGGTTCGGTTATTATTTCTCATCTATTTTCTCCAATTTTTGAAGAGGCTTTTCGTGATATTGTTTAGGCTTTTCTATTCTTATTATAAAGATTATCGCAGGCTTAATTATGCTGGAAATCTCATCAATGCACAAAGAACGCGAAATTAAATCCGAAATTACGGATGATCCTAGGATCCGAATTATAACATAGAATACCCGTTGATTTATATGTAGTACCCTATGAAAAAGATATACTATACTTAAATGATACTTAAAATTGTAATTTTTTAAGAATACATTTTAAGTGTCACTTAAAATATACTTAAAATTGCAATTGTGTATTTTAAAATTTTTAAAATTTATATTTGTTTTCATAAGAATAGTGTAACTTTCTTTTTAAAGTACATTATTTGGATTTCTCGTGGCAAAAAAAATTTTTTACTAAAATCTTGATTATCAATCAGTCCTTTTTTCTGGTTTATTTGTAATACGCCACCTTAGATTCCGGATTCTGGAAAACACCAATTAAAAAGTTTGCTCAAAACAATTAATACTTATTCGAGTTTAGCGAAAAAAAAAAGAATAATGCATTGACTCCTTTGTTGGCTTATTTATTAAGTTAATTAGAATTTTTTATGAAAACTAATCAATCACTCAAGTATTAATTCCCTTATCAAGTTACGCACTTTACACTTAGTAATTAATTCATTGAATAGAATCTTTTATAATCAAGAAAAACAAACTTTTATTATATGAATAAGATTATCTATTTATTATACGACGTATACAATGAATATGGTTTAGACGTATGTAAGGTTCAATAAACCAAGGTATAGTAAATATTAAAATAATATTCCAAATTAAAAAAGTTGTTAATTTTTTATATATAATAAATTTTGATATTAATAATAAAATTACTTCCCATAATATTACCATTATACCTTGAAATAAAAAAAAACTGAAATGCTCACCAGTAATTTTACCAAATAATGAAATTATTATATATTCATGAAATATTCCACTAAGTATAAAACTTGCAAATGATCCCATTATATGACCTAAAGTTTTATTATTATTGGTAAGTAATGAACTAATTGGTAAATATCCTAATTCAATAAAACATTCCCGTAATAATTGATGCCATCTTCTTCCCCAGAAATCTGATGGTGATGTTGAAAAGTAAGGATGATTAAATAATGGTGATGTATCAAATAATAAAGATATTAAGTAATTTTTAATTATATTAACTTTTGAATTAATTATAGGATCATTAAAGAGAAAATTATTCTCTATAATCCATAATATTACTGTAGCCGCCACAAGAATTTTGTTATATACATAATTCATATTATGAGCAAGGAATCCTGCATATATATAACAATAAATTAATGTATAAGGATTGGCGATAAATGATGCTTTGTTTAATAATAAATAATCAATTATTCTAAGTGGATATGGTCTATCTGGTATTATGGATGGTGGAAATGTTACTAAAAAATAAATGAATAATTCATGAAATATCATCATAATGTATAATTTCAATAATTTGTGAGTTAAATAAGGTTTTAATTTTTGTTTGATATTATTTTTTGTTATTATTCCTAATTTTTTATTTGATAAATTATTATTTCTTCTCCAATAGAATAATGTCCAAAAGAATGGTGGTTTATCTTTACTATTCTGTTTACATTTTTTAATCCAAATCAACATTTTATAAAAAAATCCAATTATTGTTACTGGTATTGGTAAATTATACATACATGAAATTTGTTTTCCATATTTTAGTGGAATGGATATAAATATTATTGATATTATTATTAATGTTATATAATGTTTTTTTGTTGTTGGTTTTATTAAAGTGATTCCTATGAATGATAATAAACATATTGTTAATATGCTCAAATATGATGAAAAAAATATTTTTGTTGGAATTTCTAACGTAAACATGGAGTTTTTTTTTTATGGGAAAAAAAATGATGAATTCTTGTAATTTTTATAATAATTAATTCATATTTTCTTTTTTTTTTTTTTTGTTATATTTAATTAGAGAATTTTTAATTCGATTATCATCAGTGTAGAATAGATTTTCTTTTACCGATATATACAATACATACTTGTACATTTTTTCATTTACGAAAATCTTCGTTAAAACGATCCCGAATTCGTATTACAAATGAATTTTACGAATAATCATATGAAATTATTATATTTTTGTGGGTCGTTTTTGTCATGTTATATTTATACTTCGTTGCAAATCTTGTCAATCGTGTCATTATAAATGAATTTATTTAATAAAAAAGGTATTATTATTATGCGGCCAAATAGGATATGCTGTTTGATATTTTTTAGATTAAGGTATAAATAAATTACTGTTGCATAAATTATCTGATATTTTTATCGCATTACATAATTTAAATTAAATGTAACATATATATTAAATTTTACGGAGAAAATACTATATATTAACTAAAGCTACGTCTGCATAATAACGTAATAACACAGTTATTGAATATATGCAGTAACTTAAATAGTCGATAAATTACATCAGTGGGAATAAAATATATTCGCGATTTTGAATATTTATATACAATTTATAACAAAATTTAATTAATATAATGTAAAAAAAAAAAAAAAAAAAATCTATTTACAATCTTCTAAAAATTGCAATTTCGTATTTTACATTGACATCCACAACCTGTTGGACATTCATTATTTCCTTCAAACCATTCGTGAATATGTTTTGTATGTCCTCCATGGGAACAAGACATACAGAAATTTGATAACCCTATTATTAATAATTAGTAAATTATTAGTAATTAGTAAAACAAAAATAATATTACTATATAAAATATTTAAATCAACATGATATATATAATAAATAAATGAAATACCTCTAACAATCCGATTACAGATAGAACATTTTATGCCAGCTCTTCTAAGATAATCACTTTCTTCTCTGTGCTTGTTGCTGCTAAGACGATTAACAAACGTTGCACCCTTTGATTCGATCTCTGCGTTCTTTTTGTTACGACAACTAACACAATATTTAGCACCCTTTAGTTCAGAATGACATTGTGAACAATGTATATCAATTTCTAAAAAAATAAATAAATAATAAGAAAACATGATAATGAAAATAATAGCTAATCTTTAAAAATACATATTTTATATACCTAAAGGTTCTTGTAGTTCTCCAATAGGGCTACCAACTGTAGTTCTTACAAATTTCATAAATTTTAAAAGCTCTGCCCTTGCTTCAAATAATCCCCAATGGTATAATAATTCTGCATAAGCAAGGCGTAATTGTTCATATCTTACATTTGTTTCTATTTGATCATCTAATAAACTAACTGGAATTGGCCTTTATTAAAATTAAAAAAAAAAATTATTAAGGTAACCAAAAAAAGTTCTAAATTCTTTAAATTAGTTAAATTTTTTTACCTTTTTTCATCATCGAAATCATCTGAATAAAATGAAAAGATTAAATCACAAGATTTTTCATCAGAAATTTCGCCAGGTTTTTCGTGTCCTACCCATCCATCCAATCTATTGTTGAGACCACCAGTGGCTGGACTACCTTTCTTTGGAGTTCTTGGTGGCGACGCTGAAATGCTCGAAGGAAATAAGTTTGATTCTTTTGAAGTGCCACCAAAAGTTGATCTTCTATGATGGTGTGAAGTATGAGGAACTGTAATACCGGACCCTTCCGATTGTCCATATGGATAACCAGATGGAGTCGGAGGAGTAATCCCATAAGGATTTGCTCCATATCCGTTTGTAACATAGTTAACCATTTCTGTATAGGAACTTTTTGATGAATTACATGATTCACCAAATGTTATTCCGGAAATTGAAGGGAAGCCATAATGATAGGGATTTTGTTTTTCTGGATAACGATAATAATAATTGAAATAGTCCGTATTACTGGATATATTATTACCAACTACTAATCCTGATGTCTAAATAAAAAGCAATCTATGTAAATTTTTAATAGTAAATAAACCATAAGTAAATAATATAATACCTACTAAAAGTTGAAATTCATTTGCTCTATTGTCCTTTCGATGTGGAGGGAAAGGTTGTCTAAAAACACATGACAGCATTGCTGCTGTTTGTATATCACCTACTGAAGAAAAATGATTAAGCCTATATTGCGGTAAATTTAGTTATGAGCTATATTATAGCATATTTATTAAAATAATATATATACGTAAAAAAAAAATTTTTAACGTACAGATCTTTTACAAGACTTCTTCCAAATGGATGGAATCCCAAATTAAACTTTTCAAAAAGTCCATGAAATGCTTTGCTCATAAATGAATCATATTCGCTTCCAATTTCTTTCCTTTTGCTTGCATGTTTTTGATAAACTCCTGTTAATATAATCTCATCACTAGATAAAGAATTTCTAAATTTAGTGGGACCAGATTGACCAAGAATTAAAGATGCAAGTAACCAGACTTGTTTCAGATCTGGTCGATTATTGTCCGCTGCTACTTGAGCATTATATTTACAAATCTCAACTGGATCATCTCCATGAAGACTAAAATTATGTAAAAAATAATGAGAACTTTTTGAGTTATTGTTTCAAAAATATTATATATTACTAACATATATTCCTTTGCCAGTTTTTGACTAATTGGCATCCATTCCGAGAAATCATACATGTGGACAGTATATCTATCCCATTTTGTCGATTGAAATAATGCAAGACTATTATTGGATGGATTAGCATTATCTTGTAAATCACTCTGATAAAAGTATTTGAATCATTCAGTTAAAATAGTTAAAATAAAATAAAATAAAATAAAATGAACGATTATAAGGATTACTCTAAATACCATTAGATATGAATGGAAAGACAGTAAAGCATTGGAGTCATCATCTACTTCATTATACGAGTCATCATCGTCTCTCCCATAATGTGTAATTGGTCTTGGCAACTGTGAAATCATCCTGTATTGTTCCCAAGAATCATATGACCTAGGGTGAGTATATGTATAGCTAGTTTTTTCATTATTTCTAGTATTATTACTTGCATCAGGAGATCGTAGACTTGAAAAGAAACATACAAGTTTTCCTAAAATTGAAAAAAAAGGCTTAATTGCAATAAAATTAATTAAATAACTGAGATATTAAATTACCTGAAGCATTAAATTTTGTTCCACATAATTTTGGAAAAGGAACATTATAATCTTCCTTATCCCCAAGGATATAATTCAAGTTTTTGTCATAAGATGTTCTTCTTGTAGCATTTATGTAATTCTCATCATCTGAATCATCTTTTCCATAACGCTCTTGACCATCTTCCTGAGTATGTTCTCCAAGTAAATAACGAATACAAGCTTCCAGGCAAGGCCTATTTTGAGATACACATGAACGGGCTATATCCTTTAAACATTTTAGCATGCGAGTTCTATTATATATAGATATCATTCCAGTTTTTTGTATATCAAAAATCGGTAGAACCTTATTGGGATATTGTGGAGGAAATGTTACATTAATACGTATGAAAGCATGTCTGCTACCGTGTAAGCTTATTGTACAATATTTGCCTTGTATATCGAGCTATTAATAAAAATAAAATCTTGAGTTTTCAAATCATAAACAATATAAAATAAATTATACTGAATGGTTACTTTTTCAAATTCGACATTGGAAAATTTTTGTGCAACACCAGCCATTTCCTCATGCGTATTTGGCGGAATATATTCAGTGTTTCCAATCTCTCCACTAGGTTTAACCATTTTTACATTCTGCATCCACAATAAAGAACGTCGCAACATCCCAGCTGCTACCATATAACCCTTGATATTTCCCCCTCCAGCTGAAGCTCCAGAAGGGCGAAAAGGGATATTTGTGATTGCGCGACTTCCTGAAATAATACGAAGAGGGGGATAGGATGTTGATGTTGACAAAGTAGGAGAGATCGAATGATTATTCATTGGTAGATCACGAAATGTGGATGTTGATTTTCCAGTTTGCTTAACCTGATCTGTTGGATTTATGGATCTTCCTCTTTCATGTCCAATTTCCTTTTAATATAATTTAATTTTTATTAATCAAAATTAAATCATTTTATAATATAGATATTAAAGAATTACCTTCAATAATTCATCATTTATCGGCCAAAATCGCAGGGTTTTATCTTTAGACCATGTAATTAACTGAAATTCTCTGTTATCTATATAAAGAGAAATTATTAGGTTAATAATTATTAATATTTTTTTTTTTTTTTTTTAAAAAAAAAAAGCTATCATACCAATTGTTGGGTCCCCATCACTTTTAACTCTCCAAACAAATTCTTTAACTACATCGTGATGCCCTACAAAAGCATGTATACGGGTTTGAAGATTTTCTTTGTTCCAAAGATATAAATTTTTTTCTGAACGTTGAGGCATTATTAGAATGCCGTTACCAACTGGCTAGTATAAATAAATTACAATCAATTTAATAAAATACTTATTATAAGGAATTAAGAAATTACAATACTTACTGTATGCCTTGCGCGCCAAACAGGAGAATTTGTATGTATAACACCCTGACAGGTATCGAGTTCTTGAATATTCCAGAACTGTACAAATAAATACATTAAAATTATTAAAATTTCAGACCATTATCAGACTTTTGTTGTTCGAAATGTGATGTGACAGTTTAACAGACCTTCACTGATTGATCCAGACTACAAGTTATTATATTGTCAGCATTCGATCTACTCCAATCAATTCCGTAGATTTTAGTTGTGTGCGCGCTAATTTTAGTTATAGGAAGTGATCCTTTCTTTTAAAACATGCATAAAAAATAGACTTTAGTATTAAAGAAAATTGTTATTAAAAAACAACTTTAAATCTTTACCCTAGTATCCCATATATATAAGTCTTTGCCGTGAGCAGATGCTAATATAAATTCATTCTTTTTATTAAACTTGACTTGTGTTGCACCAGCTTTTACACATTTAAACAGGATTAGTAATGATTACGATAGGTTAAATACTGGAACGCACAAAAATTAACACTAACCTATCCAAGCACAAAACGACTTTGCTGGTTTTTTTGGCGATTTTAAATCCCATAAGTGTACATAAGTGTCAACAGAACATGTAGCCAACATATTTGAATTAAAAGGATGCCAATTGATATCACTTATGGCACGATTATGAGCGTGAAGAATATGCTCATGTTGAATGGCCGATGATAAATTCCAAATAAGTGCTTTTTGATTAGACTGTTATGATTAATTAATTATAATTGTTGAGAATTAATCTTAAAAAAAAGATTTGAAATGATAAACGATGCGAAGTATAAATAAACTTACTGTAGAAGCGACCCAATTATCACAAGATAGATGGGGATTCCATTGTACATCAGCCACTTCCCATTTGGTCAAATGATGAAGTTCTCGTGGAGCTAGATATGGATTTTCAAGATCAATGATAGAAAGTCCTTTACGACTGAAATTACAGACGTGAAGTTTGTAAAAAATGAAATTCATATAATAAAAAAATAAATTAATAAATTGAACTATTATTCTTAAAATACATACGTCGCCAACACGATATCACGACTTGATGGTGAAATGGACATACTACCTACAGGCTGACTGATTTTAATTACTAATGATTGATAAAATACTGAATCCTGTCTTTCCATTTCAGGTGAAACATCATTTGAGAAAGTAATTTCAGGTATAGATTGTTTCGATGAGCTATAGTCAGCGGAAGAAGATTCTGTAGGTGGTGAAGGAGTACCACTACGTAAAGACATTTTTGATATATGAAGAAATGGAGAAACGGGACGTGAAGGACGTGACGGAATATTAATGGGACTTGAACTTTTCGTAGAAGAAGTGGATGAATAGGAAGTAAAGGAATTTTCCTTATGAAATTCTATTTCATCATCCATATTCGCGTAGTATCTTAAAATTTTCAATCAAGCCAGCAGATGATCAATAAACATTTAAGGTCACATGAAAGATTGAAAGATCAGACCCCAAAAAATGCACATATTCAATCAATAACGTATCACCCTGTTTTGTTTTGAAAGTCTAATATTTACAACTTTTAATATGATTAACGTTAAGGAGGTGATGCATTGGAAGTTAGTTGTACAAGCCGGTGCTTGGGAAATCTACTATTTTTCATCTTCATAACAATACTACGATACAAATTCTTTTTTTATCAACCTTCAACCTATTAATCATCAATATTTACATAAGTTGCACGTGTAATTTGGATTCTATTTATCTAATATCAGTTAGTTTTTAAATTCAACTAAAACTAATTAATTTAATAAGTACTAACCAATTCAAAATTTCAGCCTGTGCATCCTTTACATCCTTTACATAAGATAAAAGAGGTAAGTTAAGCCCAAATTTCAAAAAGCCCGCGGAGTGAAAAGTAGAACATCTCCGTAAAATTTCGTACATCTGTATTTTCTGTAATACCGTATTGATTTACTGAATGGGGTTGTAACTTGTAACCTATAACTTGTAAGTTTTATGTCTCCGCAACTTTATTATTGTAAATTTGACAGTTTGGGACCCAAATATTTGAATGAAAATTCTATATTTGTAACTTATTTACCCAAAATTATTCTAGCTAAGCGTAATCCCTACCAACTAAAGAATTTCCTTTTTGGGAAACAAAACCATTTACGAGAAATTATGACTAGATATTTTTTGTCATCGATATGATAGGTTGATCACTGCATATAAAAAAAAAAATTGTAACGATAGAATATAGTTTACAATATACGATTATTTTTTTTTACGAAAAATTCCATATCTTGATAATTGATAACGGGTTAGTCGGATTTTTTTACGTAAAACGTCCGACTCTCATATATATACTCTCATTAATAATACTTTTTTTTTTCATTTCTTAAAAAAAAAAAGTCGCATAGTTTATGCGGTTTTTTTACTTTTAATGATATATATATTTTTTATATATATTTTTCTACTAAACATCTGATTTTTTTTAAGATAAATAAATTTTACTTTTTTTTTTTTTTACTAACGAGTTAATTTTTAGGAATGGATTCAGTTGAAAGTTCTGAGACTGGAAAAGTCGAAGTGACTATGACCACTTCTGATAGCGAAGATTTGTCGGACAAGGATTCACCCGTACAAGTTTCGCATTCAGACGCTGAAGAAAATGTTGTATTAATCACTAAAGTAATGACTGACAAAGATTCCTCTAAAGACAACGATGAAGAAACAAAAAATGTCATAATTCACAACAATGTACATGAAAATAAAACTGGAAATGATTTATCCGAGCAGGTTAACCCCTCCAATTTAAATGAACAACCAAATGTTAATCCTACTGAAGAGGAAAATATTGAAGAAGAGTTTATTGAATCCAGTGTATCCCCTGTTACTCCTCAAGATGAGGTTATAATCATAAATAATTTGGACGAGAGCATTTCTTTTAAAGTTGAAGTAATAGAAAGTGACAAACCTAATAATTCAACAAATGATGAACGGTTGGAATCTCATGAAAATGATAATTCAAATAAATTCCGCAACGATGAAGAATTTAACCCTGTTAATCCTAATATTCCAACCATTGAGAAACAGTTGAAAGATAACGAAAATTTAAATTTGTTCAAATCTAAAAATAATAATTCAACCCAAATTCCTAACAACTTTCAAAGACCTGAAGAGAAATCTCAGGAAGAACTAAATGAAACGGTTAGTTTTAATAATACCCAGCTTAATAACGAAAGAGGATCCAGAGATTTAGATGATTTTGAACAGGAACTTCCCTTGAATCTTGGTAATACGACGGGCTCTACTAAACAAGATGATGACAATTCTGAATTGATGAAATCTGATCATGGTATAATTAGCCAAGAGAAATCTTCTAATACGGAAGAAGGCAGAAACCCCATGAATTTTGATGAACTTAATACAGGTTCTGTGGGACAATCTCATAGTACTGAAAGGTCAACAGAAATCCAAGACGATGACAATCCTGAATTTATAAAAACTGACCATGATATAAAGAAATCGTATAATACGGAAGGAAACAGAAAACCCATGAATTTCGGTAATAATGAACAGGTTCTCGACAATACTGCGAGCTCTACGAAACGATCGCATTCTGAACATGATCAAAAGAAATCGTCTAATACGAGAGAAGATGAAAACCCCATGGTTTTTGATGATGAACTTAAAGATACAGGTTCTGTGGGACAATCTCATAGTACTGAAAGGTCAACAGAAATCCAAGACGATGACAATCCTGAATTTATAAAAACTGACCATGATATAAAGAAATCTAATACGGAAGGAAACAGAAAACCCATGAATTTCGGTAATAATGAACAGGTTTTCAACAATACTGCGAGCTCTACGAAACGATCGCACCCTGAACATGACCAAAAGAAATCGTCTAATACGAGAGAAGATGAAAAACCCATGGTTTTTGATGATGAACTTAAAGATACAGGTTCTGTGGGACAATCTCATAGTACTGAAAGGTCAACAGAAATCCAAGACGATGACAATCCTGAATTTATAAAAACTGAACATGATATAAAGAAATCGTATAATACTGAAGGAAACAGAAAACCCATGAATTTCGGTAATAATGAACGGGTTCTCGATAATACTACGAGCTCTACGAAACCTGAACATGATCAAAAGAAATCGTCTAATACGAGAGAAGATGGAAAACCCATGGTTTTTGATGATGAACTTAATACAGGCTCCGTGGGACAATCGCATAGTACAAGAAGGTCAACAGAAACCCGAGACGATGAAAATCCTGACTTAAAAAAATCTGAACATGAAATGAAAGATCAAAAGAAATCGTCTAATAAGGGAGGAGAACGAGACTCCACGAACTTTGAGAAAAAAGAACAACCAGATCCCTTTAATACACCTAATACACGTTCTTCGGGAAAGCCAGATGATCACAATCGATCTGAACATGAAATGAAAGAAAATAAATCGTCTAATAAGGGAGGAGAGCGAAATCCCGAGGAAAAACAACAACTCTTTAATATAAGTTCTATGAGACAACCACACAATACAAAAGGGCCTGCGGGAGGCGATAATCCTGATTCTCCTGATAATGACATAAAAAGAATTACGGACGAAGAATTTGACTTGTTTTTAAAGACGCCAATTTTAAAGCATGATAAAAGAAGCGGTAAGACTATGAATAAAGGGTCTGACGGTGAAAAAACTGACGAAGAAGAAACTGATGATAGTGAAAATGATAATAGTTATAATGACTATAATTTTTCATCAAGAAATAATTCCGATAGGCATATTGAGCGGTCAAATTCTCAAGAAAATCGTGTTAATCTTGAACAAAGGAACAATATTAATGAACATAAAGATTTTGGATGGGCAAATTCTCAAGAAGGCAACCGTGTTGATCCTAGACAATTTCATGTAGATCCTAACTCATGGGAACATGTTAGCAGCAAGAATTCTGGGTCTTATCGAGGATCAGCATATGATATTCCTCGCTATCCAAAAGGTCCCACTATCCCTGATAATAATAGCCAAGGTTCACATCGTACGTCTATGCCTGGCAGTTTCAATAGCTCAAATACATACGGTCCTCTTACAGATAATAACGGAGAACGAGAGTCTTTATATGAAGGTTACCGGAAAAAGGAATTGCAATCTAATAGTAATAGTGGCATGATTAATAGATTTGTATCTGGAGTGTCTGCTGGAGTGTCTGGCGTACTTAAATTTGGTAGTAATAAAGATGACGAAGAAGTTGATGAAAACATTGATGAAATCAGAGTTATTTTTCACGTTCATTTACCAGAAGGCATTGAAAAAAATGGATATCCTGTGGTTCTCGGTGATGGAAAAGAATTAGGATCGTGGGAAAAACCAATTGTAAAGCTTCAACAACCATTTCCTCAAAATCCAACATATTGGCGATCTGAGCCAGTTACTATTTCGCTATTAAATTTCAACGATATTCAGTATAAATACGCTATTCATATAAATAGATATACTTTTTATAATCTTCGTGGGAAAAAAGAAGAAATTGCGTTTGAAGGAAATGGTAAAGAAGACAATCGCACGTTAGACATTGGGAGGCATGATCAATTTGACATGTGGAAAAATAATCATAGTTTCTCCGAAAAATATCGCATATACGGCAACAATATACGTGATTATGCTTTTGTGGATTATATTTATAATACTATCAAAGACAATAACCTTAAAGATAGAGTTATGGAATATCAACACTTGCTAACTCATTACAAGGAACTTACGATCCGCGCGTTAAATCTCAAATTCATTATAAACCGTGTCGATGATAGATCAAGAGAAAAACGACTTTTCTTATGTCTCCTTTTAGGTTATTTTATTCCAAGGCAAGGCGCGTTTTATGAGTTACCAGATCAGTTTCCATCTGCATTATTGCTCAAGGCGCTACATGGATATAAATTAGAAGATTTACCTTCAGACGCCAAAGGCCATATGTATACTGCTATTACGTCTTTAGTCCAGAATAATGCCTTTCAGATGAAATTTGATTGGCTCATTATTTTTACAATTGCTTCTGAAGTCGATCCTAATTGTAATTTCATTGAACACTTAAGAGCTCTAAAATATTCTAATGAAAATTTGTTAGCGAAGTTTATAAAAGAAGCTGAAATGATTATTAGACCTAGTATTAATAGTATTGAATTTGAAACTTACGTTAAACTTGCCAAGGTAAAATTTAAAATATTTTTAAGTGTATTAATTTCGAAATTTTATGAAAATGGTTAATAATTTTTTTTTTTAGTGGTTGATTCAATTATGTCATAATATGGATTCTCTTTTTAAACTTTGGGATGATGTTCTTTTACATAATAATATGTTTGACGAAAGAGTTTCTAAATGTTTTGCCGAACGAGTTCGAGCGAATATTTCTCGTGGTGAAGCTGTAGCCTTGGAATACCACTTTAAAAGACTTCCAAAAGATTATCGAGACCGTGTCTCTGAAATTTTCCGAGATCAAGTTATATTTTTACTTGAAAGTCCAAATAGAAAGTGGACATACGAAAACATCAATGCTATTAAAAAGTTACTTCATGACAATAGTCTGAATTGGCGCAGAGATGATGTAATTCAATCATTAGAGTTAATATCTCAGTCACATACTTTAGAATTATTAAATATATTTCCAGAAATTTTGGATGATTGGTTCCATAGTGATTTTTCAGATACCAAAGAAAAAAAGATACCAAAAATTTGTGTAATTTGGTTTAAAAATCTTTTACTCAAACTTGATACAAACACAAACAATAAAAAATCGTCAAATGAGAGCAATTTTATTTTTTCGGTATTTCAACAATTAGAACTTATGCATCCTTTGCTTGGCAAAAGGATTAATATTTGGCGAGATTTAACAGAAATTGCTGTGGATAGAGTGAAGAATTGTTCAGAAGATCGAATCTTTGCTGCAACAACATTAATAGTACAAATAAAGCAAGATAATGTTAAAGTATTATTTTTAGAGATGGTAAAAGACATATTAAATAAGTCTACTCAACAAACTCATGATCAGCTGTTAAACAAGATACGCATTATTTGCGATTGCAAAACAACCAAGACTCTAAACGTTCCAAACACGTAAGTTTTTTATAATGATTTTTTGTTCTTAAATATGCTAATGCTTTAATATTTTTTTTTTTTATTGTTATTAATGTTATTAATAAATCGTTAGGATGAGCGAAGATATTTTGTACCATATTATGACTAGATTGCAAAACCAATCGGCTGCATCCAGCGCATCAGAACATTATTTGAATACTTTAAAGGCTAGTAACTTTTGGAATATTATATTACGCGCTAATGGAAGCGTCGCAAAACTTCATTCAAATCCATTTGTTAAAAATACTAAAACATATATTAACGAACTTGCTGGATTGCTTCTTGAAAAAACTATTGATATCCAATTATTACAACAAATTTTAGAATACAATGACGAATATTTATTTCGTCATTTAGATGCGGCTGTTGCTAAAAAGAAAGCATTGCTAGATGTAATTGTTTCTCGAGATGAAATTGCAAAACTTAGAAAGATTTGTAATAATTATCAAACTCAACTCGATGTACTCACCAAGTTTTATAACGGATTTTGTCCGATCGAGAAAGTAACAGATGTAGCTGATTATATTCGAGATGTAAAACAACATCTTCAAAATTTAAATAAAATAGAGGTGAAACAAGTGCTGTCATCAGATCATTGGGTATTCCATGAGAAAACTTTGGACAGTGCAAGAAATTGCTACAAATTTAATCGATCTCGAACTTTTCGAAATATCTTCGATTTTTGTATCCATGAAGACGCTGCCGCAATAAAAGTGGAATACATAGCACAAAAATTAATTCCAACCGTTTTTGAAAAATATAATGCCATGTGTAAACAACTTAAGGATTGGGAAAAACTCAAATGTTCAGAAGCATCTTTGCTTTGGAAAAACGTTACAGATGTTAATGCAGAACTTGATTTAATGGAAGGCTATAAAATCTCTAAAAGCCAAAGATTTGTGCAGACTCTTGATTATCTTTCAAAAATTCCACATTGGGTTCAAAAACTTGAGGAGTTAGAAAAGGTCGTGGAAATGGAAATTTTCAAAGTACCACATAGTGAAGATGATTGGTTATCAAAAGCAATTCGTATTTTAAAAGATGATTCCATGAAACTTGGGCAAATAAATAATTTTTTCGATTACCTTGATAGGAATCTTTCTAATGTCAATCAAGATTGTTGGAAATTGATAAAAGAGTTGTCATGCGCTGAAGAATTTTTGAGTTTCTTAAAGAAAATTGCTGAACATGATATTAAAAATCTGATTAATGGTGTGGATGATCATTCGGATGAAAGATTGATTCAAGAGGACACTGTTTCATCACTCATCCAAGTTAAACAATTTTTATTTCCTCTTATGAATAAAAATATGGAAGCTATTTCTGATTTGTTGAAAGAACTATTAAATGTCATTAAGAAGAACCATACCTTAGGAGAAAAGATTGCATTATGTAATAGTAGCAATATGGCGCTGCAAAATATGTACAATAATATTCAAAATCGTGGAGAAGTTACTAAGGAAAAGATTAAAAATGCTGTACTTAACGGAACTTTTACATTTACACGTGACCAAAAAGAAGACAAATGCTTAGTTTTTTTACACTATCCCTCTAAATCTAATGTGAAGTATAATCTGAACGAAATATTAGATTTACGTGGTCGGGCTCTTTTGATTGCAAAACCAAAAAATTCGGTTATGGGAAATAACAAAGAGGCAGAAATGTCCAAAGATGTTATGGATAAATTTGTCGCCCAAGTCGATATTGCACAAGAAATAATTAACATAGTGTCCATGTTAATGCAAATGGGACATTTTGGTTATAGAAAGTTTGAAAATAAATTACAAGGAACGGATAATATGAAAGATTACCTGGAACTTTTAAAGGAAGAACTTAAAGAATGGTAATTTCTTTTTTTTAAAAAATTTTAATAATATTTCTTTTTTATTCTTTTTTGTAAGAAATTAACGAGTTTGTAATTTTTACAAATTTAAGGCAAAATATAGTAGATCGTGCACAACAAAGATGTTATTATTTAACATTCTTCCCCGCTCGCCACATTTTAGCATTCTATGATTATTTCACATCGGAAAAATTGGATAAGGATAATGAAGAAGAGTGCAAAATATTGATCAGATTTGTAAACAATAAAGCCCAATTACCGTCAACTCGTAAAGATATACAAAAAATTTTACGTGGGTCCAAAAATTATCTTGATATTCTTACCGAAATTGGAAATGAATTAGAAAGAGTTTTTAGAGGCGTCCCAAAACAATCTCGTAAACTTAAAGCTGCCGGGCAACGCGTAATGTCAGATATTGTTACAAAGGGAAAATTATTTGTTGCGGCTTGTACTGAGAAAACGAGAGTCCCAAACATTATTATGTCATTGTATGCTAATCATGGAACTTATCCCGAACCGTGGCAACTCCTAATATGTACTTCCTCAACTACAATGGAAGAACTTACTATTTTCATTAAAAGAAGTTTTTATTCATCAAAAAATGGATATGAAAATCACTTATTTTGTATTGCAAATTTGGAATTATTGGAATTTGAACTACAATATAATTTAGTTAATCAAATTAGATCAATGCGAGAAATACATGATCAAGATAAGGAATATCTTTTGGCGCTTATTTGTTGTAGGGAATCCGGAATGCATCATCATATTTTAGATCAATTTTCATTGGATGTTCATGCAACCAATGGTTTAATTATTGATACAATGAGCAAAATTTATAGAGAATTATGTCAGAATGTTATACGTGTTTCTTCCGACTTATCAGGACAAGGCAAAACTGAATGGATTAAAGAAGCTAGTTTCGCTAAAAAGAAAATTCCGCGTAGCTTATTAATAAGTGATGGTATGGAGTTCGGTAGACTTGTACGTCAATTCAAAGAATGTAAACTCCGAGCCGTAGAAAGCTTACATATTAATATAGTATCATCAGACCATCCTGAAGATGTTAACATGTTCTTGTTTGAGTTATTAACTTTGGGTATAGTTTCTACTAATGTCGATATAGCTTGCTTGCCTCCTTCGGAAACGCCTACATATATATTTATTGAAATAGCTTCAACAACAGAACAACATTTACTTAATTCTCTTCCCATGGCAGGATGCTTAGTATCCAATCATTTGTCTTGGAATATTAAAAATTTGAGGGTTTCCCAAGAAATTAATAGTCCAATGCAGGTTGCTTGTAATTACTTAAGTTTATTAGATCGTAATGAGTTAGATACAAAAGAAATCCTTTTCCGGACAGATAAGGCAATCAAAGACCCATTACCACCAGAACGTTGTCAAAATCTTATTGCAAAATATTTCTTTAACAAAAATGCTGAAGATATTTCTTCATTTAGATTTGTTGAAATATTTATTAATGTGCTTGCTGATCAATTGGTTCGATTATCATCAAGTCAATTCTTTACTGTAGATAATCTTAAATTAATGGTAAAAGAAACTAATATTAGAACTTTAATAGTAAAAACTTTAATAGATGTTTCAAAAGATTTTGCGACTAGATCGATTAAGACCAAAGAAGCACAACTAGAATCTCTGACTGCAGATGATGAAAATGCCCGTCTTGGTACAATTGTTCAATGGGATGACTCAAATCATCTTATAGTATTCTTCAATTCTCAAACCCCAGATACCATCTCAGCTTTATATCGTGACAGAAAAAAGGTTTATGATAATGTTAAGGTTTTACTAAAAAGTCAAATAATTGGTGATCAAACAAAATGGGAACTAGAAGATTATAATTCGATGTCTGCAAATGCCCTCTTCGTAAAGTTGGAATATTTGGCGCGAAGATCGACAGAAACATTAGAACTTCCTGAATATGCTTTGTCTGGTGATAATTTAATAAAGATGGCTTTAATTCTTCTGAGAGCACGTGCGAACATTCCGGTCATAGTTTGTGGTGAAGCAGGGTGTGGCAAGGTAAAAAAAATCCATTTTAATCTGATTTTTTTTGTCTACTCTGTTATTAACAATTTTCATTTCATACATAGACGAGCTTAATTGCCTATTTGGCTATGATGGTCGAAGTTCAATTCTTAGCTCTTAATCTTCATGCTGGAATTGATGAAGGAATTATTATGAGGTTTATGAATGATGCTTTGAAAAAAGCAGAAAAAGGAGAAATTTGGTTATTCTTTGATGAGATCAATACTTGCAATCATATAGGTTTACTTGCAGATTTAATATCTCATCGAATGCTTAAGGGCAAACCTATACATCCGAATATTCGTCTATTCTCTGCCTGCAATCCATATCGTATTCGTACAAGAACTCAAAGTGAAGCTGGTTTGACAAATAAGGTGAAAAGGTATGAAGAACAGAGCAATCTTGTTTATCAAGTCAAACCACTTCCCGATCAAATTTTGGATTATGTATGGGACTATGGTGTTTTAAGACCAAAAGACGAATTAAAGTATATTGAAATCATGGTTGAAAAAGAATTAAAAAAATTAGGACATCCTGTATTTGCTGAACTTTTATTTGCTTCTCAAAAATTTATTCGAAAAGTTGAAGAACCATATAGTGTTAGCTTACGTGATGTTAAACGAGCTATAACGTTAGTGATATTCTTTTATAATTCTCTTGAAAATCGCCCTGCTTACAAGAAGGGTCACAAATATCCACCACTTGGAAATCCAACTATAACGACTAGATCTTATGTTTTAGCACTTAGTCTCTGTTACCATTCTCGATTGTATGATCAAAATTTACGCAGACAATATCGTCGCGAAATGGGACAAATATTACAAAATCATAAAGCTTATATAGGAGAAAACACATTTGCTAGAATTATACGCGAAGAACAGGAGGATTACATTAATAGAATGCAATGTCCACCTAATACAGCCAATAATGAAGCTTTACTAGAGAATGTTTTGGTTATGATTGTATGCATTTTGACACGCATCCCCCTGTTCCTTATAGGGGCTCCGGGCTCTTCAAAATCTTTGGCGATTCGTCTTATTAGTTCGAATTTACGTGGATCTGATTCAAATGATAAATATTTTAGAAAGCTACCGCAGATTTACTTAATTCCACATCAAGGATCTTCATCTTCAACTTCTGATGGTATAATAAAAGTTTTTGATAAGGCAAATAAATATCAAGAAACGACTTCCAATCAATTTCCTGTTATTAGTGTTGTTTTACTTGATGAGGGTAATTTTCATTTTTCTACGATCTTTATTGCATTATTTTGTTGGTTTTTTTTAATTGAAGTTGGCCGAATTTATTTTATTAGTTGGTTTGGCCGAAACAAGTCCTTTTAATCCATTAAAAGTGCTTCATTCTCTACTTGAGCCAAGCTATCCGGCCACAGGACCAACTGTTTCAGTGATAGGAATATCTAATTGGCGTCTAGATAATAGTAAAAGTAGTCGCGCATTACTCGTTCAGAGGTATTATTATATCAGTATAATTTATAAAAATTTTGCAAGAATTTCTTACATAAACATTTATATTTTTTTTATAGGCCACAATTTAGTTTAGATGATTTAGTTGATACTGCTGAGCGCTTATTAAATACAAGGGTTATTGGTTATGGACAAAGAGGCGCTTTGGAACCTTTAGCTAAAGCATATATGGATTACGAAAAAAATGGTCAAGCTTTGCCTAACTTTCATGGTCTTCGTGACTATTACGCATTGGTCAAACGGCTTTCATTAGATGAAATGACTCCAGAGAATATTCAAATGGCATTGGCTCGCAATTTTGGGGGAACAGAAAATAACAAATTATACGAAAAATATTTTGGAAACGTACTTAAGACATTTAATAATCATAAACCATGGTTTTATAAACAAATTCCTGTTGAAAAATTGATCGATTCAAATTTAGATGATCCCAATGCACGTCATTTAATGGTTATTGGTAAAAGTGACTCGATCGTAAATTTATTAACTTATCAGTTAAAACGGAAAGACCCGGACACTGCCCCCGTTGTAATTTTAGGATCACAATTTCCTGATGACCGAGATGATTATTCTTACAGTGTTTTAAGTAGAATCATGGTAAATAATATATCATCTGAAAGAAATTTATTTGTTCAATCTATTTTTGCACACGTTTTATATTGATATATTTACTTTTATCCAGATGTGTGTAGAGGCGGGCGGACCATTGATTTTAACAGATTTGGAAATGATTTATGGTAATTTCTTAATTTCATTAGTATTTCAATTGTGACATGAAGTTCTTACTCAAAGAAATAAAATTTTATTTTTGCTTAATAGGGAGTCTTTACGATTTATGGAATCAAAATTATATCGTAGTGGGAGACAAGGAAAATCCAAAATACTTTACACGAGTTGCACTTGGAGCTTACGCTAATCCTATGCTGTAAGTTGATTTTTTACGTATTAATTAATTAAAGAGTTTGTTTATGTTTTCGAATTAAGATTAAACAATATATTAATTCATATTTGCCAGTTATGTTTCACCGAATTTCAAATGTATTCTTGTCATGGATGAGAAGAATTTGGCTTCAGCTGATCCTCCACTACTTAATCGATTCGAAAAACAAAAAATGTCGATTAGTGACATACTTGATGATAGACAAAAAGACCTTGTGCAACATTTAGACGGATGGGTAAAACAAATGACAACTATAGTTGGAGTTAATCAATTAAATCAACGCAATAAATTCACTCAGAGGGATCTATTCATTGGGTTTGATAAAGATGAAACCTTACAAAGCTTAGTGATTGACATTACAAAGAATAATTCTGAAGCTGCTGATGAGGAGATTTTAGAAAAATGCAAGGAATGTTTAATTGCAGTAGCAACTTCTGATGGAGTCATAAGAGCTGAACGATCAGCTTTAGAACATGATGAAATTAATCGATGGAAACATACTTATTTCCATCAACAGCATCACGATAGTATTTATGATTATTTTGACGCATTATTTAATCGAGAAAAATCGCCGGCAGAACCGCGTGGAAATTTAGTAATTGTTAACACATTCTCAAATATTAATACGGACGTTAATTCTTGCTTGCAAGAACTTAAAAGATGTCAAATAGATAAATTGTCAACTTTTAAAACTGAAGCTCAACTTTCAAATAGGGTAAGTTGAAGGAATGATATAAGGTCATATATAATTTATTTTAGATTAACTTATAATATATACCTATATTTGTAGGTAAAACATTTCTGGTTAGAGTCCACTGATGATATGCTGATCCTTCAATGCGATGTAACTACCGTTAATGCTGGATGTATTAAGCTAGCTAAATCCATTATTGAACAATTCCGAAGTGAATTCCTAACAAAGAAGAAGAATCAACCTATGAAACATGCATGTATCATTCTTCATATTCATCGAGGTCAAGAATCCACTCCAGTATCTTTTAATTTCATGTGTGGTTGGAATCAAGTGACTATAGAAACATTGTCAAAAAACGACGTTCCTACATCAAATCTTTTGGATGGATCATTATCTGAAATTATCAATTCTACTAATCGATTCGAGAAAATTTTACAGCAAGAGATGTTATGGTGTTTATTATGTATGAAATACCCATCAACCGATAAATCAGTTAATCACATCAAGTAAGTATTTGATTTAGTGATCAATTTTAATTCTTTAATAAATATATAATTTTTTTTTTTGATAATCTTTAAAATTTAAAATATAGGACATTAAGCGAAAAAATACTAGATTATCCAAAATTTATAGAATGTCTTAAAGCAAGAATTCTTGAATGGATTGAAGAAAAGTCAACAGATGATTGGCAATTTAAAGTTGCGTCAAATAAACAAAATTTATATCCATACTCCTCATTTTCTTTAGCACTTCAAGCACATATTAGATCATTAATTAGAGTACCGATGGCTAAAATTTTATGTGCTTTAGAAAGACTATCAGCGACTAAAACATTTTTCCACGTTGAAAATGATGAAGAATTATTCGAATTTTGGCAACAAATTTATAAGGATAAGAAAATTGTTAAAATTGATGATTTACCGAATCCAAAGCCTGATGGATATATTATGCCAGCAGGAAGTTTATATGATCTTAAATTTCCTTTTTCATTATATTTTATGAAACAAATTGATAATTTTAAAAGATATTATGAAGAAGAAATAGCATTATTACAACAGGATGAGGATAGAGTTGACAGTGCAACTAATGAACTTTATGATTGGGTAATTGAGGATCATTTGAAAAATTTTAAAAACAATATTCTTACATCAGTTCCGCAATTAAGAGATTCGCCTCTTGAACGGTTTCCTGAGTTATATTTTAATGACTTTGTTACCGTTGTCGCATCAAATGATGGTGGAAGTAGAAATACAAAAATGTTATCGATAATCTTGAAACTACTTATTGGTGCTGACAAAGTATATCAACCAATACTCCTTCACACTTATTGGTGGAAAAATGCTAACGAAGTTTTAGCCCAATTACAGCTAGCTCTAATGGCCCCAACAACAATTCAAAATATTGAAATTCGAGGTACTGGTATTATCGGAGGAAGTTTCGAGAAATATCTTGTTAAGGAAATAACAAAAATGATGTTCCAGCGAATTCCTGGTAATTTTGGAGGTGCAGCAAATGTTCACTTTATTGATAGATGGCAGCATGATGTCACAAAAGTACTATCTCTTGGTAGTAAGATAACACGAGCAAAGAATTTGCCTGCTCTCCAATTGTTGCGCATAGTAAACGATTTAGTTGCATCGAAATCGATTCCTTTAGATAGTATTAAAGAAATTGTTCAACTTGGATTAAGTTCAGATAAACAGGAAGTCTTATCCGAAAAATTTGTTAACACTGTACTTGATAAGCTAGATAGATTAGAGTTAAATGAGAAAAATTTGATTCCAAGAAGATCATTTATCATGAGATGTCTTGGATTGATTCCGATTGAATCAGAAGTTCGATTAAGCCTGTACAAAAAATTATTCTCGGATGAACCTTTTTCATTGATGGGTGCAATCATCGAAAGGATCTTTCTTAAGGAAGATACAGAACAAGAAGATGTATTCTTTACATTAATTACAAACCCCGCAGATGCTTTAAGACGATCCGCTCGGTTAAATATTATCAATAAATGTTTGACCAATTTGGATACAAACATGGCTACATTATGTTGCGATGTTATTGAACAAGCGTTCTTTATGAATGATGAATTAAAAAACTTAGAGCCCTTCTTTGGACATGCTCTTGAAGCTTTATATGTACAAGGAGGACCAGCATTACAGAAAATTACTTCTATTGCCTTCCTTAAAGAATTCGTTCGTCGATTCTGGGATAGCTTTATTCAAGAAGATAAGAATAGACCTATTGCATATACTCAAATGGAAGAAGACGACTTTGATAGTGGTGAAGTAATCGATCAAATTAATACTTACATGAATATCGCTCACCCCTTGGTTTATTCTCTCAAAATGTACTTTTTAAGAGATTTACGGCAGAGAGATTTTTCAATTGATGATGTCAGAAAATTTTGTGAAGCTCAAAAAAGAATTTTACCATGGCTCGGAACTTTAAATTGGGAAGATATTAAAGAAAATCGTTTGACTTTTAACCCATACTGTAATTTACCTGAATATAATGAATTAGAAAAAGGCTTTATGATTTTTTATGGTGTAGGCAATAAGGCACCATTCCAAGAAGTTATACAAAACATTAAGAAAAAAACTACTCTAACAGCTAAATTATCTTTATTTGGACTTTTCTTTGTACGTCTTCATGCAATAAGAGCTTCAAGAGAATGGCGACATCCAGAAACACAATCATCTGAATTCGTGACCAAAGAACTTGCTGGAATGAATAACTTCCCAGTATTATTTAAAACAATTACAACAAAAATCTTGTCAAATAGACAACCTTTACTTCAAATTAATGATCCAAGAATTAATAATACTGATTTGATTTTGAAATCTGTCATTGCACATATAATCGCATTTCATGCATCGGTTGAACCGAATTCATCTCAACTAGCAATGTACTTGCATAGACTACAAGATTGCCAGAACTTGTTTATTTTAACATGTACTTCAGATTCAGAATCGGTAGTGTTAAATGCAGTCGCTGCTGCAGAAGGAGTTACAAGATATGCTTGTAAATGTGGTATGAAATATGTAATCGCAAATTGTGGTGGAGCTGTTACTACTAGCACATGTCCAAATTGTAAAAGTATTATCGGTGGAACTTCATATAAACCTGCAGCAGGAAATACTAGAATTGATACTGAGCCAATTGCTCAAGTATCGGCAAATGATCAAGCAGGATATATCGGAGAACCGGTTAATCAAACTTTGACTCATTCTGTTAGATCTTTGCCACCTACATCATATCGTATTCTACATTTAATTGTTCACGCTCTTATTGGAGCATCTGCACCTCAACCTGCCCTTGCTTTTCTTAGAAAAAATAATCAAAACGCTACCGATGCTGAAAGGTATTGTATGGATCATATTCGAAGTGATTGGGCAATTCTCAAGAATCTTCTTAATTGTTCGGATGAGGTAAACTATAAGCTTTTCTTGTTATTTGTTTCGTCTTTCGACATAAAATAATTAATTAAATTTATAATTTAAACCAGAATTTGGCGTTAATGTTCCACTCTCTAATTTCTTCAATGACGGAGAAGCCTCCGTTGCCAAATCAACAAATAAAATCATCTGCTGATCGCGAGAATTGGGAAACAGAGTTCCATAGAAATTACATTGCACCACAAATTAGAAATATAACTGAAACAGCAACTAATTATCGTATGAAATTAAACGCGGCTTTAGCTAAAAATCAAAAGAATAATGTGATTGAAGGTGAAATTAATCAAACTTTAGTCATGGATAAACAATATCGAGTAGAAAATTTACCAGCTTTATGGAGATCGATTGGATTGGTTAACTTCGAAAGTTTCCGTGCTTATTATATGAGTGATTTGGCAAAAAACAGAACCAATTATCCATTCCTCTCTATATTCTTCAAATATGCTGGACAATTAGAATTGCTAAAACATCTTTTGCCTATTGTAAAATTTGTTCAAGTTTTAAACTCAAAACTCGGTTACCAGCTAGCAAGACAGAAGGCAAGAGACATGTCTTTCAGACAATTTATAGAGAATCAATCAAATGGAGGTGAAAATCGTGAAATTTTCAATGGTCTAAAAACCGCATTTGATGACTTTAGTGAAGGTTGGAATAGAGTCTTACCTTTTGTAAAACGATATCAATGTCATGAACTTCCAAGAGAAAAACCGAATATGGCTTATAAACTTCCGGTTGTTTTTGGTTTGATGGAACCAAAGGATACAGGAATCTTGTTATGTGCGATCTTAGATTTTTTAGTTGACTTACAAAATAAATTTTTAGAGGAAGTTATGTCAATACCACCTGGAACTTGCAGGTCTCTCAAGTTTTTAGATGAGCCAACATTTAATGTCGAACAAACAGTTTCATCAACTTCAAAAATACAACCAGCAAAACCAAATACACCTAGTGGATATTACCTTCAATCTATGCGTATTGACCATGCTCGTTCCGCAAATATCATAAACTTTGATTGGGATGACGAAATTCTAGCATATAGTCAAAGAAATCTAGCAGTTGCAAAAGGACAAGATATTATTTATGATTTGACAAAAATTGAAGCGGAATTGGCGAATATTCTGGTTTTTGAAAAAGTTCACATAGAAACTCAACCGGAATCTCAGTTATATTTAGAACCTTTCCCATATCATATGGAACTGTTCCAAGGATGTATGAGAATTCTTAGTGATATAAAGAATTTAATAACCCAAGAGCCAATCCCAGCCGACAAAATGAATTTATTAGGTGTTACTGGAATTTCTAGTTCATTTATGTTTCCGCAAGAATCAACTCTTGACAACGCATCAGAAATTTTATCATCATTGGAAATTCTCCTATGTTTTGTTAAACGTACAGCAGTTGGAGATGGAGAGATATCTATTAAGGATTATGTTTCAAGATGGATGAAATTGTCTTCATTGTATGCACACGAAGGATTCGCTAGATTCTTAAATATCGATTTACGACTTAAACACTTGGTGGCTTTATACGAATTCGTTGAAGAGCAAGTTGCTAATCTTAAAATTAAATATATTCATGATAAATACAAAGCTCAACTTTCAACAGAGATGAGAAACGCAATAATTAAATCTGTAGATTTTGAGCAGCAAACTACAACGAAAGAAATGATATCAGCAGAAGCATTTGCTTTAGCTTTAAAAAGATTCATGTTACGATTTTTAACCTTAGAAAATCAAAAAGAAATGGAACCGTTGTATGTTTATTTGACAGATAATTCATTAAATTTCTGGCCGTCAACAATTCCAGAGAAACGCATCGAAGCATTATTCCCAGAAATTTTGTTGGTTGCTAATACGTATGATGCTTATGATTTTACAATGAGAAGGATTGAGGTGAGTAAATTTATGGTTTTTTAAAAAAATTCGATTTACCTTGTTTTATTAATTTATACTTATTTTTTTAGCAAACAATGGAGACAATTAATGCAAATAATACAATGAGACAAAATAATTTAGGTCCTAGAAATCCAAATATCGGTCAACGAACCACACCTACAAGCAGGCAGCAAAGGAAACCCAAAGGAGGATCTAGATACGATATAACATAAAATATTTATTGCAACTTATTATTTTATTATAGCGGCTATTGTTATTTTTTTTTTTAGATAGGATAGGATTGTATTGATAGGATATTACAATGATTTAAATAAAATATAAATGTTATTTTATTATTTTATTATTTTATTTTATGTCATTTTATTTTATCTAGACAAGTAATTACAGTGAACAGAGTCATCAGGTATTGAGCACCGGGTAAATGTGAAAAGTATCCTTATGAATCCGGTTACGCATGGAATACACCATCTTCTTCTGGGTTGCATGTGTAAGTCCCCTAGGGCTAAAGAAGGCTCCTAGCCTACGGAACTTCATTATAACTACCCTTAGAGAATTTTATTAGTTTCAACATATCGTTAAAAATCACATGATTTAACTTTAATTGAAATCGATAATGTCAAATTTGATCGTTATATACTTATATACAGTAGAAACCACTGATGTTCTTTTAATAATTAAGTTAAAAAAGTTTCTTTGAAATATTACTTTGACAAATCACTTTAACATGATGTTATTGATGGCCCATGAAATTTTCTAAAGTTTCAAGTTTATTTTTTTAGAATTAAATTTGAGCTTCTTGAAACAGAATTGACAAATTATAAAGTATTATTAAAATTTTGATATGAAATTACTAATAAATTTTATTAACAAATAAATTATAATTATCTTTTTATTATTACTGATCTTTTATTTTGTTTTTGATATTTGTGTTTAACCCATTCTCTCCATTCCAAATAACCACTTCTAAATCCTACATATTTAAATTTAGGAAAAGTAGCATCTAATAAAGGAGTTTCAGTTTGAAATACATTATTACTATTACTATTACTATTACTATTGTTGTTTTTGTTATTACCATTATTGTTATGAATTGATCTTTTATTTAATAATTTTTGAATATCAACACCTTTAATATAACCCTTTAATTGATTTTCATCATGATATAAAAATTCGATTTCATTAAAATAAATTCTTGATAAAGAAATTTTATGAGTTTTTAAAGAATCTAACCAACATGCATCACGACAACCTTTATATTTAATTAATTCAAAATTTTGTAAATTTTTTTGAGAAGAAATTAAAATTCCTAAATCTATAGAACATTGTATATGATCAAAATATGGTTCATGCCATAAAGTACCCTCAAAATCTGCTGTTAAAAATTCCAAATTATTACAAATTTTACTTAAAGTTAATAAAAAATTATATAAATATAATGCATCCTTTGATAATAACATATGTCTCGTATCTTTAAAAATATTTTTAATAGAATCTTTGCTTAAAATATTATTAAAATTAAATGAATTTATATTACTAAATGTATCAGGAAATTTAGTCCAACAATTATATTTAATTGAATAATATTCCATACAACCGAACTCAAAATAATCTATTTTCGTTCCTTTACTGGAAAATAATTCAAGTAAACATTCTAATATAATATCATGACAATATAATTCATTATATTCTATGCACCATTCAAATATACTTTTTGATAATATATGAATTTGTAATTCTTTTAAATATATTGGATAATTAAATTTAGGTTTATCATATAATGTTGAAGGTAATGTAATACCATGATTATCGAGTTTTTGTTTTTGTTCCAAAGATAAACATGAAAGGTAAGAGTTTATAGTTGATAATCTATTCCCAAATGGATAAAAAAATGGTGCTGACCATAATATTGGTAAGAAATAATTACACCAATTTTTACTTACTAACATAAAAGAAAGTATATTTCTATTAAATTCTTCAGAGAATGTATATCTTCCTTTTGGATACATTTCTTTAAATATTAACCACAATAATTCATATGGGATTATCATTATTATTATTATTTCAGTATTTTGAAGTTTGAAGTGATAAGTAAAGTATCGTAAAAAAATTTTAAAATGGATATACAGTATTTAAAAGATTTTCTCATGCAAAGAGTAAATCTTAACAATGAACGGAAACGCCCATTATCTAAATGCAGGTTTATTACTGGCTTTTTATAGGAAGGCGCACATAAAATGATGATTAGTATGTACTAAATATACTAATTTTTGGACAAAGACAATGATTTATTTAACTCGTACTTTTCCTTTTTTGAAAATATCTTAAAGGGCTAAAGCGTCCCAAAATTATTTTATTTTAACATATATAGCATTAACTACATTAATGAGGGATAAACTTTTTTTTTAATTACTTTATTTAAATAACTTTATAACTTTAATGAGAAAATATATATTTATATATATTTAAAAAGATTAAGAAAAATAACCAAAAAAAGAAAATTATCTCCTAAGCAAGCTAGTCATTACATTCCATAAATAATCTTCTTGTACATATTCTAAAGCTCCATTCAATACAACTAAATCTTCGCAATTAGGCAAAATACAAATTTTAACATCACTACTAAATTTCATTTGTTTAATTTTCTCTACTAAATAATTACACTTAAAAGTATCACCGACAAAGAATATAACAGAATATTCTTTTCCACTATATTCAGCCTCATTTGTTAATTTTAAATCAATAATATGTTGTAATCTATCTACTAAAGGATCAAATAAATCTGAAATGATTTTTGTATCTAATTCAACACACCATTTATTTTTCTCTAATTTTTTCTTTAAATCTTCATTTGTTAATGATAATACTGTATCTTTTAATGATGGTATAATTGAATCTATATCAACAGCTTGTGTTGTTTTACCATTTGATAAATACTTTTGAAGTAATGATTGAACTTTTGGTTGAATTTGTAATTGTGCTTGATAAATTTGTTTTAAATTTGTATTTTTTTGATCAAAAATTTCGTTAGTGATTCCTTGAGATGTTAAGAATCTTCTTTCAATACTTGAATTTTCTTTATAATCTCCTTTACGATCAAGTATTTCACTAAATGTATCTTTTGATATACATTCTCTCGTGGTCAAATTAATTGTATCTTTATCAATATCCACGTTCAAAAAATAATCTAATATAAAAAGGTTAATCTCATGAGAGAATGTAATAATTTATAATAAATATAATTAATTAATCGAAAATAATTTTTACCTCCAGAACTTAAGACATCCTTGTTTTCATTAAGACAATTTAACGTAATAGATTTACCTTTAAAAAAAATAAAATAAATAAAATAAAATAAAATTAAATAAACGTTATTTTATATATATATATAAAATAATTTATACCTCTTGAAATAAATTGAATCTTTTCTTTATGATCACAAAGTGATCCATTTTCAAGTAAACATTGACTTAAAATATTACAAGTTGTTGGACCCCATCTATCTGGTACAATGAATACAGTACCAGTTTCAGAAGAAGGTTTAATTCCAGTCCAATTTTCTTGTAAAGTAGAAAGAATAACCTAAATAAAATAAAACATTGTAAATATGATCATAATAATAATGATATAATTCAACAAAGTTTTGTTTAACAAATTTTATTACCTTTTGAATCTCATTTAAATAATCACTTATCAATTTCTTTTTAGAAAGTTCAGGTGGTAACCAAATATCTTCATTATCATTATTAAACACTTGAAAAGTACAAATTTCTCTTGGAAATTCCGTATCTTCAGCATTATCTGATGCATTTTTTAATTGTTCTAAAACTGGTGTACCCCATCTTATGACTTTGGAATAATCATCATTATACTCAACTATTGCAGGTGATTTAACAATTCCTTGTTCTTGTCCCTCCCTAAATTAAATAAAAATAATTGAATAAATCACTTTATGAAAATTTTACTGCAAGAATTTTCAAAAAAAAGGAAAAGAAAATTTTACCATTGTTCGAATATCACCGTTGATTGAGAGAATGAATGCTTCAATGAATGAGCAAAACCTATGATGAAAAATTTTTAAAAAAAAATTTCTAAAGACTTAAAATTAAAATCACGCATAGTAAAAAGAAAATCTTACTGGTATATTCAGTTCCGATATCTAATTAACAAAATTAACGATAAAAACATGGATTTGGATTAATTTTACTACATTAACAGAACGGGCGAACATATAAAAAGATTAACACTTACCTATGGCAACAACGAATCTAACTAGTTTACTTTCAAACATTTTCACTAAAAGACTAATAAAAACAAAATAAAAAATTTAAAAATTTCAAAAGAGTTGAACCGGAGGTTCAAAGTCAAAAAAAAGTTTACCTTTAACCAAATTTATAATTATAATGAATTTTTTTGTATTCAAGGTTCTCACACAAAAAGGCTTAGAGGCTTTTTCGTACGACACATAATCATTTGGAAGCAGATCATAATGATATTTTCAAAGTAAAATTTCATTATAGATACGTTGTACAATATGGTTTTGTGACTCGAGAAATTTTTACTACGGTGAGGATTTAAAATTTACTTTAGGGACTTTAAATTAAAAAATAATCTGATTCAACCTCACAGTCGTTTACACACCATCTGCTATTATTTCTTTTTCATCAGTTAATGTTTCTTAATTAAAACTGAGTTTTGTAAAAAGACAGTTTAATTTATACGTTAAATATTACAATATGCATACTTTAAAAGTTTACCAAAAAGGGTTTAATTATTTGTTAATAATCTAAAATCACTTAAAAAACGTGGATTACATTTCATTAATATCCGAAGATTTACACAATTTACCAAAACTATACAGATACTTTGGCAGGTTATGTATAAACAATATGTATTTTAAAAAAAAAAATACTTTGAAATTATAATTGATTAATTTATTATGAACTCATTTTTACGAAATCTTGTTGACACAAATTGTCAAATTTGTCAAATTTGCAATTCTATATTGCAATCCATTAAGTACTTATATCAATTTATATCACTTATGTTAAATTTATATATTGAGTTTCAACAAATCTTTGCAATACTTATTTGTAACGTGACTATAATATCATTAAATAGATGAGAGGTTACAATGAGTGATGGTTGAGAAAAATAAACGCATGATGTGATTATGATTTAAAATAGAACGTACGATACATGGGCGTACATCTTAACACCTGATGGTTATTGTTTCCCGGTTTGGTAATTTGTAATGAAATAAATAATTTGATGCGTTTAAATTTTATTATTTTTGTTTTTCTTTTTCTGTTCTGCAAAGAAAAATGTCGTATGATTTTCATTCAGAGTTATCTAATGAATATCTTTCAATATTTGAAAATAGTAAATATTCAGATGTTACTATCAAAGTAGGCAAAGGAAACAATCCTAAAGAATTTAAAGCACACTCTTTTGTTCTTAAAGTACGATCCAAATTTTTTGAAAAAGAAATTAAAAAAAAAGAAAATAGCAATTCATCTAATAACAATGTTACTCTCTTTATACGTGAAGATTTCAATTTCGAAGCATTTGAATACGTTTTAAAGTAGGCAATGTTTTTTTTCTTTGAAAATTTGGCCGTGATACGGGTACTTATAATAACCTAACCGTTTTATGATTTATTATTTAATTAGATATTTATATTCAGGATCTTTTAACCTAGTATCAAAAGATATTAACTTTATTTTGGACATGCTCGTTATTTCTGAATTCATTAATCTTATAATCCTCATTAATGTTCTTCAAAAATACTTAGTTGAAAAAAGAAAAAAAGAACTAGACAACTATTTTAGTATCGTTCACAAAACTTGTTCTAAATGCCAATCTTTCGAAGAGTTACGAACTTACTGTGATAAAACTGCTCAATTATATCCCACCACTATTTTTAAAGCTGATGATTTCACTACTTTAGATAAAGATTTATTAATTTTTATTCTTGAAAATAAGAAAAATAAATTATATGACATTCAAAAATGGGATTATATCATTAAATGGGGTATAGCTCAAAATTCTTCGCCCCTTCCTGAAATCTCTTCTTCCTCCTCTTCAATTCATAATACATCATTATGGTCAAAAGCAAATTTTAGAGATTTATCAGTTACTCTTAAACCAATTATTGGTCTTATAGATTTTAAAAAAATCTCTTCAAAAGATTTTTGTAACAAAGTTAAACCTTTTAAAAAAATTTTTGAAAAAACTTATTATGATGAATTACTTGTTTCTCAATTAGGTGGTGATAATTAAGAAATTTAAATTATTCAGTGATTAGAATCAAGTAAAAGATAATTATTTGTTAAATATACCTGTAATTTATTTTATTATAACTTCCATTTTTGAAATTTAAATAAATCTGATTAATTTATTAGTTATATGTCGCATTCATTCTTCATATTACACATCACATAATCGTATATCCCTTGTAGGTTGACATTTCAATAAGGCCAGGCCAATGGGATTTTTCTGTTTAACAAGAGTTTTTATTGAAAAGGAGGGGGAGGGGTTAAAAATAATTTACAAAATTTTTTAAAAATTAGATTTCCACAGTGGGGGGGGGGATTTAAAAAAATTGATAAATTTTTGCTTTTTTTCTATCTGGCGCAGCGTACATTACCGTGTATTTCGTTCTTAGTAGCGCCTATCATTATTTTATAAAGCGTATATAAAATAGGATGCGCATATGAATTTTATTGATCTGATGTGCGCTTTGCATTTCATGAGCAAGGAATAAAAAATTAAATTAGACACTCAATTTGAATATTTGTAAAAGAGATTAAAAGGATGAACGTTTTCACCCTTCCTACACACTTTTCTTTATTATGATAACCTGAAAATCAATTTTCTTTCGCTGTATATTACACGTTCAAAAAAAAAATCTTTCATGCTGACAAATGTAGTACTGTACGACAGTTAGCAATCATTAAATTATCGCTCTTTCCTTTCCAGATTCCTTTTTCCTTGTAAACAATTTTATTCAGAAGAATGGCTGATTCTGTGAATTCTGGCGAAACTGATACTGAAAATTCACATCACAATGTACCTCAGCGGCAACCATCTAAGTTAAATGTCTTGTTATCCAAGAATCGTTCCCAGCAAGCTCAAAATAAAAGACCATTGCCGAGACGACAATCATCTTATAGACCAAAACTAATTTCTTTGGGCCCTTCAGAAAGTCAATTATCAGCTCCATATATTGAAGAAGTACAACCTGAACGACCTCAATATGTAAGAAATCCGACAGCTGATCAAACATTGGATGCATCGGATACTGCTTTATTAAACCCTCCCCAAGGTAAATAAATAATGATACTATATTTGTCTTCTAATAAGTTTGAGCAAAAAAAAAAAAATAATAATTTAATTTTAATTAAAGTTCCAGAAGCACAATCAAATCGTTCAACTTCTTTACGTGATTATTTTAGAAAAGTGCGTCTGTTAAATACAATAAATAGAATACTCACTCATAATGAGGGTGAACATTTAAAAGATACTGAAAATTTTGAAACAGTCGTTTTTTCAAGTCCATTTGACGTACCCTATTTATGGGCAAAAACAGATTATAAAGGACGTAAAGCAGTATGTAAAAGTTTTTTTTTTTTAAAATTGAAAATCGAAAAGGGATTATAAATTTAGTTTTTTTTTTAATATTTAATTTAGCCACCTGTACTATTTAGTGCTCTCAAGGTTCGAAACAATTTGATCCGTTTTTGTTTTTATTTCCTTTTTTAATAAATAATAATTTAATTAATTATAATTTATTATATAGCTTGCTGTTACGGACTCATATCATGATGAAAAGAATTATAATTTGCAAAATGTTTTTAGAATAGAATTGGAGTATGGTGATGTTAAGTGGGTCATTAATAGATCAGGATTCGATTTCGCTTCACTTTACGTTAGTTTAAAGAAAGAAATAAATTTACCGCATATTCCAAGATTACCGACAGGTCTTGCTAATTGGTTTAAATCATTGATTCGAAAAACTCAACTAGATAACCAAGCTAGAAATCAAACAACTGTTTTACAAAGAAGGAAAGATTTGGAAAATTATTTAATTCAATTATTAAGAGCATTGAAATTTAGTGTCGCTTATGAACTTTATGAGTTCTTGGAACTTAGTGCCGTTTCAATTACAAGTGATATGGGATGGAAGGGAAAGGAATGTCATTTAAATAATAAAGTTGAAAGATTTAAAACACCAATATGTTCTTTTAGAAATTCGAATGAGAAATGGGTTAAAGAATGGGTTATAGTTCGTGATTCGTATCCTTTAAATATATAATCGATCTTTTATTTATTTTTATTTTTTGTACTTTTGATTCTTAACTAATTTTATAATCATTTTACAGTTATATAGCCTTTTGTTCAGATATAAGTTCGACTATACCAACTGATGTTTTTCTGATGGATAAATTTTTTAAATGTGATAAAATGGATTTTCAAGGATTAGATCGTGTGCTAAAAATTCATGATCACGTAGATATTGAAAATAGTTCACGTAGAATAGAAATGAAGGGTGACAACCGAACTTTAAGTGAATTCTTGGAAAGTATTGAAAAAGTTAAACGATCCTCTCCTTGGGTCAGGCAACACCGTTTTGATTCATATGCACCTATAAGAGAAAATGCAAAGGTGAAATGGTATGTTGACGGTAAAAATTATTTCTTCGCTGTGTCACAAGCTATTATGGCGGCAAAATTAGAAATTTATATTGAAGATTGGTGGTTATCACCGGAGTTGGTTAGTATCAGAAAAAATATATATAATTTTTTTTTCTTTTTTGTAATTTTAATTATTTCATTCTTTTTGACTTGATCCGTTATAATTTAGTATCTTCGTAGGCCCCCTTCAAAAAATGAAAAATATAGATTGGATAATTTACTTAAAAAGAAAGCCGAGGAAGGTGTTATGATTTATATTATCGTGTATAAGGAAGTTAAATTAGCTTTAACTTTGGATTCATGGCACACTAAAACTTGCCTTCAACATCTTCATCCTAATATAAGAGGTACGTGAATATTTAAAAAAAGAGGCAAAAAAATGGTTTCTTCTGTTGAAGCAAAATTCATATTTATAAATTTTTTAGTTCAAAGACATCCAGATCATGGTCCTGATGGGACAGTGTTTTGGGCTGTAAGATATCAATTTATGATACTTTTTTTTTGAATCTTAATAAGCAAAATATGATGCAATATTAATAATATTTTTAATCATTTTTAATTTTTTATTCTCTTATAGCACCATGAGGTAAATTAAACTATACTGTATTAGGTCGATTTGATAAATTTTTAATAGATAAAATTTTTTTCATATTTAGAAAATGTTGATTATTGATTGCAAAATAGCCTTTATTGGAGGGCTGGATTTGTGTTTTGGACGGTACGATACTCATCAACATGAATTGGTGGACTTTGATCCTCATAGTGATAATCCATCAATATGGCCAGGACAAGATTATTCAAATCCGAGAGTGAAAGATTTTAATAATGGTGAGATTTTGATTCAAATTTAAAAGAATTTTTTTTAAGTCTTCATGATCGATCATCCTGACATATATAATTGTTCCTTTAAAATTTTTTAGTCTCTGATTACAATGCTGAAATAGTTGATAAATCACGGGTTCCTCGTATGCCATGGCATGACGTTTCAATTGGTGTTGTTGGCCACCCAGCACGTGATATTGCTAGACATTTTATACAAAGATGGAATTTTATAAAGGAAGAGAAAGCTTTTGAACGTGAAAGCATCCCTTTCCTAATGCCAAAAGGTGAGTATGTTAGCACTAGGGATGAAAGTAAATTCTTTGGCACCTGTAACATTCAACTCTTACGAAGTAGTGCTTCTTGGAGTAGCGGAATTGAATTGGAGGTTCGCAATTTTTTAAGAAAGTGAAATTATATTTGACCTTATTTAAATCAAATTTTTTTTATGTATAATAGAATTCGATTTATAATGCATATTGCCATTTGATTCGATCGTCTGAACACTTTATATATATCGAAAATCAATTTTTTAGTAAGTTTTTCTTTTTAAATAATATATTAATTTTAATGAAATATATATATTTATATTTTTCTTCTTTGATCAGTTACTGCATCAGAAAAAGATCCTGATCATGAGATCAAAAACAGGATCGGTGAGGTATTTGATAAACAATATTTTAACATTACCGTTACTGATATCCTTTAATCATATTATCTTTTTAATTATATTATTTCTTTTAATTAGTTTATTGTTGAACGAATAAAAAAAGCGCACGAAAACAATGAAAAGTTTCGCATTATTGTCGTAATGCCATTATTACCAGCATTTGAAGCTGATTTGCACTCTAAAGATGCTGGAACAATTCGGTAAGGTTAAATAATAAATAAATTATTTGTAAGTTCAATTATTAATTTTTTTTTAATATATTTTTAGTATGATAATGCATTGGCAATATCTTTCAATATCTCGTGGTGGAAAATCTATATTGGAGAAAATTTCGGAAGCTGGCATTAATCCTGAAAATTATATTTCATTTTTTGCTTTACGAGGTCATGGCAAAATTCGTCACAGTGAAAACCGTGATAAAAAAACTTCAAACTCTACTGATGGAAATGATGGCTCTCAAAATGTTAATAATGTTATCAATGGTTCAAAAGATTCTATTAATAATAGTGGAAAAACATCATCGATAGAGAATAATAAATCACAAGAAGTAAGACAAAGTCATCCTTCAGAAACTACTGTAGATTCATTTTCAGATGAAAGACCACAATATATCTCGAATGTAAATGAAAGAATAGGCGGAGAACCAGTCTTACCTGATAGTATCAAACAAATGGATCCCAAACATATTTTTGTTACCGAGGAAATTTACATACATAGTAAATTAATGATTGTAGATGATAGATTTGTAATATGCGGATCTGGTAAATTGAGATTCGAACGTGCATTGCTTTCTACTACTTTATAATAATGTTAATGTTTAAACGTTTTATTTATTTATGTAGCAAACTTAAATGATAGATCACAACTTGGAAATCGTGATTCAGAAATTGCAATTATTGTCGAAGATAAAGAAACTATTGATACATTTATGAATGGTAAAAAGGTAATCGAAAGAATTAAAATTTTATAATCTATTTATTTTATCCAAATGTTTTAGTGCGTAACAATTTTTTTTTTTTCACTTATTTAATTTAAAAGTATAAAGCAAGTAAGTTTGCCTACACATTAAGAAGTAATTTATTCAAAGAACACCTTGGTTTACTAGAAACACAAGACCATAGTACTATGACCGAAAGTTGTTTACCTCCTTTAAATCCCGAGGCTTTATTTGAATTATTATATGAAAAAGATGAAACAGCAACCTCTTTGTTAGACGCTCAAACGAATGAGATTAAAAAATGCTCTACAGAAGAATTAGTATTTATGGATCCTTTGTCAGACGAATTTTATAATTATTGGTCACAAATTGCACAAAATAATACTGAAACTTACAGGTCTTTATTTAGATGTGTACCAGATGACAATGGTAAGTAAAATAAAATAATTCTTATTATGTTATAATTGTTTTTTATTTTAAAGTTAATTAATTTCTCTGATTTTTGTTAAGTTGCTGATTGGGAACAATATAAAGAGTTCGTACCCGATCCTACAAAAATGTTTATAGGACATGTAGCAAATCCTAATGCTTCTGTCGAAGAAATTAAAAGGAAATTAAGTAATATAAGAGGACATCTAGTACAATTTCCAACGCAATTTTTAAAAAATGAACATTTGATGGGTGGAATGATTTCAAATGCTGTTGAAATATTTACATAGAAATTATTATATGTTAATTACTTCTTTGATTCAGCGAATCAATTAATAATTCTATAACTATTATTCTATTTTTTTTTTTTAGTTCTCTAATTATTTGTTTAATTAATATACTTAGTTTAATAAATGCACTTAGTCATTTATAATTCTAAATCATTTCTTCAAGTATTTTAAGTATTTAAAAGTCAAGATCTGCGTTATTTTACAATTCGTAAATAGTTCCCATGAGGTTCCTGACGGGATCATCAAACCACTTGCAAAGGTGTATTCTTTTTAGGTTAGATCTGCTTGGACAAAATAGGAAAAATTTTAATTAGGTCTTAACAGTTAAATTTTAGAGTTAAATCAATTGTATTCCTAACCCTTTTCGGCTGGCTCTATTTAGACTATGTACGCATATTTATACCTCTTGAAGAAAAATTTGATTTCCAATCATTTCAATATTATATCATTTTACTATTGTAAGTAGGGCTATAGCGCAAACGACAAGTGTAAATTATGCCTAAATGACAAAAAAAAAAAAATTCGAGTCCATATGAAATTTTTGAAGCTTCATGAGAATGGAATTTGGGAGGCTCTTTTTTTTCAAAACTATGTTTCGTTTTTAAAATCTTTCTTTTTGTGTATTTATACGAACGAAATATTCTAACGAAAAAACAATTTAATATAGTGCCACTACAATTTGTTACATACGCGAATTTAGTGAATACCTTACCTAAGAATTAATGGTGAAAGAGATCATGAATGTTTTGATTTTGATCACGATGTTGTTTTGGAATATCAAAAGTTAACTGACATTTCTAATACAAATTCTCACCTGTTTTCATGATTAGTATTCTTAACTTGTAATCCTTATCTTTAGACATGAATAAATAAAATATTACATCAACTTTGATGCATATATCGAATATTAAAATTTGAATTTATATTGCTAAATTAATTAATCTGGCTTAACAATTTTACTTTTCATGTTTATCTTATATTAAAAATCACTAATGATCCGTAACCTGATTGAAATCATAAATAAAAAATTTTCCTTATAAATTCTATTCCCTTTTTCCTAATCTTTTCCTTAACTATTATTTTATTATTTTTTTGGTTTATATAATATTATGCATCTTGCTTAAGACTTATAGTTTAAGTTGTTGCCTATGAAGCATCAAGTATTACGTACTGTAGAAAATTAGAACCAATTCTTTTCATTTTTTTTTAGATTAGATTATATATTCTTTTGATAATGAGTATAGTTCAATACCTAGATTTGGATATATCATTGGAAGTAGAAAGTTTAAAAGTCTCGATCTGTTGTTTCAAGTATATCGGTTATACAAAAATTAATCAAATACGGTCAATCGTACGACCGAAAAATCATTAATTCACCTTTTTATAAAATAAATACTGGAGAATAATCACTTTTTCATGTACTGATATTTTTAATTTTTCACTCTGTCATAAAAGTGCATTCAGTAGGGTTGTAAACTATATACAATTAAAATAGAAAAAAAATCTCAAATTTCTTTATCTTATCACTTACATACATTAATATTTATAATACAATCGAAATGTATAATTGATTGCGTTACGTTTCCGGTTTGAAGTTTATAAAAAAGACAATGATAATAATAAATTTTCGAAATTGATAATAAAAAAATTCAATTTGAGGAATTAAAAGTTGGACAACTCTCGTGAAGTTTATTCTCGTAAAAGAATGAAGATTCTGACAGACTGAATTTTAGGTAGGTTGACGTCGATGAAAGTAAGCTTAATCCTTGTTCTATTGAAGACGATGTTAAAAAAACTGAAGGCGAGACTATGAAACTTCAATACAAGTTTGAAAGATATTTTCAAGCTGATTATGAACCTACGGAGAATAAAATTCACATCATTACTGTCATTGTAATTACAGCCACCTCCCAATGTTTTACCTCTCGAACAAGAAATTTGGCTTCCGGAAAATTCACACGTGTGAGAAGGAGCACCACGAATTCGCCATTGATCCGGCAGATATTTACACACGGACAAATGGGTATGTGAAGAATCATGATCTACACTCATTTTTTCCATAATTCAGTTATTTGACAGGCGTGCTGGCCTTGTCTACCTTTGCGGAGAGCTATCTATTTATATTTATCGCGGAAAACTTGATGAAACTCGAATAAGTATAAGATTTCATCTATTTCATCATAGATAATCTTTATTTGAAAACAAGTCATTCCTGAAATTTACAAGTTGATCCAGTCCTCAGACGTAGTAATAACTCTAGACATTCTCAAATCCTTCATTAAAGAAATGACTGTTCCACAAGAGAGTGTATATGATACCAAAATGTGTAGGATCCTGGTATTAAAGTCTTATCAGGTCACTAATCAACGGCACTTGGTGGAGTTGGTGAAAAAGATGAACATTTATTACTGCGATATAATAATAAAAAGTCCCTCTCAAGCAATTATTCTAGAGTTATTAACGACCATTAAAAAATTTAGATCTTGGGCGCTTGAATATATACTAGATAAACTATCTGCAAAAGAAATCTGAATAGGTGTAAAGATTATGCAACCATGACACCTTATTATTCACCTAATGATGAAGAATCTCACATTATACATTTCTTGCATTAATAATAAACAGATTATAAACTATTCTTTATTGGTTTCATCTTGTAAAAATTTATATTTGAAATGTATTAAATGATAAAGAAATGAAACTGAATTGTCATTTAAATATTTATACACTGTTCAGATTTATAGTGAAGCAAAAATTGTAGGCGAAATATGCTATGCTTTCAAGAGAACAGATCCTAGGCCAATAATGCGAGTCTCTGCATCATATTATTTCTTTGATTTCTCACGTTTCCGGAAAACGCTAATATTGCTAACTATGAGATTCTCACACCATCGATAATCAGATTTCCAAAATAAATCATCCCACCCACTACCCATATTTACAAATTTTCGCCAAAAGTTTAAGTTCCACAAGAGAACTTTTTCAATATGGAATAATTCAAATTTACAGCATAAATTCCTAAGATAAATGATGCAATACCTCCGATTCATTATTACATTTTATTTACCATATTGTAAACTTTCATTACTATATAAAATGTTTGCGTAGTATTTAATGAAATCGAATAGGTTTACGGTTAGAGATAGAATAGATTGGATAGATTGAATGGACTCACAATAAACAGCTAACGATAATTATACTCCCTCTCCTTAAATTCACTTCTCAAATTACTAGTTTAGCTGGTACCGGCCTTTCATCAAAAAAACATACATAAATCAAAATACAAACAGTATGCGTTTATTTGTCGACTCACAAGTCAATAATAAACTTTATGATATTAAGGGTGAATGCGAATAAAATAAAGAATAACCATTTGCCAACTACTATTAATCACAAGTAATACAAATCAACTTGAATTTAATCTTTATAATTCAATAATGGTAATAGACCAACTTGATTTTACCTATTATCGAGCAATTTCAATGCACATTGGTATTTAATCAGTTTTACGAAGATATATATATATGTATATTATTAACTTGGTGGAAAGATTACTATTTACAATAAATTGTAATGCATAAAGAAGATTTTATTACGGAATCTTGAAAAACTTTTAGCTCGGTTGAAAATGCTGTTACAAGATATATTCTTACCTGGTCTAGAGTCCGTTTATCATAATCATTTTTATTCTTAATAGAATAGCATTATAAAGAAATATTTCTTTTCGTTTTAACAAATTTAATACAGTTTCCGAAAAAAGAAAGAGTATCTTTTGTAACTTCTTTCTATTGTTCCACGATATAAAGTACAGTACAATCTTTGAGCGATTTTTTAGTTCTTCATTATGTTGAAACAGGGCTTCTTCATTATCAAGGTCTATGTCCAGGTTGTTGACTTCTAAAGCCTAAAGGCTCACAAGAGATGAATTTCAATGTTCAAATTATTATAAAAATCATGGACAACATCCACATTTAAAAAAAAATGCTAAGACAATTAGCGTTATAATCTTAATATATAAAGTCATATATGTATCGCATACGTTTTGTATACTTTACTATCACATTACTCCACACCCAAGCTGTAATACTATTAACTGACTTTACACAAAAACATTATTCGCTTAAATCAGCTGACGATAGAATCAATAAATTAATTTATTTCAATAATATGTGCTAGTGATAGTGACAGGATCACCAAACTTTTATTATAATAAAATATTACTTTTAGTATATCGATTATATATAAGCTCACGTATTATATTGTTTGGTATATAGCATAAGCGCATGCTGTAATTTCGTTTTATAAAGTGAAATGTTTTTATGCTAATACGTAAGGACTACATTTGTTTTTTGCTTGTCTTTACTATTTATACTAACACATTATTGATTATCCCAACGTTCCATGATCCGGCTTAATAACCGATATTCTGGATAATATAAAACGGTCATCAGTTACATGAGATAATTGAGATATGCAGTGACGGAAAATAAATCAACAGAACATTAAACTTACGTCGAAAATTTATGTTGTTTGCATTCCATGATTCTAGTAAGACCCTCAGAAATCTGTACAAGAAAATATCATTTGTTTGCAAATCCTGGAATCGTTTTCTTTGCACAACACAACTGAAAAAGTATATTTCATTCATACCTTATTAGTGTAAGTCTCGTCCGGAACTTCTTTCAAACTGTGATACGAGAAAATAGTACAACGGTTGGTTACTGTGCTATATTAATTTATTGGTTTGTGTTGCAAGTAAAAAAAGCCACACTGGGACCACTAAAAATTACGTAATTTTTTTTAATAAATACGTTGGATCAAAATCTAATGAGTAATGATAAAACTGTATTAATCATTGTTTTTTTTGTGTAGTGACTTCACTGATTTTTTACTATGTTTATTAATTCTGTCGGAATATCTATATTATTTGCTGTATCAAGAGTATTATTATGTTACGATGTATTCAGAAAAGTATATATACCTCACCTTTTCAACCTTAAACTTTTCTTTAAACTTTCTCTTAAATATTTTATCACTTTTATAACTTTTTATAGCGATGGATATGTCATTTAATCTTCACGTACTTAAAAGCGACAGTTGTGATCTCCTTACGGTTGACATTTACAAAAAAAAAGATGAGGATGAAGATATATACGTCGAATTGGATAATAAAAAGTACTACTTAAATTCACTCAAAGTTAAACACCTCAGGGACTATGTCTGTCGTATTAACGGAGTTGGTGATTCCGACAAAAAAAATGTGTAACTTTGGAAACTTACTGTCGATGAAGAAAGGATTGAAAACGAAAATATTTCTACTGAAGATGACATTACACAAAAACTTAGTGGGGAAGAAATGAAAATTCGAACCTTATTTAAGACACATTTTAAAGATGAATTGAGTAAATTAGAACGTGATAAAGATTATGAACTTGTAAGTTCCATCATCACCATCATCCCCGACGGTAAGTGTCTCCCAACGTTTTACCTCTCGAACAAGAAATTTGCAGTAACAAAATATCGATTTGGTCTGATCTCTTTTTTTTCGCGTTAAAGCAGGTCCCTCTCAGCAAGGCGTTCCACAAGGTACAGACAATATCTTTTTTCGTAACCAGCTAAAAGATTTATTGATAATAATATTCATTTTATTACCACTCATAAATAACTTTTCAGTGACGCTTCCCGAACCTAATGAAATATTCGAAAACTTTCTCAAAAGCGAACACAGACAATTCCTTAACAAGTTCATAGAAAATAATGATGCATTGCCATCATATGATTCAGGAATGTCATCTCTTAAAACAAGTGTACCTGCTACTTCTTCGGGTGATCGTCCTTCGCTCTTATTACATAATCTCCCCGGAGATGATCATAAACATGAGCCAATTACCCGGGTTTTAGGGGTTCAGTCTGCAATTGCAAAAGCAAAAGTAAAGAACAACATATTATTTTTTTAGGAACATCTGGATGCGGGAAAACAAGGACCTGTTACGAGTTACTCTGTGAGAACTGGGGCCTTATTTTGTCGCATCAAAACAAGGGAACGGAGGTTCGGCTGATATTGAGAAAATCAGCAGTGTTTTTGACGAGAGACAACACAAGACTTTGAAAAAAACCGTGTAATTACAGTAGGAATCGTACGCTGTGCAATACTCGCCCGACTTCTTATATTACGCTATTGTATGAAAAACGCATCAACATTCAATAAACAGCGTTGGCTCCTAATCCAAGTTTGTCAAAATATCTTTGAAAGATGTATAGTTATGATGATGATATATTCCGTGTCCTCATGTTGAAACTCATCGCTTGCCCACCATCATCTGTAACAGCACTCATTATTGAGATATATATGGAATTTGATAAGGAAACGTTTATCATTATTCTTGACGAAATTCAAGTCCTCGAAACGGTAGATAAAGGAAAGTTTAGATCACGAACAAATGAACAAGAGGAGCGTTCACTCTTGTCTCCTTTAGTTCAGGCAATGAGAGAACCAGCATCATCGGTTAGCGACAATCGTTATTTCATTCCATGTGGTACTGGGCTTGGAATTCTTTCTCTTGAGGATGTCCTTAATTGAGGAATTTTAAAACCGGAAACTGATTTACTTAAATTCACGGAGTTAGAGAATGGCAGAACATTGATAATGTGAAGAATTACATTAGTAAACTAGTGGAATTAACAGATCATGATTATAACTATCTTTATAATTATTTTCATGGACGGTTTCGCCCAATTGTCACTTGTGTAGAGGAGATTATCATGGGCGAATCCGTTAATAATGTTGTTGAAGAAAATTGGAATCTATTGACGAAACATAAAACCAGCAAACAATCATTATATAAACAGCTATCCTATATCATTGAGAGGGAGCGTGCTGATCATGTGAAGTCAATAAATGTTCTTAATTTGTATAAAAGAGTAGCGCTTGCCTACTTTTATTCTGGATCGCCATTCTTGTTCTCTAATATTGATCAAATGTCAATTGTTGAAAGTGGTTTTGGGCGTCTCCGGTTTGTAGATCCACCAACTAAATCTGATTTAAAGAAAATGTGCGATGATGATAACACGTTGAAAATCTCAATGTGGATACAGAATCAATGTTTCCTGCACGTGCAGGAAAAAATTCTTTATGTTGATGAGCCCTTTGCCATTAATACTTTATTCAACTTCTTTGAGAATAATAAGGAATTATCAGATGAAATTCTTGAAATAATGTCTATAGTCAATAATCCAAGTGCATGCGGTACGCTATGGCAAACGTACAGTACTTACTAAAGAATTTGAGCAAATGTTTAATGGTAAAGTTGATGTTTATAAGATGCCAATATTTTCTGAGATTGCTAAGAAATATGAATTACCTGCTTTTTCCGAAAATTGTTAAATCCTTTAACGAGAATATACCACTAATTAAAAATGCAATAACATCAGGTTACACATTGGATGAGTTCTTTACTGAATCACCTGAAGTTCCAGTCTTTTTTCAGATAAAATTGCGTTATTCAGTTAAAACGCTTGCGGGGGCGCTTAGGGTTAGAGTTAAGGTTAGGGTTAGAGTTAGGGTTGTATTATCGATAAGGGAAACGCATCAACGGTTTTTCATAATGGTCATCTTCGATTTCTAGATGCGTTAAAAAGCGCAATAAAAGTAAGAAAGTGGACGAAAAGGATGAAGATATGGGAGAAGCGGACGAAGAGGAAAAAATGGGTGAAGATATGGGAGACAGGGAGAGGGTAACAAATCGAAAAAAAGACAAAAGCAAGCCAAAAAGGGTGAAGAGATGGGAGAGGGTAGCAAATCGAAAAAAAAACAAAAGCAAGTCAAAAAGGCCAAAAAGTAATTACCGCTCTGCAAAAATTATTTTCCTCTTTCTCGACTTTTGAACCAAATGGAAAGTTTTCTAAGGATTTGGGTAGAACTTTGCTATTGCTAAATTAATAAATTATTACTATAAATCACAAATATAGTCTGCTTAGGTTAATGTTATGTTATTAATCACATTGTTATATACTGTATAATAGAATTGCATACATTGCTTTTAATATAAAAATAGAATTTTATTATTTCAGTATACGATTTGTAGTTTTTAAACGAAAAATCTTTAGTTTTTCATGATAAAGTAGCAAGTGAATTGTGTGGCATGCTTCAAAGTACGCGGGTCCTTGAGAGCCCTTGCGTCATATTATTTCTTTGTTCTCTTACATTTCCGGTGCTAACTTTTTTCCTATTGTTAATATCGCTAACTACGAGAACCACCTTTCACTCATATAGACCAATAAAGGATTGTGAACTTTTGATCTCATTACAAAAATACGGATTCGCTCAAATTAACGTCATATATGTGCGGAATAAATTACATGCAATTATTGTTTCGGAATACATTATGTCTAATGTTACTGCATTGCATATTCGATTACAACTTTCATATAGGACGCGATTTATTTTATCCAAGTGGGACTTTAGGTCTCACTTTTTTTCATTCACCATACATCTCTAAATGTATATCCCACAATTTATAGCCTTTTCGGCCAAATTCTTTATTGATAGTAAATAAATTACGTGATTCAGTTCGTAACAGCCCGTCAGCATGGATGACATGTTTGATAACACCCCAAATAAAAAATCACGTGTGCGTGAACAATTGTTCACGATCATTTTTGTCAAGAAAAATTTTTATTAATACATGCGAAAATGCGGGACTTCACCCGGGATACATGATGAAGTTACTACGATTCCCGACATCCGTTTTCCCGACAGGACCAAATCCCGATATGACATTTTCCGAATTCAATTTGTGAAAATGTAACTTTGGTTGGGTATATAAGTTTTAATAATAATACATTATAATTTATAAATCGCTACTGATGGTTGTGAATGCTTTATTATAGTGATAACTGTAAAGCAGTTTAAGAATAAAGCTAGCGAGCTTCCCCCAAAAGACTCAACAAGAACTGGCATTGTGTTTGGAGATCGGTTTCTGAAGTTTATGGGAATATACGGAGACTTTACAAGATTTATTGCTGAAGAAGTACCGGAAAAGACAATGGATGAGGGGGAGGAAGAATCAAAAATGATGATTGATGGTTAAGTATAACAATTGCATAGTGTGCATGCGAAGGAAATAATATTCTTGTATGATAATTATTACGTCTGATGCATGTGATTTTCAAATTACTAGATTATAATTTTATAATTTGTAAAATGGCCGAAATAAAATTAAAAAAAGTAATTATTTTTAACTTTTTCGCGTTTCTATAACTTCTTTTAAGTACACAGATTAAAGATAAAGCAAAAATCTTTTATTTTTAGTAAAATGAATGAAATTATGGAAATAAAATACCACCGCTGACTCTAGCTAAACTAATTTAGTAAAAAAAATAATTGAGTAACGGACGCTTAAAGGGAGAAATCCAGCTACTCCATACTATTATTGCTAACTTTTCGCTATTTATATGCCTATCTATGTACCAATTTCCCGAAGAAAAATATCCGAATTTATCCATTTCATCTATTGCAAGCAAAAATATCATTGAGTTAAAAGTTTCTTATTCATGCAACTCCAATCCGTCTCTGTATCAAAATCTTTTATTAGGATCCAAACTCTGGAATCGAGAATTCGTTATATCCGGTGGATTTGGATTTTACTAGATATTAATGAAAAATTCAATAATTTAGTATTACTGTGATTTTTACTTCCAATAAGCGTTAAAATCATCATAAACTTATATTTATTGATAAAATAATTACAAAAATAATAGTAATATAGAAATTTTTTTTTAAAAATTAATATACTTTTTTCGTCATAATTATATAACTATAATAATCTAATACATAATTATAAGTTATGTTCCTTGCAAAATTTAATAGCAGGTTCATAATCATTATAAGCAGCTAATTTCATATAATGAATAGCTTTTTCCTTATCCTTTATACCACTAATACCATTATAATATATATTTCCAGCGTTATACATTGCCACTTTAAACCCATCTTCAGCAGCTTTTTCAAAATATTTAAGAGCTTCTGAAAAATTTTGATCAACACCTTTGCCATGATACAAACAATCACCATATCTTACTTTTGCTTCAGGGAATTCATTTGCTTCATCATCAGCAACTTCTTTAAACAGTTCAGCAACAATTTTATCTTTATTTTGGGGGCTCTCAACCAATCCTCTTGAAATGTAATAAGCTTTATAATATTTTGCTTTGATCTGATTACGATTCGCTGTACCTCCTCCTGTATTACCAAGATTTGCATAAGCTTCAAAACATTTATATGCAATTTTTACATTTCCAACCAGTTTACCATGTTTATCATACAGCTTATGCTGTTTTGCTGCATCAGTGAGTGTCATGTATTTAAATGATTCAAAATCTGGTAAATCAATGGGAAGTGCATATTGATCTTGATCAATGCTGTATGCTCGTTTTGGAATAGGCTTTGGTGTGGAGGGTTTTCTACTTAGTCGTAAACTACTAGAATTTGATGAATCTTGTGAAAGTGAATGTCTCTTAGAATAATCTTTGACACAATTTCTAAGAACTTCAAACATTTTTGTAATTTTTGGCCTAAAATCTGGGTCATGTTGAACGGCTAAAAAATATGTAAAAAAAGAAACCAATTAAGTTATAACAAATAAAAATGTAATTTAAAATTATTTTCTTTTACATACCATCAATTTCTAATTGTTTGAATTCTTCTGGCATTTGACTAATATCAGAAAATGGTTCTCTATACATTTTATTACGCACCCTATCAGTTATATCCAAAATATCATCATTACCCTGATATGGAATTCTTTCTTCAGCTATTTCCCAAAGTAATATTCCAAAACTATAAACCTCACATTTTTGATCGTATTTGTAATTTGGAGCTCTCTCTAACAATTCAGGTGCACAATAACGAACTCGTTCTAAATTTTGGCTTTGATTTAATGTAGCTGCAGTTAAGTAACGACTTAATTTAAAATTTGCAAGTTTTGCTGTCTCATTAAGTGTAATTAATATATTTTCAGCCCTAATATCACGATGAACAATCTAAAAAAAAAATTAAATCATTAAAAAAAATTTCGTTAATTAAACAAAAGCTGGTTATATAATTACCTCTACAGTTCTTAAAAAATTTAATCCACGAGCAATATCAAGGGATATACGTAATTTTAATTTAAGGTCAAAATCATGTTTATTTTGATAAAATTCACGCAAATTTCCACATTCAGCCCATTCAGTCACCAAATACCATTTATTTCCATCATAAGTTATTCCATAAAATTTTATGATGTTTTGCCAATCATGAAGTTCTTTAAGAATTGTAACTTGATTTTGTACAATCTTTTGGTCCTCTTTCTCAGAAATAGTTTTAAAAGCAAATTCTGCACCTTTATTTGTTGTTTTATACCATTTAGTTACACGTCCATTCTTACGTGGTTTCTCATTATCATCCCGTTCATAATCAGCAAGTTTTAGTGGATGTACCTGAAAGATATTATCAATTTTTGTTTGATTTTGAGAATTTTCATTCATAAATTTTTCCATTGTATTATTCATTGCATTGACTTTTACAACAGTTGAAGAAAACCCTTTACTTAAGTTTGCGAGGCAGGCTTTAATCTCTTTTGCGTCACCTCCAAGATCTTTTATGTCAGTTTTAACATGTGAAACATCAACATCAATTTTTTTGATACCAGCCTCCATTCCCACTAGATACTATAATTTATTAAAATAATTTAAAATTAATTATGCTCAAATAATGCATAATGATAGAACAATTTTTAATCTTACTTTTAATAAATCATCTTGATCGGCTTTTAATTGTCCAATTTCATCAGCAGTTTTAACATTAATAGCAAAAGACAAAACGTTAACACAACTATCAAATTCTTTACATAACTCTTTAAAAGTTTTCTCAATACTTTTCGCTTGAATATATTTTATCAAAGATTTCATTTGAGAAATATCTGATATAAATTTTCTAATTTGTGTTATAATATTAACTAAATTTTGTAAACATAAATAATTTTTATTATTAAAAAAATCTTTTCTATTTCTTTGAACTTTAAGATCTAATACGGCTAAGTCTGCAGCATAAACTCGTTGTAATAATGCATCACAAGTTCGCTTATTATGTTCAGCAGCTTGTGCTAAATCGACTATTTCGTTAAAAATATTTCCAATTTCAGAAATTAAAGGAAGAAATTTTGTAAATGGAACAACTATTGGAGCTCCTGCTTCGACTGCCGCTCCTATTGCGGCACCCGTACTTGACGCCACATCAATTATAGTTGAAGCATGGTCGGCTATTTTTTCAACGAAAACAGCTGCTTTATTCCTTTTTGATCCATCATCCCCCATTCCTAATAATTAAATTTTAAAATAAAAAAAAAATATTTTTTTTTTGCGAACCTACAAAAACTCCGTTATATTTATTCATGTGTATGTTGTACTACCATTGTAATCAACTTTTGAAATCTCCGTACAACAATTACAATGTATATGAACAACAAAGTATTATTTAATTATTAATTTTGGGTATTATAATAAAACGTAAATGGGTGTACGTAATACGTTATCTTTTATTATATATTTTCATTACAATTAGATATGAAAGTTAATAGAATTCATGTTACACGAACCGATGACCTTTATAAAATCAGGTCCTCTCCATCAGTCCATCTGCTAACACTTATGTAACCGATTTATACTTGGATGAATAACAAATCAGAAATAACGCGTGATAAGAAAATATAAAGCTGCAATGTTCATCTTGCCGATCACTTGTGATTTTTTTATATTATCGATATTACACCAAAATTTACGACCTTTTTAAAATAATTTGGTTATTAGGCAAGTAATTCAGAAGTTAAAACATGGAATATAACAACTTTTGTAGCTTATAACTTATAGTATACTTATATATATTCTTCTATTTTATAACAAGCTGAAGAAGGGAGAAAATAAAGAAAGCTTCGCGGTAAAGGAAACAGACGTATTTAATATTAGTTTTAGCACATTTTAAACATTTTACCAGTAAATGTTAAATCTTAGAGACATCATAAAAATTAATAAAAACTTTTCTTTAATATATAAAATCTAAAAATTAGTACTCTTATGGTAATTGTTTAATAAATTATTTGATTTCAGGAACTGTTCTATTGATTAATTTCATTAACGAATTTGAATAGTAGATAATACTTCTTTGAATTGGAATATAAGGTTAGTTTTATAAGAAGTATTTTGTTAGTAGGAAATTTTATGAGGCTTAAATATTGCATTGTTTTTCCAGTACTAAAGAAAGACAAAAATATACCTTAATTTTAGAATTGAAGATCATTTAGAATCATTGTATGTGGAGTTATTTATGATCAATCTCAAAATTAATGTATTGAACGAATTTATTCATTATTCATCAATTAATGATTCAATTCATGAAAATTTTTAGTTCGTTGGATAGGCCCTTTCAAATGGAAATAAAATCATATTCCTAGGCATACAATTTTACTTAAGGATTATATTCGATTTTAATTTTAAATGGATGATGCCCTTCTTTTACTTCCAATTAATAAAATTTGGACACAAATATATCATTTTATTGCTATTACAATGGATGATTAAAATTCAAAATAAAATTAATTTATTGGCAAATTGAAGGTAAAATTTGCATATGTTTTTTTTTCATCATAATTAAATAACATGAATACATGATAATTATAAATTCATAAGTTATGCTCTTTACAGAATTTAATAGCGGGTTCATAACAATTATAAACAGCTAATTTCATATAATGAATAGCTTTTTCTGTATCTATTGTACAACCAATACCATTATAATACATATTTCCAACGTTATACATTGCTACTTTAACACCATCTTCAGCAGCTTTTTCAAAATATTTAAGAGCTTCTGAAACATCTTGTTCAACACCTTTGCCATAACACAAACAATCTCCATATCTTACTTTTGCTTCAGGGAATTCATTTGCTTCATCATCAGCAACTTCCTTATATAATTCAGCAATAATTTTATCTTTATTTGGAGGGCTCGGAACCAATCCTCTCGAAATGTAAAGTGCTTTATAATATTTTGCTTTGATTTGATTACTACGGTTTGTTATATTTGTTTTATTCGAGTTTGCATAGGCTTCAAAACATTTATATGCAGTTTTTATATCTCCAATAAGTTTATCATTTCTATACAACTTATGTTGTTTTGCTGCATCAGCAAGTGTCATGTATTTAAATGATTCAAAATCTGGAGCATCAATGCTGTATGCTCGTTTTGGAGTAGGTTTTGTGGAGGTTTTTCCGCTTAGGTTTGAATTACTAGAACTTGATGAATCTTGTGAAAGTGGATGTCCCTTAGAAAAATAATCTTTGACACAATATCTAAGAACCTCAAACATTCTTGTAATTTTTGGCCTAAAAGTTGGGTCATGACGAACGGCTAAAAAATGTATAAAAATAAAAGAAAATTAAATCTAACTAATAAAATTGTAATTTAAAATATTTTCTTTTACATACCTTCAATTTCTAATTGTTTGAATTTCTCTGGCATTTGACTATTTTCAGAAAATGGTTCTCTATACATTTTATTACGTACCTTATTAGTTATATCCACAATATCATTACTATCTTGATATGGAACTCTTTCTTCAGCAATTTCCCAAAGTAAGATTCCAAAACTATAAACCTCACATTTTTGATCATATTTGAAATTTGGAGCTCTATCTAACAATTCAGGTGCACAATAACGAACTCGTTCTAAATTTTGCTTTTGATTTAATGTAGCTGCAGTTAAGTAACGACTTAATTTAAAATTTGCAAGTTTTGCTGTCCCATTGAATGTAATTAATATATTCTCAGCCCTTATATCACGGTGAACAATCTAAAAAAAAAAAGAAAAAAAGAATTAAGCAATCAAATAAAAATTTTGTTAATTAAAGTCGCTTATAGAATTACCTCAACGGCTCTTAAAAAATTTAATCCGCGAGCAATATCAAAAGACATACATAATTTCAATCTAAGATCGAATTGATCTTTATTGTTTGTATAATATTCACGTAAATTACCGTGTTCGGCCCATTCAGTCACCAAATATCGTTTATTTCCATCAGAAGTTATTCCATAAAATTTTATGATGTTATTCCAATCATGAAGTTCTTTAAGAATTGTAACTTGATTTTGTACGTCAGTTTTTTCCTCCTCAGAGATAATTTTAAAAGCGACTTCATCACATTCAATTCTTATGTTAAACCATTTAGTTACACGTCCATCTTTACGTGGTTTCTCATTATCATCCTGTTTATAATCAGATATTTTTAGCGTATGTACCTGAAAGATTTTATCAATCTCCATTTGATTTTTATCAATCTCCTTTTGATTTTGAGAAGGTTTGTTCATATATTTTTCCATTGTATTATTCATTGCATTGACTTGTACAACTTTTGAAGAAAACTGAAAGTAGTCTTTAATCTCTTTTCTAAGATCTTTTACGTCATCTCTAACTTCTTTTACGTTATCTCCAACATCATTTACGTCATCTCTAACTTCCTTCACGTTAACTCCAATATCTTCTACTCCGGTCTTAATACCAGCAATCATTTCTTGGAGATACTATAATTATTAAAACAATAGTTTATAATTAATTTTATATTCAAATAATGTATAATAGAATCCAATTTTTTTAATCTTACTTTAACGAAATCATCTTGATCGGCTTTTATTTCTTTAAGCTCATCAGCAATTTCAACGTTAATAGAAAAAGACAATAAGTTAATACAACTATCAAATTCTTCACGTAATTCTGTAAAAGTTTTCTCAATATTTTTCGCTTTAAAATATTTTGCCAAAGTTTTCATTTGAGAAATTTCTGATATAAAATCTTTAATTCGTGTTGCAATGTTAGATAAATCTTGCAAACGCAAATAATTATTACTAGTGAAAAAATCTTTTTTATCTTCTCTATCTCTTTTAAGATCCCGTACGGCTGATTCCGCAGCATCAACTCGTTTTTTTAATATTTTACAGGTTCGTTTGTTATGTTCAGCAGCTTCCACTAAATCGATAATTTCGTCAAAAATATTTCCAATTTCTTTAATTAAGGGAAGAAAGTTTGTAAATGGAACAAGTACCGGAGCTATCTCGGTTGCTGCTTCAATTACGGAGCTTGCACTTTGTGCCATTTTATTTAGAAATGAGGCACTATTCTTAATTGAATTATCATCTTCCATTTCTAATAATTTATCGAGAAAAAGAGAGAAAAAATTTTTTTTTTTTTTATGAAACTATAATACCTTTATTTGCATATCAGATATGCTGTATTACCATTTGTAATCAAACGTTTAGACAATAAATAATTTGGGATTTATAATAGCACGTAAATATTTTTCAAAGCGGAGATGTATCATATCATCCATCACGTTATTGTAATTACTAAAAAAAGGAACCCCAATAAAGAAAACTGGTTAATTAACCTGTTAATTGATTATCCAGTGGGATATTACACCAAATTATAAAATAATTTTGGTTATTAAAACAAAGTAATTCAAAAGTTAAAGCATAGAATATAACAATAACAACTATTGTAGCTTATATACTGTATATTCTTCTCTTTGACTTAGTATAAGTTGAAGAAAGAATAATAAAGAAAAGCTTCGTAGTAAAGGAAAACAGACGTATTTAAGGTTAATTTATTAGTACATTTTAAACATGTTACCAGTAATAAATATCATGTACTTAGAGATATGATATATAAAAAAATTAACACTTTTAGGTAAATTTTTAATAATAAATTATTTGATTTTTCAGAAACTATTTCTATTGATTTTATTTCATTATTGAATTTGAGTAGTAGATAAAATTTCTTTGAAATGGAATATAAGGTTATTTTATAAGAAGTTCTGTTAGTAGAAAATTTATGAGGTTTAAATATTAGTGGTTTGCATTATTTTTCAGTATGCACAAATGCTAAAAAAGAAAAATATATACCTTTAATTTTAGATCATTATATGTGCGATATTAATGATCAATCCCGTTGAAGATTTATTCATTTATTCATCAGTCATCAATCAGTGATTCAATTCATAAATATTTTAGTTCTTTCAAATGGATATAAAATCATATTCTTACCGGTAAGTATACATGCACTTCAAATTACTTACAATTTTGCTTAAGGATTATATGGATGAAGTCCCTCATTTCACTTTCAATTAATAAAATTTTAGATACAAATACAGTATTTATTATGTAACATTTATCAAAACAAAACATATGTACCGTATATCACGAGGCACGGGCCATGTATAATACCTCTCATCGATCTCCAAAATTATCTACTAATGGCCCAATCAGCACTATGGCCAGTGATATGCGGTAAGTAATTTATCCCAAATTTCTATTGGGTGCCAAGTTTCTATTCATATTTTAATCTTCGAAAATACCATGTTTTATCACAGGATATTTGAAAAATATAGGAACTATTCAGATTTCCACGTATTCCCAACAATGAATTTCCAGGTCTGAGGGTGTGTCTAAATACCCTAAATCCATACATAAATAACGTCGGTACAAGTACTAATACGGTTAGATTTTATATACCGAACAGTTTGTTTTTATATACCAAACCAGATTCTCTGGGACAGACTTCGTGGCGACTGTATTTAGATTTGAATTTTAGTGGGATATTAATGAAAAGTTTAATAATTTAATACATATGTTATATAATACATAATGCAGTGATTTTTTAAAATCTTCCGAAAACTTATATTTATTGATAAAAAATTAAAATAACAATTTTTTTTTTTTAAAAGAAAAAAATAAATAATATGTTTTTCATCATAATTAAATAACATGATAATAAATAAATAAATAAATAATTTATAAGTCATGATCCTTACAAAATTTAACAGCAGGTTCATAATCATTATAAGCAGCTAATTTCATATAATGTTTAGCTTTTTCTATATCTTTTGTACAACCAAAACCATTATAATACATATTTCCAGCGTTATACCTTGCTACTTTGAGACCATCTTCAGCAGCTTTTTCAAAATATTTAAGAGCTTCTGATTCATTCTTTTCAACACCCTTGCCATAATACAAACAATCTCCATATCTTACTTTTGCTTCGGAGAATTCATTTGCCTCATCATCAGCAACTTCTTTAAATAATTCAGCAACAATTTTATCTTTATTTGGAGGGCTCTTAACATATCCTTTTGAAATGTAATATGCTTTATAATATTTTGCTTTAATTTGATTGCAGTTTGCTGTACCTGTGTTACTAAGGTTTGCATAAGCTTCAAAACATTTATATGCAGTTTTTAAATCACCAGCGGGTTTACCATGCTTATCATACAACTTATGTTGTTTTGCTGCATCAGTAAGTGTCATGTATTTAAATGATTCAAAATCCGGAAGGGCCAATGCATCAATGCTATCTGCTCGTTTTGGGCGAGACTTTTGCGTGGTGTTGTTTCTACTGTTTCCGCTTAGGTTTAGGTTACTAGAACTTGATGTAACTTGTGAATATTCCTTGAAACAATTATTAAGAACTTCAAACATTTTTGTAACTTTTGGCCTAAAATCTGGGTCCTGATCAACAGCTAAAAAAAATGTGTAAAAAAAAGAAGCAATTAAATATAGCAAATAAAATTATAATTTAAGTATTTTTTTTTTACATACCTTCAATTTCTAATTGTTTGAATTCCTCTGGCATTTGATTATTTTCGGAAAATGGTTCTCTATACAATTTATTACGTACCTTATCAGTTATTTCCAAAATATCATTACTATCTTGATATGGAATTCTTTCTTCAGCAATTTCCCAAAGTAAGATTCCAAAACTATAAACCTCACATCTTTGATCATATTTGTAATTTGGCGCCCTCTCCAACAATTCAGGTGCACAATAACGAACTCGTTCTAAATTTTGACTATGATTTAATGTAGCCGAGGTTAAGTAACGACTTAATTTAAAATTTGCAAGTTTTGCTGTCTCATTAAGTGTAATTAATATATTCTCAGCCCTAATATCACGGTGAACAATCTTAAAAAAAAAGAAAAAAAAAAATATTAAACCATTAAATAAAAATTTCGTTAATTAAAAGCCGATTATGAAATTACCTCAACGGCTCTTAAAAAATTTAATCCACGAGCAATATCAAGGGATATACGTAATTTTAATTTAAGGTCAAAATCATGTTTATTTTGATAAAATTCACGTAAATTACCATATTCGGCCCATTCAGTCACCAAATACCATTTATTTCCCTCACAAGTAAGTCCATAAAATTTTATGATGTTTTGCCAGTCATGAAGTTCTTTAAGAATTGTAACTTGATTTTGTACAATCTTCTGGTCTTCTTTATCAGAAATAGTTTTAAAAGCGAATTCTACACATTCAATTTTTATATCACACCACTTAGTTACACGTCCTTTTTTACGTGGTTTCTCTTTATCATCCTGTTTATAATCAGATATTTTTAGCGTATGTGCTTGAAAGATATTATCAATTTTTGTTTGATTTTGAGAAGGCTCTTTCATAAATTTTTCCATTGTATTATTCATTGCATTTACTTTTACAACTGTTGAGGAAAACTCTTTACTTAAGTTTGCGAGGCAGGCTTTAATTTCTTCCGTGTCATCCTTAACATATGAAACGTCATCTCCAATTTTTTTGATAGTACCATCCTCCATTCCTAGTATATACTATAATTATTAAAATAATTTAAAATTAATTTTATGCTCAATAAATGTATAATAGAACTAATTTTTTTAATCTTACTTTAAATAAATCATCTTGGTCGGATTTTAATTGCGCAAGTTCATCAGCAATTTTAATGTCAATAGAAAAAGACAATAAGTTAATACAACTGTCGAATTCCATACATAATTCTTTAAAAAGTTTCTCAGTATTTTTCGCTTTAATATGTTTTATCAAAGATTTCATTTGAGAAATTTCTGATATAAAATTTTTAATTCGTGTTATAATGCCAGATAATTCCTGTAAACGTATATAATTTGTTTTATTAAAAAACTCCTTTCTTTCTTTTCTTTTTTCTCTAAGTTCTCGTATAGCTAATTCTGCAATACGAACTCGTTGTTTTAACATTACACAAGTCCGTTTGTTATGTTCAGCAGCTTCTACTAATTCAATGATTTCATTAAAAAAATTTCCAACATCATTAATTAAAGGAAGAAATTTTGCAAATGGAACAAACATGAAAGCACTATCTACTAAATTTTCAGTAAAACTATTCTTTTTTGATCCATTATCTTCCATTTCTAATATTTATAATAATTTAATAAATAATTTAATCGAAAAAAGAAGAGATTTTTTATTTTACAAAAACTACAAAACTCCGGTTTATTTATTAATGTATATGCTGTGTTACCATTGTAATCCAACTTTTTTTGTTGCGTTAGAATCCACATACGATAATTTACAATGTATGGTTACAGTTACAATAAAATATTTCTAATAATTTTGGATTCTATAATAGCACGTAAATGGGTATGTATACGTAATACTTTATCTTTTATTAGATATTTTTCGTTACACTTATTACATTGAGATAACGATGTAAATGAATTCATGTTGCACAATTTGATGACCTTTATAAAATCAGGTCCAAGAAGGTACTCACCAGCGCGGAAAAAAAGCTTGAAAAAGTTTCGGAAAAATTCCGGTAAAGCATAAACATTCCGGAAATTGGTTTTTTTAACCGGTACACGTTGTCCGAAATTGAAAATTCTTTCCTGTTTTTTATAATCACAAATAAATGATTATAATTTTGAACTGAACAAAGCAAACTATAAATTTTTAGGAAATCCGGATAGATTTCCCACGCTCATCTGCATACATAGATAAATGCATGTTATTTCTAAAAATGAGAACCAATCATAATTTATATTTCCATAAAAAAAAAACTATATTAAACGGATGCAGTAAAAATAATAAAAATAAAAAAAATGACAAAAAAAAAAATTTTTTTTTTAGCTAAACAACTTAATAATAATTTAATTAATAATATTAATAATAATAAAAAAAATTTCAGAACTTATATTCATTACGAAATTTAATAGCAGCTTCATAACCATTATAAACAGCTAATTCTATATAATTCTTGGCTTTTTCTATATCTTTTTTACATCCAACACCATTATAATACATATTTCCAACGTTGTACATTGCTACTACAACACCATCTTCAGCAGCTTTTTCAAAATATTTAAGAGCTTCTGATTCATTCTTATCAACACCTTTACCATTAAACAAACAATCTCCATATCTTACTCTTGCTTCAGGGTATTCATTTTCTTCATCATCAGCAACTTCTTTAAATAATTCAGCAACAATTTTATCTTTATTTGGAGGGCTCTCAACAAATCCTCTTGAAATGTAAACTGCTTTGTAATATTTTGCTGTGACTCGATTACGTTTTGTTGTATTTGGATTATTCGTATAAGCTTCAAAACATTTATATGCAGTTTTTACATCTCCACTAGGCTTGCCATTTTTATATATCTTATGTTGTTTCGCTGCATCAGCAAGTGTCATGTATTTAAATGATTCAAAATCTGGTAAATTAATAGGAAGTGCATATGCATCCTGATCAATGCTGAATGCACGTTTTGGAGTGGAGGGTTTTCTGTTTAGGGTTAAATTACAAAAACCTGATGGATCTTGTGAATATTTCTTGACACAATTTCTAAGAACTTCAAACATTTTTGTAATTTTTGGCCTAAAAGTTGGGTCATGACGAACGGCTAAAAAATGTGTAAAAAAAGGAAACCATTTAGTCCAACAAATAAAATTATAGTTTAAAATATTTTTATTTACATACCTTCAATCTCTAGTTTTTTAAATTCCCCTGGTATTTGATTATTTTCGGAAAATGGTTCTCTATACATTTTATTACGCACCTTATCAGTTATATCCACAATATCATTACTACCTTCATATGGAATTTTTCCTTCAGCAATTTCCCAAAGTAAGATTCCAAAACTATAAACCTCACATTTATGATCATATTTGTAATTTGGAGCCCTATCTAACAATTCAGGTGCACAATAACGAACTCGTTCTAAATTTTGGCCTTGATTTAATGTAGCTGCAGTTAGATAGCGACTTAATTTAAAATTTGCAAGTTTTGCTGTCTCATTGATTGTAATTAATATATTCTCAGCCCTAATATCACGATGAACAATCTAAAAAAAAAAAAAATATTAAACAATTAAATAAAAATTTCGTTAATTAAAAGCCGATTATAAAATTACCTCAACAGCTCTTAAAAAATTTAATCCGCGAGCAATATCATTGATTGTAATTAATATATTCTCAGCCCTAATATCACGATGAACAATCTAAAAAAAAAAAAAATATTAAACAATTAAATAAAAATTTCGTTAATTAAAAGCCGATTATAAAATTACCTCAACAGCTCTTAAAAAATTTAATCCGCGAGCAATATCAAGGGACATACGTAATTTTAATCTAAGATCGAATTGATCTTTATTGTTTGTATAATATTCACGTAAATTACCATATTCTGCCCATTCAGTCACCAAATACCATTTATTTCCCTCACAAGTAAGTCCATAAAATTTTATGATGTTTTGACAATCATGAAGTTCTTTAAGAATTGTAACTTGATTTTGTACAAGCTTCTGGTCCTCTTGCTCAGAAATAGTTTTAAAAGCGAATTCTTCACTTTTATTTTTTATGTTATACCATTTAGATACACGTCCATTTTTACGTAGATCCTCAATATCATCCTGTTCATAATCAGATATTTTTAGCGGATTTACCTGAAAGATATTATCAATTTTTTTTTGATTTTGAGAAGACTCGGCCATCAGCAATTTTTCCATTGTAGTACTCATTGTATTGACCTTTACAACAGTTGAAGAAAACTGATCATTTAAGTCTTTGAGACTGTCTTTAATCTCTTTCGTATCATTTCCAATATCTTTTACGCCATCTCCAATACCCTTTACGTCCTTTCCAATACCTTTTACGTCAGTACTAACACCAGCTACCATATCTTGTAGATACTATAATTATTAAAAAATAGTTTATAATTAATTTTTATACTCAAATAAATGTATAATAGAACCCAATTTTTTGATCTTACTTTAGCTAAATCATCTTGATCGATTTTAAATTGTTCAAGCTCATTAGATATTGATTTTACTTGTCCAGTAATTTTAACGTCAATTGAAAAAGACAATAACTTAACACAACTATCAAAATCATTACATAATTCCGTAAACTTTTTCTCGGTATTTTTCGCTTTAATATATTTTGTCAAAGTTTTCATTTGAGAAATTTCTAATACAAATTTTTCAATTTGTTTTATAATACCAGCTAATTCTTGTAAAGATGAATAATTATTTTTATTAAAAAAATCTTCTTTTTCGTCTTTTTCTTCTCTAAGTTGTTGTACGGCTAATTTTGCAACACGAACTCGTTCTTTTAATACTTTACAAGTTCGTTTATTATGTTCAGCAGCTTCTACTATATCGATGATTGCTTCAAAAACACTTCCAATTTCTTTAATTAAGGGAAGAAAGTTTGTAAATGGAACAAGTACCGGAGCTATATCGCCTGCTACTCCCAACCCGGTACTTGCAACTTGTATCCCTTGGCTTGCAAATGAAGCCATATCACCTATATATTTAGATTTTTTCTTATTTGATTTATCATCTTCCATTTCTAATAATTTTATCAAAAAAAAAGAGAAATAAAAAAAAATTTTTTTTTTTTTTTATTACGTTTTATTTATTTGTATATGCTGTATTACCATTGTAATCAAATCCACGTAGAGGATATTATAATATCATGTAAATGGCTATACGTAATATACTATCTTTTATTAGTTGTTAGATATTTTTTCATTATAATTATTATTTTAGGATAACGGATATGTATAATTTCATGTTGTATACAAATAAATGCATTATTGTAGTTACTAAAAAAAATTTGAGAACCTTTGTTCTTTGATAAAAAAAAACTGGTTAATTAACCTGTTAATATCTAATTTTTTCTTATTAGTCTATGTGAATTATGTAACATTTTATACCTGTTTATACTTGTATTAAAAAACTTAAATCAGAAATATGGGTAACGTGTGATAAAGTGGCGAATATTTGTTTATAAAGATGATCACATAAGCATTTTATCTTATCAATTGTCTGTTTCAACAAATGGATGATCATTCTTCCGGTTCAGAATCTCAACAAAATTTATATGTTAGATTTTCTCTTCCATTTTACATTAAAGGGATTCCAACCTCATAATTAGGGAATAACTACCGAGTAATTTTCATGTAATTTTAAAATTGTAGTATCGTTGGATTTATTAAATTTGTTTTCCAAAAGTGTAAAAGTGTAGAACTTATATACGGAATCACTTCATTGCTAATATTGGAAATGATATGAGGCGTATGAGTGTATGACCGATCGTTTTAGATGTCGACGCTACGTGCACGTTACTTCGATCGGTTTAGCGTACCCGATGATCATATGAATACGTTACAAATGAAATCTATAAGAATTTAATTTCTTGTTAAGAAGCAAAAAAAAAAAACCAGACGACCAAAATATCATGATTTATTGAATTTCTTATCACATGAAATACTTTGTTAATTAATTTATTATTACAAAAATACCTTTGATATCCACCATTTCTTTACGACACGAATTTGGATTAGTATTTAACATTTCTTAATTCTTTAAAAGCTTCTTTTGTCTAAGCGATTGTATTATTAGGACGTATCTAATATTATAAAGTGGCTTATGATTATTAAATAACTCCATCTTTGATTACTTTTTCAAACATTTTCGATACGAACTTGAGGGGTTTACCTCTTATTTCATTCTTATTTTATCCTGGTCTATGTTTATGAGATCAATTTTATATGTTCACGCTTTATAATAAAAAATTATATATTTGATCAATAATTTGAAAAAGACATTCAAAATTTTTTTTTTTTTTATTTAAAGGATAAAAAACCGGGAAATAATCCTGAAATAATTTGCAGAGCCATGGATTTATTTACATTCCACAATAAACTAAGCACAATAGTTATCAATACTGTATTCATTGTGATTGCTCCTTGTACAACATATATATTGATTGAAATGATAAGTAATATTTACAGTCAAAAAAACATTGAAGCCCCGAATATAACGTGATGTCTGTTGCGTAAGTACTTACAAAACAACTATAACAAAACAATCTTCATTATCTTGTAATCATTGTCGTACAGACTTATCATCAGCATTCTTTATGGAACCTGATGAAACCTCAAAAAAGGTTCATTGACAAAGCAATTTGGCTTGAAAAAAATTGTAACACATAGTTTAAATTTGAATAAAAACGGAACCTATAATTTTGGACCGATAAATTTTTTTTCTTTTTTTTTTCTAAAAAAAAAAAAAAAAAATTATTTAGCAAAGTTATTTTATATAAAAGTTATAAAAAAAAAAAGAAAAATGAGTGGCGAAACGAGTCAATCATCGTCAACAGCACAAGAAGAAGTTGTTCCATTTGCGAAATTTCATCCTTTAATCAATGAAATAAGAAGTATTCTTACTGAGATTATTGAAATAGCACAAGCAGCAGAACACAATAAACGAATTTGTGATGTTTTAAAATTAAGAGTTTATGCAGTAGATTTGGCAACATTTGAACTTAATGTTATGAGAAATAATCAAGAATTTTTCAATAGGAAAAATTATTCAAGTTTACAGTCTTTAGTTACTGTTATAACACAAATTAAAAAATTTATTACAGATATTTCTCAAATGAAAAATTTAATAAAATTAAAATATGTACAACCAAAAAATATTGAGAAAACTTTTAAAGAATTATGTAGGGAATTTGATATATGCATAATTAACATTGATTTAGCGAGTTTCAGAGATATGGTCAATAATAGAATTCGACCCGACGAAGAAAGTAAATCATTAAAATCAGATCAAGAAGATTTATCTAATGTAAGTTAAAAATATATATATATCGATATGTATATTATAAATTAATTCTAATATATTATTTTTCTTTTTTAATACTTTACTATATTTATTTAGTATTTGGCAAAAATTATTGAAGAAGTTGGAATTGATATTAAAGAATTATCTAACGAATTTACCTCGATGGTTTTAAAAGTCAACGCGATGAATAATACAATGGAAAAACTTTTAGATGAACAAACTAAACAACAGTCAAAAAATTCAAAAAATGATAGTGATAAAATTGTTAATGACAAATTAAATGAAATGATTCAATCGAAGATTGATAAAATTTTCGTAGTACGCCAATTAAGAATCTCCGATTACGAAAAAACTGATAAGGAACCACGTCCACGTAAAGAAGATGGGCGCGTGACTAAATGGGTTAATATTAAAAATAAAGGTGAAGAATTCGCTTTTAAAATTGTTGGTGAGGAAGAAAGAGCTAACGTACAAAATCAAGTTACAATTCTTAAAGAACTTCATGACTGGCAAAATATTACAAGAATTTATGGACTTACGTGTGAAGGGAATAAATGGTTTTTGGTATCTGAATGGGCTGAATATGGTAATTTACGTGAATATTATATAACTTATAAAGATCGATTCGATCTTAGATTAAAATTACGTATGTCCCTTGATATTGCTCGCGGATTAAATTTTTTAAGAGCCGTTGAGGTAAATATAAAATTTTATTTTTATTTTATTTTTATTTTTTTAATTTCTCCCCCCCTTTTTAAAATTTAAAAAAGATATATATATATATTTTTTTTTATAGATTGTTCATCGTGATATTAGAGCCGAGAATATATTAATTACATTACATGAGACAGCAAAATTAGCAAACTTTAAATTAAGTCGTTCATTGTTCGCGCCTACATTAAATCAAAGGCAAAATTTAGAACGGGTTCGTTATTGCGCTCCTGAATTATTAGAGAGAGCTCACAACTTCAAATATGATCATAAATGCGAAGTTTATAGCTTCGGAATTTTACTCTGGGAAATTGCAGAGGAAAGAACTCCATATAAGGAATATACGGATATTGTAAAAATAACCGATTTGGTACGTAATAAAAAATATCGGGAATCCTTTTCAAAAGATAGTCGAATGCCTTCATCATTCATAGAATTATCGACTAAAGGTATGTAAGAATATATGCATATATGCGTTATTAAATTTTTATTATATAAAAATGTTGATCATTCTTCTGTTTTGTAGCCACTAATCATGACCCAGAATTTAGACCGAAAATTACAGATACATTTGAAGTACTTAGTCGTTGTTTCGAAGAATATGAAAGACCTCCTTCAAAATCTTCTTCAAATTCTAAAAATTCACAATACCAAAATATCACACTTTCAAGTCCAGAACCTATCCCAAATCCGGAACCTATCCCAAGTCCAGAAAGCATCATAAATCAAGATGAATACGCTATTAAAACTTTATCTGATTACGAATCATTCAAGTATATGACACTTGCTGAAGCAGCCAAACAACATAAAATATTCGATAGACAAGGTAAACCATCCGGTGACACAAAGACGGCATATAAGTGTTTTGAATCGTATGCGGATGCTGATACTACAGTTCGTAACAAAATAGTAGCAAAATATTATAAAGCCTATTACATTTCAAGGGGATTGGTTGAAGGTCTCAAAGAAATCAAAGATAAGGACAAAGATAGAATTGTTGCTGAATTATATAAAGAGGTTGCTGATGATGAAGCAAATGAGTTTCCTGAAGCGAAATTAAGGTACGGAGATTGCTTATATAATGGTAAAGGTGTAGAAAAGAATTTATCAGAAGCTCTTAAATATTTTGAACAAGCTGCTGATAATGGTTTTAAGGTAGCAATGTATAATGCTGGAAAATTATATTATAATGGCGATGGTGTTGAGAAAAATAAGGAGAAAGCTATTAAATATATGAATTTAGCTATTTTTAATGAATATGAACCTGCCATGAAATTTTGTAGAGATAATAACATTAATTTAAATTAATTAGTAAATATAATTTTTGTTCATGACAGATAATTATATTTAATAAATTTAAAATTTTCAAAACTATCATTCAGTGACCGACAATAAATTCTGATTATCGAAACACACTAGTTTTTAAAGGAAAATATTTAGCCTATTAAATTGATTAGATTGCGCGTCGTGGACTCTTCACTCGTTGTTTCATTTATCACGTGATCAATCATCGTATCGAAACAATCTGATATCTGCAACGAGGGGTGAGAAAATTTTTGAAACAGATTATTTTAAATTAAGTTAAATTATTTAATTATTTAGAATGTGCTTTATTTAGAAAATATAAGGGAGAAAATAAATTATCATAGCAGATAGATTTATATAAAAAGATTTGATGAAGTATTTTTAAAGGTGATACGACTGATACGTGGCTGCACGAATATGCATAACGGTCAATTTTAGTGATATACCCTTGATATACCCGAAACAATCCGATAACAAAATAATCAACAAAATATTCAAAGTACACATGTGACATGTGTAAATTTTATTGGATTATAATTATATTAAATATATATTTTAATTTTGGTATGCTAAATTCTATATAAAGTTCTTTAACAATAAGAAAACAACAATATCAAATAAATCTTAACCAATCATTTCTTTTGATCATGACACAAAATAAAAAAAAAGATGTATATATATGTTTGATACAAATAAATTATCTATTTTATTTCCCAATCGCAAATCGCCTTCCGTTTCGTTTGTTGTAAAATAAATAGCCACAATAAACATATTTTTTTTTTTTTTTTTTTTAAGGTAACAAAACAAAATGTAGATTCAAATAAAGATTATTATGTTATACAATCGTATTTCTTTTTTCCCCTTTTATGAAAAAAATTGGATATAATAAATTTTCATATTATATATCATATATGTAATAAATGATTTTTTTGTTGATTCGCAAGCGATTTAAAAGAACACATTTATATAACAAAAAGGTAAAGTCATATAAAAAATAGAGTTTTGAATGAAAAAAAAAATAGGAGTATTATTACTATAAATGTTTATTAATTTTATATATATATGTTATATTTGTTTTGATTGAAAATTCATTCAAAGCGCCATGAATGTATAAGTAGAAATCGGTGTTCATTTGAAGATACTTATTAGTTTGACAAGGTAAATCGATATTAAAAATTTTTTGATGACGTAATTATTTATTACACAAAATGCCATGCTCTTATATCAATGAATGATAAATTTGGGCAAAGTGCTCTTTTTAAATTTATATGACGCCAAAATTGGCCTTATAAAAAATAGAATTTATTATGAATGTAATGAATGACAAGATAGGTAATAAAAAAAATTAAAGGTGAAATTGAAATGTCCATTATTATGCATGATGTTATTGTTTTTTGATTGTTATTATTATTATTTTTCATTCATTCATTTCATCACTATAGCGTCATGAGAATTTCGAAAGAGAAAGGTCGGAACGAAAATTTTTGTTTCGAAGCGAACCCTCATCAAAGTATTTATACACAGAAAAAGTCAATAAGTCAATAACAACAATAACAACAAAGGCGGACATATTAAAAAAGCTGTGTGATGCACGTGCTGCGGTTAACTTTCGTTATTTAAAGAAAAAAATTGATGAAAAAAAAAACGCCCATTATTTTATTAGTATTGTGAAAATTATATTGAAATCACATTCTCAGTAAATTATTCCATATAGGTATAAATCTCCTCAAGATTGCATATCATTTACCTTATCAGTAATTATTTGATTTACCTTTTATTCATAAAAAAAAAACGTTAATGCATATATATATTCGTCATCCTGAATTTAAACTTGTTAATTCTGTTCCGGTATCCGATTGGTGCGTACAAAAGTTAAGTTTATTTTAGCCTATATATATATTTTGATGATCATTTTTTATATAATCCCACGCGAAAAACATGTATAAATACCCCTCACATATTTCACAATGTGAATTTTTTTTTTTTTTTTTTTTTTTTTTAGGGAAAAAATTTTTTTTTTTTTAAAATTTCAGTAAAAAAAAAAATAAATTTACTTAAATAAATACATATTTAATTAATCAGAGGATATGGATTACGAATATCACCCTATATCGATTGAAGATTATGATGATGAAGCAATCAGAAATGAAGAACCGAGGTAAATTATTAAATAAATCATACTTTATTTATTAGTATCTTATCAAACTCATTTATTCTCGTTCTTTTTAATATGAATAAAGAACATCAACGAAACCGGTTCCATTGGAAACAATAGAACAAAATTATATAAAAAATAAAAATCAATCATCATTCGATAGATTATTTTTGCGTCGATTCTTTCGTATATTAAGTCGTCTTTTTTCTCCCTCAAATATGGAAGGGAATGTCATCAAGATATGGTCATTGTTAATATGCACTAGCTTATTAAATGAAGTTTTGGTATATATTGTTGGTACAATTCCGAGTAGATTTTATACTGTTTTGGTCGGAAAAGATTTTAATGGTTTTAAGCCGCTCATGTTTTATTCAATTGTGATCGTCATTTGCGCTGGATTGGTATGTATATGAAAATGATAGGCAGTTACTTTATCCAATTTAGATTTTAATTTTTTTTATCTAATTTTTTAAAGGGTCGGAGTTTTGTTAGATTTATTGGAGGTTTGTTTGCTATATCGACGAGAAAAATATTAACCAGAAGTTTACACAATAAATATTTGAATTCAAATAACTCAAGTACTTTCTATCGTTTATTAAACTTTAGGACTGATATTGATAATCCGTAAGTAATATGTTTGTTTCTCTTTTATTCTTTTATTCACACTTCTTAATTGATTTTAATCAAATTAATTTACCAATAGTGATCAACGAATAGCTCAAGATGTTGAAAATTTCTCGGAAAAATTAAGACTTATTTGTCAAGAAATTATTGTTGCGCCAATTCTTATCATTTATTACACGTATAAAACGTGGACTTTAAGTGGATATTTTGGTCCACTTGTAATTTATGTTTATTTCATTGTAGGACTTATATCAAGTAGATTCCTTATAGTTCCTTTGGTAAATTTGGTATTTATGAAAGAATTTCACGAAGGAAACTTTAGATTTCTTCATGCTAGAGTACGACAATTTGCTGAACCTATTGCTTTAAGTTGGGGAGAAAAAGCCGAATATTATCAATTAGATTCCTTTTTTAAGAATCTCTTAAATTATCAACGTCAAATTATCGATCGTGAATTGGCCTTGGAAGCTCTCACTGGATCATTCGCTTATTTTGGTTCGATTCTAAGTTATCTCATCATCGCAATCCCTGTCTTTGTTGGGGACTATGATGGAATTGAGAAGGATAAACTTAGTGGAGTTATTAGTCTGAATGCTTTTCTCTCCTTGTATTTGATCTATCGATTTACGAGAATTGTGGAACAGAGTACAAAAATATCCGATTTGGCAGGTTACACAGCACGTATTGGACAACTTTTTGAAGTAATCGAGGACATTAATGATGATAATGATAATGCTGATGTCAATTATACTTTCGATGATCAACACGGGTAATTATTATTATTAAGATTTATTGTTATTATTTAAAATAACGATGATCAATTATTAATTTGATGTTTTTTTTTATTTAGTGAGGAGTTATCGATAGAATTCGATCATGTATCATTTACGTCACCATCAGGAACCCCATTATTATCAGACTTCAAGTTCTTGATTGAACGAGGAAAGAATGTTATAGTAATGGGACCAAATGGAAGTGGAAAAACTTCATTACTAAGAGTTATGTGTGGGTTATGGCCGAAAACAAGAGGTCGTGTAGTAAGACCAGTTTCGAGTAATCAACAAAGGGTATTAGTATATTTACCGCAAACGTCTTATTTGGTATTTGGATCTTTACGTGACCAAATAACTTATCCAATGGTAAATGACAAGAAAATGGAACTTGGTAAATTATATTTCATAGTGTATTTTACACAAATATTTTGTTCATACATTCATTTATATCATTTCATTAATTAATACTTTATTTTTAATTTTTAGTGAGCGATGATGAAGTAAGATCATTATTGGCAAAAGTTAACTTGTCACATATCGAAAGAAAAGTGGAGACATTTGATTCAAGATATGGAGCTGATTGGGACAAAATGTTAAGTCCTGGTGAACAACAAAAACTTGCATTTGCTAGATTATTTTATTGGAAACCGGTTTTTGCTGCACTTGATGAGGCAACAAGTTCATTAGATTCAAACACAGAAAAACAATTCTTTGAAATTTGTAAAGAATTAAATATAACAACAATTACTGTATCACATAATAAGAGTTTATTACAATATCATGATAAAGTATTATTATTAAATGGTAAAGGTAGTTATGAAACAAGTGATATTGATATAAATGGTTCAGAAAATATTGTAAGGTGGATTGATGGTACTTTAAGGCCTTTTTCTTAATTAATCAGTGGAGTCAAAGTTGGACTTGTTTATATCTTGAACATTGGAAGAAAATCTCTCTTTTTTTCATAATAGAAACTTATTACGTATGGTTTATTTCGGAACATTCTTTTTTTTTTTTCATTCATCATCGTATTCATTTTTCCTTTTCATGTAAAATAAATAACAAAAAAACATGTTTTTTTTTTCAATCAATTCATTTTGTACTTTATAAAATAACACAACATTTAAAACTATATAATCTCATTTAGAGTATTTTAACGTAGTCGATAAAGTGTAGTTTAACCATGTTATAGAATGACTGCGAGTCTTTTGCATCCAAAAAAAAATTTTTCAACTAGTGAATTACCTCCTTGGAATTTTAATAAGTCATGATCCATAATTGATCTTGCATTTTTTTACAATAAACTTTTTTTTTGCATTCCTTTTTTAAATTTATACAAATTTTTTTTCCGGTGGTCTTTTTTTGGTCGGATTCGTAAAAACGCGTTGATAGATGGCGAGTTATTTTCAAGATTTTTTTTTAAATTAATCTCTCTATCTATCTATGCTAAAGACCATAACGGCATACCCATTATTTGAATAACCTCGTTTTTATAAATCCGACCAAGCTAATCAGAATTGATCCGAATTGGAACCAACGAAACTTTATTTTGATTCTGTACATGTTAAAAATTATTCAAACACGAGTACTTAAAAAAATAACTAGCTGATATAAAAGTGCAAGAGTATTTTCATTACCTTACGAAAATATTATCATCATTTCGCTTTCGCGCAAAAATACCAAATCTGGATCAAATATCTCATTCCTCATTGAGTAAACACTTGAACATTCAGACAAACCTAAAGATTCCTGTCACGCCACTTATACCAATAAAAAAGTGTAAAAAGTAACCGCTAAACTAGAACACATGATCTTCGTTGTCATTCATCAGGAAATGAACTAAGGAAGAATCACGATTCTGAAAGAAAATTCTTGTTCATCAAATGATTGCATCGGTAATAAATCTATTACATGTTCAAGATTTCGCAAAATAACAAAGGCTTCTCTGGCTTTTTGGGATACTTCAAAATAATAATATTTTTTTCTTTTTTACTTATTGCCTGGTTAGCAAGCATATTAGCTTTAGTCATCTTGTTGGTCCGTTTACAGGATTTATATTCTTGAAGGTAGCCGAACTGTCTAATGGACAGTGTGCATTGAAATTTTGCGTATCTAAAATTACTATCATAATGATTTTAAAATTTTTTAGTTTGATGTAGCCATCGAAGGAATTTGTGCTTATTTAGTAAAATTGAACAAGTAATATTAATTAACGATTATAAAGATACGTGAAGTGGATTTTCCCTGAGCCGCTTTTTTCCCAGTACTTTCGTTCTGACTAGAGAGATTCATGAATGGTGCCTCCAAATTTGTCAGGATCAAACAGAAGGGATACTTGAAAAGAAGTCCATTTGAAAGAATCCATCGGCTCACTTTAGGAAAAAACATATTTCTTTCTGTGACAAGGTCGCTCAATAGTATTGTTCTGCCATACATTGGAATAACTAAAATTTTATAATGAAACCTAAATTCTCGGTATTTGAGTCAACACCAACCATTTCGCCGATTCTTCGAATCAAACGTGGCATTTACACTGAATTCCATAATAAATTTATATTAACATATATTATATTATTTATAAAATACATCATAATTCCATAAAAACACTCTTAATACCCTTTTGATATTATATATCAGGGGAATAACCATACACCTTTCACAAAAAAAAAATACACGCGCGGCATCTGTGTCGGATAGCTTGTCGTCGCTGAAAATTGGAAATACTCGCCTTAAAATTTTGATATAATTTATATTTTATATTACGTTAGCAATAAGTATGTTAAAAAGACTTTAGATAATGAATCATTGAATTCCCAAAAATGTTTTGGATAATAGTAGTCTTTTTATGAAGAAATCTGATAAATTTTCGTAAATATTTACGATAGAATATTCCTGTATAAAATATTATTGTTATAATTGTTTTTAATAAAATCATTTTCATTGAAAAAAGTATACACTGTAATTTCAAACTGAAGGTCGCTAATCAATATATTTATTAGTCATGATGTATTCAGAAAGATTTTTCATATTTTTCATTGAAAAATATACAATCAAAAAGATAATATTCGAGAAGGTTACTTTTTTTTTAAAAAAAAAAATACTATCTCTCCCAAGTCTCCCTATAAAAAAATACTCTCTCTAATTCATTATCTTATTACGTAATTGATTAGAATCGGAGTCAAGACAATATTTACAAAAACTAACAGACAGACAAATTGCACGAATACTTCAAGCAAAAGCTTACGAAATCCAAATGGAGCATTATTTTTATTTTTATTTTTAATTATTGGGTTTGTTCACTTGGGGTTTTTTTTATTTTTTTTATTTTTTTTAATTAATGAATTTGTTCACTTAAGGTGTGTTTATTTTGCAAAATAGGGTAACTCTTAAGCAAAGTTAAGGAATGATAGCTCCTACGGTATGTGAGTCAGGGAAATCCTAGTTTAAGAGAATTACCTTATTTAATTCTCTTATTTTATTATATTTCTTTTAATTATTGGGTAGTCAATTCAGGCATCCTAACTTGTTATTAGTAAAGTCAGAATTGGGTATACCTTCTTTACTATTAAATAAAAAATTTTGCACACTATTAATAAATTCATCTTTCTTGTAGTAGGTAGATACAGGATATTTACAAACAAACATCATAACAGAAGTCAATAAGTCAATGTTCTGCTTTAGAAAAATCTTTCTAATGGGTAATACTAGGAGTATTAGTGGTGGATCTTTTTTAATGTGTCGAAAAGATATCAAGAAAAGGATCAAGAGAAGGTATAGTATGATTACATTTTCTATCTAGAAGTTAGGAGTTGGTAAAAATAATTGTTATATTTTTTATAGTAAATAGATGAAAATAAAAGGCTAACCCAACATGAACAATAATCATTATCATCATTATCTACAATAATAGCGGGCTGTCTGGCATCACTCTCTCTAATGCCACTTGACAAAGGCAATTTTAATATTAATTTTAGCATTTTAATTGATACAAACCTAAAATTTACTTAAATCCAGTGGTTATAACACATAATTGTGTAATATTTATTTAATTGATAAAAAACTAATGATCATTTATAAAATAAATATGAATAAGGTTCACTAAAAATAAACTAATAAATACAAATGTAATTATCGATCCAATAACTATTTATTATTAGAGAAAGTTCTCTTTTTTTATGTCTCAATTTCAGCAATGGCCTATCGCTTATAGTTGTACATTGTATAGGAATGAATGCAAGTATTCATGTCACTTCTGTCATGTGTATTAATGGAATTATTAATCGCATGAGAAATACTAACAACTAAATTTTCACTGGACACGATGATACGTGCTTTGTATGCAAATATATACAGCATGGAACACGCAAAATGCAATGCTGGTAATCATAATCTGAACATGTTACATTGGAATGTACCATCAACTAATCAAATCAAAACTTATGTAAAGTATCATATAAAAGTTTATTATTAGGTTTTGACGATCATTATAATTTATAGTAATCCCTGTTAAATTTCACACGCCCATAACTCTAGATTCTTATTGTTTTCATTCATTCCAAATTCTGTGAGGACACTTGTTTTTATCATATGATATCTCCAAAAAAAAAAAATAAATAATTCAGGCCTTTTTAGCTTTTTTTAGATACTTCTCAATAAGAAAAAAATGGGCTTCTTTAGTATTTTCAAAAAACGATGTTCTTTGGGTTCTCGTGTATTTTGTCTAATCTTTCATTACAAGGACTAAACGACTAATAATGCATGGTTTTTTAAAATTTCGGAAATTTTAATGGCTTCTATTTCAAAGTGTACGCAGATAAATTACTTTCCGAGATGTATGCAATTTATTTATATCAGAAATCCGAATGAATCAATGAATCTAAAATACCCAATATTTAATTCATAACCGGCATAAATTAAACTACTGTATTTCAAAAAATAAACTTTTATATGATACTTTAATGGTACCCATTACCCAATGTTACATTGTAAATCATATGATAATCAGCATATGAAGAACATGACAGTTAATGTGTTACATATTGCGCGGCAGTGATTAAAGTGACCTACAAATAAATTAATTATGAAATAAGACAAACAAGAAAGAACGATCAATCTTTTTTTGGTCTGTTATTAATTAAATATATTAATATATTTAATATATTAAACGATAGGAGTAATGTTATGCCGATCTACGGGACCCGGTTTTAATTAACTAAAAATGGAATGATTGACATATTTTAGGTTACAAATAAAATGTATAGCTTAAATTATTTTTTTTTTCTTTCTAAATGAAAAAAAATGTCCTTTGAATTATTGAAATTATCATCTAAAGAATATGGGGATATTCTTAAATCTGGTGAATTTTCTGATACCGAAATATTAGTAGGAGAAGAACCTAATACCAAAGTCTTTTTAGCACATTCATTAATATTAAAAATTCGATCACCATATTTTCGTACCGCATTTTCTAGTCGTTGGGTAAGAACAGAAAATAATATTATTAAATTACAAAAACCAAATATTTCCGCTAAAGTTTTTGATATACTTATAAAGTAAGTAATTAATATTAATCTTTTTATTAAAAAAAAAAAATTGCAAATAAGAACAAGTAAAAATTAATTTTACCTTTCCGAAATGCATTTCTATAAAGTAAAAAAGAATTCTCTTTTATAACTGTCTCTTATACACATCTAGATGTGTATAAGAGACAGTTATTGACCTTACAAAATATGATATTAAAACTAATGTTGAAGTTTTAATAGCAGCAGATGAATTATGTCTTTATGATTTATGTTCATATATTGAAAACGAACTTCTTAAAAATGAGGCATTATTAAAAAATAATTTTATTTTAATTCATAATGTTGCAAATAAGTTCAATCAATTTACAAATTTATTACAATTTTATAGGACAAATTTTCAAAAAGATCCAAATATAATACTTAGAACAAATGATTTTACAACAATTCAAAAAGAAACATTACTTAATTTTTTATCAGAGTATAGACAATCATTAAATCATACAGAAGTTTGGGATAAACTTATAGAATGGGCAATAGCACAATCACATGAATTACCATTAGATGTAATAAGGTGGACATCTAGTGAGATAACAAAATTTAGAGGAATAATTCAATCATTTATTCCACATATTAATTTTAAAGAAATTAGTCCAGCAGATTTTAGTCATAAAGTTAAACCATTTAGAGATATTTTTGATGATAAATCTTACGCTAAAATTCTTGAACATTATTCTTTTAATAATGAAGTACGATCAAATTTTAAAATGAATATAGATTCTAGAATTATTAGTCCAGATCACGCATTTTTAATTGGTAATTTAATTAAGATAACGAGACAAGATGATAGTGACATTTTTTATGATTTCAATTTACTCGTACGAGGAAGTAGAGATGGATTTGAATCTGAAAATTTTCATAAATTATGTGATGAAAAAGGACCAACAATTACTGTTATTAGTGTTAAAAATACAAATGAAATACTTGGAGGATTTAATCCATTAAATTGGTTATCGAATAGTGTTGAATATGTTGAAACTGATGAAAGTTTTATTTTTTCTTTTGATAAAAACAAATTAACAGATTTTATATTTAGTAAGGTCGTTGATGGTAAATACGCGATATATAATAGAAGTATTGGACCAGATTTTGGGCATAATAATTCAGATTTAAGGTTAATATTAAATAGTAAAGAAGGTCAATGTTATAAGAATAGTTATAAAAAATTGATTAGAAAAAATGAAGGGACATTTGAAATAGATGATTATGAAATTTTTCAAATTATAAATAAATCGACTTAAAAGAGAATAATTTTATTTACTGTAAAATTGTAAAATTCAAAGATGTACTGTATAATAATTTAATTAATGAAAAAAAAAAAATTAATAAAGATTATATAAATTTTAATTATAATACAATTTTTATACAATTTCATTTACAAATAGAATTTAATTGTGCGTTAACGATTCTAATGACCACGATGATAAAACCCCCTTATTATTTATTGTATTCAGCACTAATTTGAAATTTAGATTTCAGATTTCAAATCAATAGAATTTAATTGTGCGTTAACGATTCTAATGACCACGATGATAAAACCAGATTTCAAATCAATAAATTATATAAATTATATAAACATTCAAGTTTATTTGAGGGAAATGTTTAAAAGGAGGGGAGAAATTGATGTCGCGCCGTAATAATCATACTAATAAAAAAAAATATAGTATCAACTCCACCAACTACGCCTAGTCCCAAACTTCAGGAGTCACAACATCCTCGTAATAATAGCCTCTGTATCCATAATCTTCATAGTACTCTTCGTATCCGTTGTATTCATTGACTTCGACTTCGACTTCGACTTCGACTTCTTCATCTACGAACTCACATGGCTGATTAACAATTATGACTTGAAATACTTCATAATCTTCTATTTCAAATACCCCTTCAACTTGTCTAATTAATTTTTCATAGCTATTTTTGTGACATTGACCTTTTTTCGCATCACCTTCTATTAAACGTAAATCCGAAGTTTTTTCCCCAAAATCTGGACCACGATTTCTATAGACTGCATGATTTTCATCAACAACTTTACTAAAGACAAATTTTTCCAGTTCCTTCTTATCCAAAGAAAAGATAAAACATTCACCAGTTTTACCTTCACATTTCGGATTCCAATCTAAAGGATTATAACCTCCTACTATTTCATCACTATTTTTTACGCTAGCGATAGTAATGGTACGACCTTTTTCATCACAATTTTTGTGAAAATTTCTCACAGTAAAACCATCCCTACTACCACGTATTAATAATTGAAATTCAAAAGTACAATTTTGATTATCATTTGTCATCTTAATTAAATTTCCAAGTAAAAAAGCATGAGAAGGAGTAATGATTTTAGAATCAATATCAATTTTAAATTTTGAATGAGCGTTAAAAGAGTAATGTTCAAGTATTTGAACATAAAATTCTTTATCAAAAATATCTTTAAATGGTTTAATATTATTACAAAAATTTGTTAAACTAATTTTTTCAAAATTAATATGTGTAATAAATGGATTAATTATCGTTCCGAATATTGTCATTTCATTATTCGTCCATTCTTTTGTATTTTTTGGTAATTCATTAGATTGTCCAATTGCCCATTCTATAAGTTTATCCCAAACTTCAATAGGATTTAATCTTTGATTATATTCTGATAAAACATGAATGAGAGCATCTTGTTGAATTGTTACAAAATCATTTGCCCTAAGAATTAAGGATGGATCCTTATTAATGCTTGTTTCGTAAAATTGTGTCAACTTTTCAAATTGACTAAGTTGATGTACAGTTTTTTGAATAAGAACAAAGTTATGTTTTAATGACCGTTCATTATTAAGAAGGAATTTTTCGGTATGTTCACAAAATTCATTAAGATTTAATTCATCAGCTGCAATTAAAACTGCAACATTTGTTCTTATATCATAATCACTAAGTTTAATAACTCCGCTATAAATGAACCTATAAAATTTAGTTAAAAGTATGATATATTTCGAAAAAAAAAAGTATAAATTTTTTTTAAAAAAAAAGTATAATCAAGTTTAAAAAATTTTTTCTCACTTTATAAGTATATCGAATACTTCAACTGAAATATTTGGTTTATGTAAGGTGATTATATTATTATCTTCGGTTCTTATCCAATCATTAGAAAATGCGGTACGGAAATATTTTGAACGAGTTGTTAATATTAAAGAATGTGCTTTAAAGATTTTTGTATTTGGTTCTTCTCCTACTAATATTTCGGTATCAGCAAATTCACCAGATTCGAGTAAATGATAAAAATCTTCAGATGACAATTTCCATAATCCAAACATTATATATTTATTTCTTAGATAAGAAAAATATTTTTTTTTTCGGGATTTTTT